GGCACACTCCAGTCGACCCATGGGAGGCGCTCAAACCTACCGCATTCGGCGTGATGTCGCCGGTTCGCACGCTGGAGCCAGCCTCCCGTCCTATGGTTCTGTGGTTCAGTGGGCCTTTTCGTGTGTCTTCCAGAAAACCATCGTGACCATGGGACTTTGTGGCGTTGGGTGGGAATGCGGAGAAAACCAGTGGTGATCCGGCAACGGGGAACGCCCGTGAGGAGGTTTATCTGTAGCAACGTACGGAGTGGGACGTAACGATGAGTAACTATAACCTCTAACTGGCTACTTTCTGTACTCCCACTCTTACATTACGTCGTATGATAGAGAGAGTTTCCCTGCGGCGCCCATGGTTCCAGGATCGAGGGTGATTTCCGACAAGCTCTCCGCAGTGGCGGTGGCTTGCTTATTTCCTGCCCCCCTCCCCCCTCTCCCCCTGACGGAGTACGCCAAAATGATCCGCCGTATTATAATTATGGGAAGAACGCCATAGGCTGGAAGTTTGAGTTGGGCTGGTTTAGGGTAGTGATCACGGGATATAATTACTCCTTCCGAAGCACGACAAGCTAAAATAACTAGTTCACTAACCACTCCAGTAGTGCGAAAAATAAGGAAATTATTATTGAGTGAACGACTCCAAATCCAAGCGGGATGAAGCGCTCGAGGGATGGTTCCCAAAGTTTAGCTGTGGGAATGGAGTAGTTTACAGCAGATTAGTGAATTACTTAATTAGTTAGTTAGGTCTTCGGCCTCCCTCGGCTCCTCAGATCCTTGTGATCACGAAGCTTGGCGTCATTGGAAGGAAATTGTTGCGGAGAACTAGGAAACCAACTCTGGCTCTGTATGGTTGATGGAGTCATAACTCGATGGTTAGTGTTTAATCCGTCATGTTTAGTGTTCTGTCTGGTCTTCTTGGAACCACACACTCGGGAACGTAGGAGATGAACATCCATCTGTAACTTTTCGGGGATCTGGTACTTGGGAATCGGGGACTTTGGCATGGACTCCTATTAGTTGTTCCCTGCCAGCTGTGGTTCATTTGCCACGGGTGAAAATAAGATGATGCTCCACTTTCCGAGGAACGGCGGCAGCAGGGAAACCTCGTTGGATTGATCTTTGGTCAATTCCCGAATACCAAGCCACGAGAGATTAGAACTGTAATCTCTATCCTATGAACCATGAGCCGTGGATGACGAACTATTACTCTAACATAGTATATTACTATAACTCTTATTTATATTAACTCCGGATAAACTCGTTCATATGTGACAAGTTCGATCCTGGATAACGCGGTCGCATCTGCCGCGCTATTGCAGGAGCCGCGCCGCTAATGACCCCCATGGCGGGAAGTGCTGGTCCGCGCTCTGACGTCGTTGTCCAACTGGCGATGAGAGTGCTTGGAGGAGGGAGGAGTTTGTTGGCGGAGGTACTCCGTAGTTGTGGAAGCAGTGGATGATTACGGAGGAAGTAGGATGGGACAAGGCGGCCATGGCTTGCAGGGCAGCAACACACTAAGAACTTACATACGCTGATGTGTAAAATAGTGGAATGGCGAACAATACGAGGTGTGGTTGAATGGTTCTCACACTTCGTGCAGAGTATGCATTGCCTTTTTGGCCCTTTGCCTTCCCCTGCAACCCCCCTTCCCCCCTGGTTCCCACCCTGCTCCCCGTCGCACGGTTTCCTTCAGACCCTTCTCTCGAGTGATACAGGTCGCATGGCCCCCGGTCGGAAAATTGGGGGGGGGGGGGGGGGGGGCATGCTGGAAACCGGAGTCATGTCTGCCCTGCAGGAGAAAATCCGGTATATCGTCATTGCACGGGTAGGGTGATTTGTGACTTGAACATCTCGTATCTTGTTATAGAAACAGCGTCTAGTATGGATCGTGTTACGAGGAATCGACGACTAGGTCCAGTCTCGGGTCTACATGCACGCAGAACTCTCGAGTACTACTACTGTACGGAGGATGTGCAGATGGGAGATGCGCCGGGACAAAGCCGGAGCATGTCCAATGGCAGTGGTGTGGAGTGGCGCACCGCACATCCTCCACACGATACATGTAGTTTCTTCGGTAACTCTAGTCTCTAGGAACGATTCTCGATGCCATGTGAATATAGACATTGTCCTTCCTCGGGTCGTTGTGTACGCGATAGATCCTGGGCACTCCTTGCCTACGAGTGCTCTATACACTGTACTGGACATACTGTGGCTTTTTACTAGATAATTGCCATAATTCTAGGTCAAAATTTGCATCATAGAGAGCACGAACCATAAGTTTAGGGACAGCGTCGCAAAGAAACATACTCTCTCGTGTCGAGTCCTAGCTAAGCACCTGCTAAGGCGCGCGTGGGTGTCAACGTCGTCATCATGCGCATTTTTGTTCCCGTAAATTCCTCGAGCGAAACCCCCCAGCCCGTCAGGAGGAGAATGAATGGAGCACTGCAAATAGTTACGTCCGACCGTCGTAGAATGTCGTCAATAATGTTCAAAGCTATTGAAAGCGATATCATGCTGTAATTTCATTCCTCTTTTCTCCGTTCTGTCGGGAAGAACTATCGACATCATTGGAGGCCAGGGTTATGATCCATTGGGTATTGGATAATTGTCATGTATGGCGTCGGAGTGTGTAAATGTACAGAATACTCGAATTTAGTTCATATTATTACATATTTCAAATTCGAGGTTTTATTCGAAGTAAGGTCACCTCGCACGCTAAACCATCTATGGCCCGTGTCAAAGGCCCCCTCTCTTCATCCCACATACATGGCTGAAAGCCCTGCGTGTGAATCGTCACAATCATTTTCTTTTCCTTTTATTTTTTTGCTTTTTTTCCGCTTTGCCTCCCCGGGAGGGGCCAAGATAGAGCCAATAACGAGAGACCCAAACCTGTCCCCCCTCCCACATTTGGGTTTGCCTGAAAGCCATGGCCCAAAGAGGCCAATCCAAACTCGGGAAGGGGTGGTTCAAATTCAAGCTTGTTCCTCTCTCCAAAACAAATTGAGATGTGTACCAAATTCAAATCAATGTTATACGAGAGCAAAAGGAAATCAAGTGGTGAATCTTTGTGGTGTTCATCCTTCAATAGCAAAGCAATCCTTCCTCCTTGTCTACAGTCCAAGTCCCCCACGGGCGCGTGGGGATACCCTTTTGACGTAGCGCTGGGGTCTGCCAGTCCTTCCCCGCTACTTTGAAACACGCTCTCTGAGGGCGAACCTTGGTCGCTGCATCGTGAGATTATTCTTGGCGTTTCTTTTCTTTTCCCCCCCCCCTTCTGATTCTGGATTTTGGACCATTTCCGTTTTCTTTTTTTGGGTTGCTCTGTCCTCCCATTGAAGTTTAGCTGCCTCTCAGACACGGCACAGATGGACCACTCAGCGGTGGCCCGGTTGAGTCTGTGCTGGACACATTCCCTTAGCAAATTGTCTCCATAGTCCATAGTCACCAGTGTCCCAGTCGCCCAGAGAGAGTCACGTACCGTCTCCCCCCCAATTAAAACCCACTTGCCTACCATCACCCCCCCCAAATCCACTCCAACTGTACTCATCCAACCAACCACCTTGTTCTCCCCCCTTTTGAGGATATCCGAGGTCACCGACTGCTTTTTGGATCTCATGATATTTCCCCTTTTCCATAACTATGGTCTTCTATTTGCTGGTTCCTTGGGGGGAGTTCCGATCCCGGCCCTGTTCAAGGTCTCTACGGTGTAGTTCAAACGAACTGAATTACTACTGTAGTTAGTTATGTATATTCACGTTCCTCTCAACCGGGTAAATGGCAACGAGGAACCAGAACGAGGCTTTTGGACGGTGAGATGGAGACTACCAAGTAACGAGGCAGATGGAGACACGCCGAGAGATACTGCTCCTACAGTAAGTAGTATGTACTATTCTGTTCTCCGTCGAGGCGTGCGTGTGCACACATTCTTGCTGCCGTTTTTAAATGTTAGATTCTCTCGATCTTCCATTCCTCATCCCTAAACCGTGTGCACTGGGGTTTCTTACAGCTTGTGTGTTTTAAGGTAGGGACGATGTCCTCCGTACTTGTATACTCCGTGAGAACAACTCCGGATGAATTCCTCCACAAATCATTGCACTCTCATATAGTATATACTATATGACCATCTCTACTGTCCACTACCGTACTATAGAGTGAATCATTCCCGACTCCCAGCCCAATTCAAGGAGAGTCCAAGGAACTGGTTCCCGTTGACAAAGGCCACTTTTGGCACAAAGCAATGCCTCCCATTCTGCATGATAAGAAATAAGAAATAAGAATAAGAATTAAGAATTTAAGAGTTGGGCGAGAAAAGAGAAATCCGAAAATCCTCGCAGAATTAAATGAAATCAAAAAAGAAACCGAAAAAAAAAGGAAGAATAATTCCGAAATCTACGATTTTATGCCCAAAAGGGCAACGCAAGAATTAAATTACGAGACCCGCGGTATTAGTGTTTCCGACGATCTGCGAGCCCCGACGGCACGTCGTCAGTGGCACACCCTTCTTTTTTTTTTTTTTTTTTTCTTTTTCTTTTTCTTTTTGGGTACTGAGAAAGTTGGAGGCAGGTCAAGCCCCGTGAAGCCTATACTCGTCCCCTTCTTAAGCTTCGCCGATCCCCTTTCCCCAGACTCGACCTTTTTTCCTTACCCTGTCCCTTGGACAAAGATCTCCAACCAAAATTAAAAAAGCGAATGATAATCCCCTGATCTTCGGGCTTATCACTTCTCTTTTTCCTTCCCTCAATCCTTCACTCTTTCTCTCCCCGCGGATCAACACTCGATCGTCTTCTCTCACCATCAAACACTATCACTCGATACACTCCACCGAGTATATCAATATCTACCCTTTTTTTTTTTGGGTTATTCTCCGGATCTACGAGCAACGTGCAGACAGACAGACAGCACGACCAGCAACAAATATCAGCTGTCACATTGGAATACCTCCACTTCTATCATCACCTTCTCTCCTGCCCGCGATCGACTCGTTCATCGCGGCTCTACCCTCCATGACGATGGTAATGGAAAACCAGAACCGCCCATATGGCGGCATGAGCTTCGACAATGTCTACCACCACAACCCACCTCAATTCACAGACCCCTGGGCCGCTGCACACACCTCCTCGCACTCGACACCGCCAGTCTACGCGACCTCCATGGGCAACAGCGCCAGCATCCCTCTCAACGCTGTCAAGCAAGATGAAGTCGGCCGCTCCGCCGCCATGTCCATGCCGTACCCTAATATCCCCGTGTCAGCACCCTCACTCGTCCCTGGCAGCAACTACACCACCGCCGGCTATGGTCCAGAGGTGATGGGCATGCAACATGAGGTTCCGCGCACTGGTTTCGAGCAAACCCCAACATACACAACCGCTCCTGCCATGAGCAACTTTGCCCCGGCCAACTATGCGTCAGGCACATACGCCCCAATTCACCCCTCCCAGCCTCAAGATGTTCGTCGCATTTCGCTTTCGTGAGTACTTCCCCCGCCCCCTCGCTCAGCACGCGCGCCTTCCTAGATAGGACTGTCTGTAACGCGAGCAATGGGATGATTTCGGTGGCTGACCCAACATTCCGTACAGTGACCGTGTGGGATCCTCTCAAGCTCCCGCGCCCACTCCCACCTTTGGCGATGCCCTCGATGCAAGCCGAGGAATGGTGGCGCTCAGCCAGGACTTGACCCCCCGTAACGTGTACGGTCCTCGCGGGGGACGCAACTCTGCCGATTCATACGGCTTCCCTTCGACTCACTCCTCTGCTTCCTCCATCTCCTCGGGCGGCAACTACCCTTACTACAGCGCCTCCGTAGGCTCTGTGGATTCATCCGTGACAGACTACAGCTCGACTACTTCAGAGTCGTATGAATCGCGCACCCTTCCCCGGCCAACCAGCCTCCTTGCTGGTAGCGCACCCCCGGGCCCCAGTCCATGATGAGCCAGTTCAGCTCGAAGATGCCCTCAAACACGCAGAAGAAGCACAAGTGCAAGGTCTGCGATAAGCGCTTCACGCGTCCCTCTTCGCTTCAAACGCACATGTACAGCCATACTGGCGAGAAGCGTAAGTTCCCCCCCCAAGAGCGGAGAACGACAGGCGAAGTAAGCATACAAAAGAATCTCATACTAACGCGTTATCTTTAGCATTCGCTTGTGACGTGGAGGGTTGTGGACGACACTTCTCCGTGGTTTCCAACTTGCGCCGACACAAGAAGGTGCACAAGGGTGAAAAGGAAGGCGGCTCTCCCGACGAGGACGAGTAAATTCGAAAACTCGTCGGCGAATGACCAACTTTCAATTCTGCTCGTCTCAAACACGAGCGCCTCTTCCATCTCTGCGTAAAATGACGCGCCAATTCCCCAGATACCCAATTCCTCCGCCTCCTCGCAACGAACCCGTCCCGCCTCAGGCCGTTCCAACTGTTGGATGATACTCCTCCGGCCCTGACTCCTCCTTGTACAACAGCATGGATTACCCCCTTCCCCCCCTTACCTTGAATTCTCTCTCGACATTTTCAACGTTCATCATCCTCATTTTCTTTCATTCCGGATTCATCTTCCGATCGGGTGTCGGAAGATTCTTTCATCATATACCATATACCCCTGGGACGGTTCTGATTTTGGGTTTCACGCGGCCACGATTCAAGCAAGGCTGCTCCGGGAAAGGGAGAGAGGCCTTATTGATGTTTTCCTTTTTATCCCTTTTTTTCTTCCCACGTTATGACCATAGAGGTACCGGCTGGTTTGCGTTCCTGGTTGTTCTCGATTGTTTTTGTGTCTTGGTTTTTCTTCCTTTTTCTCGAGCCTCGAGCTCGTCTTTTTTTTACCTTTCTTATTCTTTCGCTAGACCTGGGAGTCACCTGTGCTTTTCTCGATACCAATGGGTTTGTGATGATTTGATGCGTTTATTTTTTCTTGTTAGCCCCCTCTTGATTTCGGGGCACCTTCATTGTTTTTTACCTTCTATTCTTCCATCTTGACCGTTTGATTGTGTTGCAGCCGGTTGGATGTTCTGTCCAGCGCTCATCTTACCTTCTAATTACTCTCTACTCCCTGCATCAAATATCTTGCATGGTTTAGATCCATTTATCCTGATTCCATCATCCTTTACCTTTCTCATTTCCTTGTCTTCCCTGCTTCCCATTCCTATCCCTCCTTCGGCTGGCTTTTCATCTCTCTTGGGTCTTGTCTTTGAGGGTCCGCCTTATATTTCCACCGCGTTGTCTATGTTTCTCGATAATTGCACGGGGTTTGTGCAAAATTGGCCGGGACGGCATGGTGTTGATGTGATACCCGTGGCATTGGTGCGAAAGCTGTTTTTCCTCTTTTCTTGTGTCTCCTGTCTGGTACCTGGTTACTGGCTAGTTACTTAGTCCTTGCTTTCGGTGAATCTGGGCTGGCTCCGCTGCTTTTCCGGGGCCTGCTGGTGGATTTTCCACACTACAGTCGCTATAGTAAAGACATTGTCTAATCCACAATTGAGCACTCGTGAAATTTCAACCCTTGTCTTGTGTAGTCTGGTACTTTTTATTTAGATCTTGCCGCGTATTTCTACTGTTTGAGTGGGAGTTTCGTTTCTGTCTCACCTGTCGTGCTTGAGATCGCCAAGTTAAGCTTAAATTCAGTTAGTGACATGGCCATTTGACGGGCGATCTTGCGTCCCACTGCGGAGTGAATCCGCCGATGCATCTGTAGTTCTGTTTCGAATATGAAATTGCACTGCACCAAACTGTAACTATACCCAGACGTCTGACTGTTGGCACCTCGAGTGTTGATTGGTACTGGAATCTACGAACAGAGCACTTGAGAAACAGGACTCGTGTGGGTCATATTTTGTCCATTTCAAGATTTGATATTGGATAGAAGTGAAAAACAAATATTCGCAATTATGTTACTAAAACCATAGTCTAAATTGCAAGGTCGAGACCCTACTTCGGCATACACCGCAGTAGGAGGAAATCAGACAGAGCCCAAACGCCGAGGGAGGTGATGATTATTCACGAATGACAGGCCAATTCACAAGAGAAATGATGATTAACGAGCTGCGCAGCACCAGGCATCTTCCAGCTCCATATGCTAGAGATCACATTTAATGGATACGATCCAGCTTGGCCCGGTTCATGGCAATCTGATCGTCGACATAGTCGCTCTGCACAGAAAGTTAGCGTTATGTTCACATTTAGTTCAACCACCCTGATACTAGTACTGACCTTGCCTGTGATACGCTCCAGATGTCTGTTCTGCTCATCCAGCTCGCGGCCAGTGGCCTTGGCAAGACCGTTCAGCCGGCCAGCGGCACCGCTGAGCAGATCCAAGTTTTGCTCAATCTCGTCCTCCATCGCTTCGTCCTCGCTGTCGGCCTCGAATTGATACTTGGCACGCTCGGTGACGCTCGCCTTCTTGCCCTTGCCTTGCTTGTTCGCCTCTCGGTCAATGTCCCGGAAAACCTTGTCCATGCGTGCATTGGTCTGGTAAGCCTCGGAACGTGTGCCGTCGCGGAGGTCACGCTCTTCGCGATGAGTGTTGAGGGTGCGCTCGTCACGTTCTCGTCGGCGCGAGGCACTGGTAAATGGGTTGGCTACGTGCACGGCGAACATGCTCTTGTTGAGTGTCTTCAACTCTCGCGCTTTCTCCTGGGCTAGACGACCCTCAACTGCAGCCATGTCGAGGTTCTTCTCTGCACCGTGAACCATCTCGCCCTGGGCGCCGAGACGAGCGAGCGTTGAACGTCCAGTCTCCTCCGCCATTGCGGCAGCACGAAGGGCATTCCGGGTAGATGCCACATCGCCCTGCTTCACGAACCGCATTTCTTGCTTGGTAGCCTGAACATTCTCCTCTTCCTCCTCCTCGGCTGTGAGTTGCCGGTCCTGGTAGGTGGCCATGCTGTACTCATTGCTGCCGCCACCGTAGTTACCACTTGCTTGTCCACCCTCCTGGTCCGGTGAGTATGGAGGCGGCGCACTGCCCTGGTTTTGTTGTACACGATCTCTAGCACCGCCGAAGAGTTCATTGCGAGCGGCATCACCGGCGCTGGGATCGTTGGGATCGGCACTGCCTAATCCTCCATAGCCACCGGAACCATAGCGCGAAGCGCCAGCGCCAGCGCCATTGCTTCCACTACCAAATCGATCGCTGCCATATCCACCTTGGTTGCCGTAACGGTTCGGTGTGTAGCCCGAGTACTTGTTATCGGATGGAATAGCGTGGGGTCCTCCTGCGGGGGCGGGGGATCCGTTGCCGCCCTGGTAATCGGCCGGCGGCTGCGCAACACCCGCTTGGATCTTGGCCTTGGTGTAGGGGTCCATGTGAGCCGGTTGGGCGTAAGGGTTGGATGCCTGCGCAGGGCTCTTGTTCTTCGATCGAGAGCCGAACAGGGCTCGGCGGTTAGAGTCGTCGCCGTCGTCGCCGGACTTTTTGAATAGACCCATGTTGAGCGGGGCTGTAACTGTGATCGTGGGGGTCGAGGAGATTAAGTGAAAAAGGATTCGGTGGAAAGGACAGATCGATTGAGACGCTTGACTTTTGGGAGAGAAAGAAGGAGAAAGTGTGTGTTTCAATGAGGAATTAAAGGCCTGGCTTCAGGGGAGCTTCGGGCAGTCGTCGAGACTGGCGGTGGTAAGGATGTAACCCGGTGACCAAAATGACACTGCAAACCATAACACAATCAATGGAAGCAGCGTGGGGCGTGACAAGACCAAACCAGCTGACTCAGCGTTGGTGGTGGCGCTAGTCCCAAATCGGGCGGCTTCGCCTCCCCGCGAGTTTTGGTTATTTTTGGGTGTTGCTCGTTGCCTGCCCACAGCCACCTCAGCAATGGCGCCCCTGGCAGACGCCGACCACTGCAGAGACAAGGCCCGCAGGGATCTGCTGGCCCTGCTCGAAGGCGTGAGTACTGCTTTCGCGTTTCGAAGCCTCTTCTAACGGCGTGCAGACTCGCGGGAAGAAGAACCTCGTTATCAGTCAGGAGCTGGCGGGTCCAGTCGGCTTGTTCGTCAAGTTCTCCGAACTCCAGCAGTATGGCGTAGACCGCGTCTTTTTGTTGGAAAATGCAAACATCGACTCTTCGCAGCGCAATGTCGTGTTCTTGGTTCGCGGTGAAAAGGCCCACCATGTACGGATAGTGGCAGGTAAGGCAGTCTCGTTTCGTTTTGTTGTGGCCTAATGATACCGCGGCTACTTCGATATTCTCAACATGGGAATGGGTTATAAAACCCCAGAAAGTTGCGTGGATGAGCTACCCAATCCGCGTGACGGTAGTGATTCCCTAGATCAAGTCAAGCTCATTCATTTGGCGCTTTGCTTTGCGTGATACTTCGTCTCAGTGCCATCAGTGTGGGCTAACATCCTTCTTTAGAGCAAATTAAGCGCCTACAGAACAATGGAAACGTGGAACATGAGTTCTCCATCTTTTTCGCTCCTCGGCGTACCCTGGTAAGCAATGCTGTGCTGGAGGAGGCTGGCATTATCGGTGATGTCAACATTGCCGAGTTTCCGCTCTACTTCTTGCCACTGGAGCAAGATATTCTATCATTGGAGCTTGACTATGCATTCAGTGACTTGTACCTGGTAGGTCTTTAGTCTTTCATGTGATCACAGGAGCCATAATTGACATTTCTTTAGCACAAGGACCCTGGCTGTATTTTCCATGCCGCCAAGGCCCTCATGGGTATCCAGCAGAGACATGGATACTTCCCTCGCATTGTTGGTAAAGGCGACAATGCGCGCCGTCTAGCAGATTTGTTGTTGCGAATGCGCAAAGAGCTCGATGCCGAAGAGAGCTCCGGGCTGGCTGATCCGTCTGCTCGAGGCCTTCTTCCCAGTGCCGATACAGAGAACTTGATCATCATTGACCGCGATGTGGATTTTGGAACACCACTGCTCACTCAACTTACTTATGAAGGCTTGATTGACGAATACGTGGGCATCAAGAACAACCAGGCCGACGTAGACACCAGTATAGTTGGACAAGCATCTGCACCACAACCTCAGGAGTCGTCCAAAACTCCGCAACAGATGAAGCAAGGCCTTAAGAGAAAGATCCAGCTTGACGCATCAGATCAGCTCTTTAGCCAGCTACGAGATGCAAACTTCGCCATCGTGGGTGACCTCTTGAACAAGGTGGCTCGCCGGCTGGAAAACCAATATGAAACACGACACACAGCTCAGACAACGAATGAGCTCCGCGAATTTGTCAATAAACTACCAACTTACCAACTGGAGCACCAGAGCCTCCGCATCCACACTAATCTCGCGGAGGAAATTATGCGGCTCACCCGATCCGAGACATTCCGGAAGATCCTGGAAGTACAGCAGAACAATGCTGCCGGTGCTGATCCAATCTACCAACATGAGACAATTGAAGAGCTCATTTCACGAGACGTTCCCCTGAAGAGCGTGCTGCGCTTGTTATGTCTCGAGTCGTGCATGTCCGGCGGACTGCGCCCCAAAGACTTGGAAAACTTCAAGAGACAAGTCGTCCAAGCTTACGGCCATCAGCATCTCCTGACTTTCTGGGCCCTTGAGAAGATGGAGCTTCTGCAGCCGCGGTCTTCGGCCACGGCTATGCTCCTCCCTACATCCGGTGCGCAAGCTGGCTCGAAGACTAATTACGGATATCTACGAAAGAACCTGAGACTAGTTATTGAAGAGGTTAGTGAGAAGGAACCCAACGATATCTCCTACGTTTACAGTGGCTTCGCCCCACTCAGCGTTCGCCTGGTTCAATGTGTACTCCAAAAACCCTACATCATCTCCCTGGCCAAGGGCGGATCACCAGCTGCGTCGATAAACAATGCCAGCACAGCATCTCCCGGGTGGCTTGGCTTCGAGGATGTGGTCAAAAGCGCTCGAGGCTCGACTTTCAGCATTGTCCAAAAGGGTGATGACAAGGCTGTCCGAGCTCGACAGACGCTCAGCGGCAACTCTGCCACCAAGACTGTATACGTCTTCTTCTTGGGTGGAATTACTTTCACCGAAATTGCTGCGCTGCGCTTCATCGCTGCCCAGGAGGCCCCACGGCGCAAGCTTATCATCTGTACCACAGGAGTTATCAGCGGCGACCGCATGATGGAAGCAGCTGTTGAAAAGGGGAGTTTTGCCAAGAAGACGGAGTAGTCTATTTCATCTCAGATTCAGCGTTCGTTGCTGGTAGTAATTACCATGATACCATTGATTTCAAAGTACATCAAGGCTGGTCTATTGTAATGTTCGAAGTATCATCCCACAACTCAATATTTGAAGCCGGCATTCACACCCATCAACCGACCCTGATACCGTTCTATGACCTCCCCAAGGCGTACCATTACACCGGCAGCCAAAGTTCGCACTTGCTCCTGCGGATCCGCAAATGGACCAGAGTCTGCTTTACTGCTTCCGGCGGGCATGCGATCAAAGACTTCAGAGGCCCACTCGCGCAACTCCAAGACCCTGGTAGCATGTTCAGTGACGAGGCGTTCCTCGCCGTTTGAACCAGATGCAATATTAACATCCACAACTGCCAGAAACAGGTTCAGAAGCGCCGCGGTAACCGTGGGCTCACTGGATATCGGGGCTGTGTGTAGAGATAAAAGCAATGAGAGCGTTTCGTGTGTGAAGCCCGGGAGAGATGGACTATGTGGACCAGCAGTCGAAAAGATAAGCGAAAGCGTTTGAAGGAATAGTGAGAGAATATGTGGTACGAAGAATGGATTGTGAGAGGGAGCAGACGACCTGCACGAGAATGTTAGCACCTTAGCTGTAAGATCGGTGAGAAAAAGGAAACGAACGAGGCAAGTTGCAGCATCATGATCTCAAATCGACCTTGGAGAGGATAGAAGAAACCCTCCGCAAGCACCTTGTGTACATCTTTCACTACTTTCTTCTGGCGCTGAGCCTCGCGTTGCTGGCGCTTCTTCTCAACCTCCATGCGCGACGAGAAAGTGCGCACCTTGAGGGCATTTGGGCCTGTCATTCGGTCTGCTGCGTCGGCTGCCAGTGGTTGCAATGAAGTCCGTGACATCTCACGCGTGAGAGTTGCGATAGGAGATTCATTTGCTCCCATGAACACAGCCTCCAGAGCAGGTGACAACCGTTTGGATGGGAACGATGTATCACCCAGCATCGGGAGATTCAGTGCCTTAGCATCCTCTTCGCCATTGCCTGCAATCTCGCGAGCGCAAAGACCCAAGGCTGTAAGTACGGCAGATCGCTGGACTTGAGATAGGTCGCCACCGAAGAAGATTGCAGCGAACCACCGGCCCATTTTGAGTGGCTGTGAGACTATGAGAGCGATCATGCTCTGCAAACGTGATTCGTGGAAAGATGGGTGATTGTTGTCGTTTTGTAGACTAACTAGTGTCAAAGCCAGTTCCTCAACCTGCTCAGCAAGTTCTGTGCCGAATCCAGTCTTCCGACGGATTAAAGATGGTGCAGTACTAATGGCAAGGTGGTACCGTTCCACGTTTTCGGTGTCACGGAGGTATGTGATCAAGTCACGAATGTATCTGGAGCACTTGTTAGAGATCAAGGCCAATTTTAGCTTCAAAATATCCCTTGGGACTTACACGGGCGCGCTTGGCTTGTTTCGTTGGACTAATGTTGGGTCCTCGTCCTCATCCTCCGCATCATCATCGGGTTTCTCATAAGGAAGGAGATCATCGTCTTCATCGGTTTCTTCCCCGCTGTCATCTATTTCCTCAATAGAGACAATCTTGCTTGCTTGAGGTCGCTTTGAGGCTGTACTTGGTTTTTGGTTCTGGCCGGAGTGAGCGCCTTTAGTCGGTTGTTGTGTGTTTGAGGGTGCTTTCTGTAGTGTTTTGATAGATTCGACTGGTCCAACCTTGTCATAGACAGTCGTGAGACTCAGGTACCACAGAGCCTCCTCACTTTGCATTTCTTCAAGATCAAATTTCATAGCCTTTCCTGGCTCTTCAATAAGTTGAGAGATCCCCATTCCCACGATCATCCCCAGAAAACGTGCTCTGTTTGAAGAAGCTGCGAGTCGGTTGGAGACTGCGTTCAGGAACACACTCGTACGTCCAATCCCATGCAATTGGAGTGGATCCAGCCGATTAAGCTGACCTGCTGCTAGCAGGATTGCTTGAGCATTCGCTAGGTAGTTATTAGCTTTCAATTACTCATTCAAATGTATCAGGTTGGACGCACTGTTTTGCGTGATGTTCGGGACATGTTTGATAAAGAACTTATCGCCAAATTGCTCAAGGCTGCGAGCGAGCAATGACTTCAACGTATCTGATCGCTATGATTAGATTTGACACGTGCAGGAATTTGGTCCAACCTTACCAGCCGAGTCACTGTAAGTCGCTAGTAAGGCGCGACGCAGACCGGTCGTTTGAATCGAACCTCCTTGGCTTTTTGAGAGCCAACCTAGTACTTGGTCTTTTAGGAATGGGCGATCTGCAATGATAGTTTTACAAAGCGCTGCCACTCCTGTGATGATGTTATTAGATGCATCAGGCTGGCTGAATGGTTCCGAAAGATCGCCTGAAAAGTACTTCTTCTGTACATCGCGGAAAATAGCTTCTAGTACAGCCATTTGCTCCGGCTGTCTGAGATGGTCCACAAGCAGACTGAAGTTTTCAGGAGATGGCTGCTTGAAAAGAAACTCCGAGTAGACCTCTCGGACGAGCTGATCTACAAAACGGTTAGAATCTTGTTGTGACCGGTGTGAGTGGGAGGAGCTTACCAGCATAGCCTAGACTTAAGGCTCGGCCAGTGAGCAAAGCGAGTGAGGTCCAGCCATTTTCATCGTTTATCTTGATCTTTGAGGCCAGATGAGCGATGTTTTCCCCAGCCAGACTGCATAACGTGGGCCATCACCAATCCAAGAGACGGGTGACATGGGCTCAGATGCATTGGCAACGGCGAGTGCTTCTGCCGCCGTGGAAAGTATTTTGCCAGCCGCGATGAGGGATACAAACTCCCTCCATGCAACTTGCTGTCGAGTTTTATTCTCGTACAGTGATGAGATGTCGGTGTAAATACGGGTAAGGAAGTCCTTTGGTTCCAGCAGAGCAGCAAGGACAGACAAGAGATCCCGGGTCATGAGATGATTATTTGAGCCTTCCGCTTTGTGGGCTGCCGGTCGAGAACTTGCAATGAGAGTGCGAAGTTGAGCCACAATAGAACCAAGTCCCGCTATGCTGCTAAGACAACGCAACAGAGCTGCTCGGCATTTTGCGACTTTTGCTTTCCTGTTATTGCCATCCAGAGCTGTCCAATGGTCGGGGATGGTAGTGCTGACTAAAGTCTGGAGAATTTGAGCTGTTGTCGGGCCTGGAATGCGAATGTCAAGCTCTTGTATCTTCCTTGAATTGTTGAAAGGGTCCAGAGCTGCAAGAGCTGCTGCAAGCTCCTCAGTGCTGGGATGAGATTTGAGTATTTGTATCAGTTGCTGAGATGATATATCTTGGCCTAGATCGACAGCAGGTTTGATGACAGCGTCATTGCGACTCTGAGTCTCAACTGCGACCAACGGGGATTCAGCACCCCGGTTGATGGTCTTAACGGCAGTTAAAAGACCGTCCATATCGAGGGTAGCGATATTGAAAAGAAGTCGCCCATGCCTGAGGTTGACCGTCGGAGCTTGTATGCGGAATATCACGTGATACCAATCTGCCTTACCATCCCACGCCACGATGCTCTCCTCCATCCTCTCACCATCTCAGCATTGCTGGAAACGTGACATATTCCCCCTGAATATCTGAACGGTGGGCTTATACCCGCAGAAAAGTATACCTGCGTTGCTCTAAACTGCAGCCTCCTAGTGTGATACGGAAGAGCCTGCTTGTGACGAGTGAGGTGCGTCTGTTTACTGCTATCCAGGACGTTCTATCGCGAATCGATATTTGAGCCGCTTGGTCTGTTCCTTGATAAACCCAGTCAACATGAATCAACAGGATCGATGGTGAGCTATAACCTCCAGCTTTTGATCAACCTTTATTTTCTAATACAGCATAGGAAGCACCTTCGTAAGGTCCTGTCCAAGCCTGGTCCTTACTCCGATGAAGACTGGGTCCCAGGGTCAGAGGCAATCGGCACCCTCGAGTCCTCAAAGATTCTGTAAGAATTCTTATTCTTATCTCGCGAATATTGCTAATGCTCGAATTAGGGTGATGTTCGTCTACCAAAGCACAGTCATTGCTATAGAAAAGCATCGACTAACCTTAATTTTTTAGCGGAGCGGGTGGACTGGGCTGTGAAATATTGAAGAACCTTGCTCTGTCTGGCTTCAAAGACATCCACGTTATTGATATGGGTAGGCTCTGCTAACTGGGCTATTAAATGTCAATAGCTAACTTTGTGCCGAAGACACTATCGACATCTCCAACCTGAACCGGCAGTTCCTCTTCCGGCAAGCTGATATTGGCAAGCCAAAAGCAGAGGTTGCCGCTGCTTTTGTAGAGAAGCGGGTGAAAGGAGTCAAGATCACACCATTTGTTGGCAAAATTCAGGATAAAGACGAAGACTACTACATGCAGTTCAAGATCATCATCTGTGGCCTAGATAGCATTGAAGCTCGTCGCTGGATCAACGCAACGCTGATTGGAATGGTGGATCCTGAGGACCCGGAGAGTCTCAAACCTCTGATCGATGGCGGAACTGAAGGTACTGATGAACCGTCTTTTCCTGGGGTTGTGGTACAAAGGCTAACGGGCAAATAGGATTCAAAGGTCAAGCTCGTGTCATTCTACCCACCCTCTCATCGTGTATTGAGTGCCAGCTTGACATGCACGCTCCTCGCCCAGCAGTCCCGCTCTGTACTATTGCCACTATCCCGCGTCAACCCCAGCATTGCATTGAATGGGCTCATCAGATCGCGTGGCAGGACAAGCGTAAGGACGACACGTTCGACAGTGACGACATGGAACATATCTCGTGGGTCTACCATGCTGCTCTGGAGCGGGCACTGCAGTTCCATATCCATGGAGTGACTTTCCAGATGACTCAAGGTGTTGTGAAGAATATCATTCCGGCTATTGCATCGACAAATGCTGTCATCGCTGCGTCCACAACATCAGAGGTATTCAAGATCGCCACTGGCTGCAACCCTTACCTGGAGAACTATATGATGTATGCCGGCGAAGAAGGTGTCTACACATACACGTTTGAGGCGGAGAAGAAGCTGGACTGCCCTGTGTGCGGTAACCTTGCTCGAAAGATGGATGTAGACCCTGATATGACCCTGGGAGACTTCATTGAGAGCCTTGGCGAGAGGGCTGAAGCTCAGCTGAAGAAACCTAGCATGCGTACGGAGGAGAAGACCTTGTACCAGCGATTCCCCCTCAACTGGAGGAGCACACAAGGCCCAACCTGCGTCTCAAGTTGCGTGATCTAGTGGAGGACGGCGAAGAAATCGCTGTTAGCGATTCGGCCTACACCATCGACTTCCGCTACAGGTTAGCGTTCAAATAAACGCCTACTACTTGACTCCCTGCGCATGCTGGGATTACGGTGACATGACTCAAACGATATCAAGCATCAAAGTATCAACTCTTAGAATTCAAAGACAGTTGCTGGCCTTCTGTGATCTAACAATAACTGTGATATCCGGACTCCGGCCTCGTAAAGCCTAACTTTTGACCGAACTTTTCGTAAATGTACAGCGCGAATGGAGCTCAAACAAACATTGCCCAACGCCAGTAAAATGCATTATATAAGGGATAGCATCGGGGAAGACCATATAATGGCTTTATGCCATCAAATCAGTCAGACCACGCTTCCACCGAGCACACTTCAACTTTAAGACCTTCACAGCCTCCAGGAAGAGAACGTCGCTCTCGAACTGGCCAGTGCTCTCCACGTTGAAAATGAAGTGATCCCGAATGCGACCGAGCTTGACCTTGCCCTGGAACTCCTCGTGGCGCAAGCACTCTCGGCTGACGGTATCGTTGAACGCATCCCGGACGACAGCCTTCAGCTCGCCGGCGTGTCCCTCGTATCCGCTTCCCTTACGCCGGGCCTCCTCGGCGGTAACTGGCTCCAAGGCAATGACGCCCCGGGGGAAGCACTTGGCAAACTTCTTGGCATCCTCACCAATTATGGGACGTTCGATCTTAATGTCCGGCATCAGACGGTAACTCGCGGTCGCAACAGGGGAGAATTTAGCGTGATCGGCACCAATGCCCTTGATACAGTGCATTTCCAGTTCGATCTTCTGACCAGGACGCAACTTGGCAATCAGAATATCCGGGTTGACAGGCTTAATGGCACCCTCCCCCGCGAAGAACTGCTCTTGGCGACCAACCGGGGCGAATGTGATATCCTTGGCGTAGACATGGGCGTTGTGGTATAGTTTGCGCGGGTCGGTCTCGTCGGCGGCGGCAGCGGGGTTCTTCGTGCACTCGACAATAAGGCCCAAGACGACGGTGTTAAAATCGCTGGGACCTGGAGGAGCAGGTCCATCATCATCCTCAGAGGGCTTCTTGTACCAGTGCATCCAGTTAATTCCCTCGACAGAGCCCTTGAGCGGGATCAGACCCAGACGAGAAGCGAGCACCTCATCTTGAATGACCGAGGTGTTGTTTTGAACAAAGACATATTCGATAGCCAGTGTAGGGATTTCAGCCATGAGAATACGGCGGAAGGCATTGGCGACCGCAGCGTCGAGTCCAATCAGCGAGAACGAGGCTTCGTACGGATCATTGCGGTGGTATTCGACTTTGAAGTTCTGATGATTAAGAGCTGTGAGAAAGTGTGCTTTGCAAAGTGGCAATTTCAGTGAAAGCGGGCACATACTTCCTTGAATTGATCAAGCGCCCAGCCGTGCGATTCTCCAGGCCAATGACCAGGAAAGTCCGTGGAGGGGATGTTCGTGACAGTCTCTGCGTTGATGCCGATGATCTAGCGACCGTTAGTATTTGGTAAGTATTGACACAGGAAAATTTCTTACACGACGGCGCTGCAGCTCCCCTTGCGATGGGACAAGAGGCGCCATGGTGGGCAAGCTAATAGAAGGTGGGTGTAAAGGTAGAAGTTCAATGATCGGCGATAAGAATAATTTCTCGAAGTATTTTCTGGGGGGCCTGAGGCAGAACAGAGGCTGTCTATTCTGTGACGAGGTAGTGTACCCTTAGGTAAGGATCTTCTGAGGGAAGTAGGGGAATTAAACCAAACTAAGCCAGAGAAGGACTAGTGTCATGGATAAAGTGGGTGTGTTATAAAGCACACCCTCGGCCAACCAACAGTCGCTTGATGACCGGACAGCTCCCCCACGTGACTGGCCAAATTGGAGCGCGACCTCATCTTCATCTTCAAACCGCAGGCTTCCCTACCCGCAGCGAGCCCACTCTCCACCCAGCCATTGAATGCGTCTGGACTGAGGACCAGCCGTCTTTCTTTCTCCTCCTCAAACCTCCCCTCTCAGCTTCCTCATGGCCGCCCCTTTCGCCCGCCTCGCGGGCAATGCGCCCAAAAGGCTCTGCCTCCGCCCCTCCACCTTGATCAACACATCTGTGCCACGATCCCGCTCGATCGCGACCACTGTCCCTCGCCGACATGCTGAGGCCACTAGCTACCAGGCTACGAGGCTCGTTCCGACCGACCCGACCTTCACTCACTTTGCCAACAAGGGGTCTCCCGAGGACCCCGAAGCTGCTGGTCTCGAGTCCACGGCCGAAGGCATTGACCGCAAGATCCGTCACTACACTGTCAACTTCGGCCCCCAGCATCCTGCTGCTCACGGTGTGCTTCGGTTGATTCTGGAACTCAATGGCGAGGAGATTGTTCGCGCCGATCCCCACGTCGGTCTCCTTCACCGTGGTACCGAGAAGTTGATCGAGTACAAGACTTATATGCAAGCCCTGCCTTACTTCGACCGATTGGACTACGTCTCCATGATGACCAACGAGCAGTGCTTTTCCCTCGCCGTTGAGAAGCTACTGAACATTGAAATCCCCGAGCGTGCCAAGTGGATCCGAACTCTGTTCGGCGAACTCACCCGTGTTCTGAACCACCTGATGTCCGTGCTTTCGCACGCCATGGATGTTGGTGCTCTGACTCCTTTCCTGTGGGGGTTCGAGGAACGTGAGAAGCTGATGGTAAGTGACGGGAGAATTTGCTTGGATAGCCTCGGGGAAGTCAAATGCAGCTTTCTAACGCATTGATCGCATTTTAGGAATTCTACGAGCGTGTTTCTGGTGCCCGTCTCCACGCTGCCTACGTTCGCCCCGGTGGTGTCTCTCAGGATATCCCTCTCGGTCTTCTGGATGATATCTACCAGTGGGCCACGCAGTTCGGTGACCGTATTGATGAGACCGAGGAGCTGCTTACGGATAACCGTATCTGGAAGGCCAGAACCCAGGGTGTCGGTGTGGTCAACGCTGCTGATGCTCTGAACATGAGTTTCACAGGTGTCATGCTCCGTGGCTCCGGTGTTCCGTGGGATATCCGCAAGTCCCAGCCTTATGATGCCTACGACCAGGTCGAGTTCGATGTCCCCGTTGGTGTCAACGGTGACTGCTACGACCGTTACCTGTGCCGCATGGAGGAGTTCCGCCAGTCCCTCCGCATTATCCAACAGTGCTTGAACAAGATGCCCGCTGGCCCTGTCCGTGTCGAGGACTACAAGATCATGCCCCCTCCCCGTGCTGCCATGAAGGAGAACATGGAGGCTTTGATCCATCACTTCTTGCTTTTCACCAAGGGTTACTCTGTCCCCCCTGGTGAGACCTACTCGGCCATTGAGGCTCCCAAGGGAGAGATGGGTGTTTTCCTGGTCAGTGACGGCACCGAGCGCCCTTACCGCTGCAAGATTCGTGCCCCCGGCTTTGCCCATCTGGGTGGCTTTGACCAGGTGTCTCGTGGTCACCTGCTGGCTGATGCCGTCGCTATTATCGGTACGTCTATTCCTATGATGTCAAGCTTGCCAAACTCTACTAATATTCTATTCTCTATTAGGTACCATGGATCTGGTGTTTGGTGAGGTTGACCGGTAAAAGTACCATGTGCAATACAATAACCAAACCAAAATCCAAAAAGAACCGGAAGAAGACTATGGCCCCCTTTTTAGACGGCTTCTATGCCATGATGGGGGTTAAAACCCAGAGAGGAGGAATCTTCCCATCCTCTATGTGATAACCCTTGGACCCTCAACCTACCCAGGTGTACCAAATTCTCCCATGTTTTCTTCTCATGGCGTTGTTTCTATTATGTCTTGTCCCTCCCCTATGTCTCCTTTCCTGCCTCCTACCTCTTATTAGGCCCCTGTGTATAGTGACCATCTGATTCTTCTGAACTTTTCTTTCGGTTCCTCGTAGCGCCTGATCGTAGTGCAATTATTGGAAACAGGTGAACTCATTCAGACACCAACGGCATGGAATCACATTGCCAAAGAATGACCTGATTTGTAGCCAAACATTTCTAGTCCGAGGATCGAGGGTGCGATTGAACACAGTGCCGTGTTGTATTCCTACAAATCAAAAATATGCTCGAAAGTTTGCAGACTGAGCTCTGTGGTCCGTCTCAACCCAACCTTCTATCCCAAGCCGAGGTGTTACTGTACATCTGAAGGCAGTCTCGCCCACCAGCGTCTGATTGGTGGGGTCGCATATTTGCCCATAAAGGGGAGCTGGTGGGTCTCTTCTTCCACGCAAGTGGCGAATCGGAACGGAGACGTGTATCTTGTTCCTTTGCACCTGGGAGTCAGAGAACGACATGCACAAACTAGAGAGCCCTCACATACATCTTCGTGACAGCACCTTTGAACGACAGCCCAAAGGTATTGCCAATAAGGATGGCTGCTTCACCACGAGGCCGAGCTTGCTCGGAGGGACGAGACACTAACCCACCATGCCGTCGGAGGAGACGAGACGGTTGCACGGAATGCCGGAGGAAAAAGATCAGAGTAAGATTGTCTACTGGCACAGTTAGGCATATGTGAGGCTAATTTTGATCGCCCAATCAGTGTGACATGCAGAGGCCAGCCTGCTCACGTTGTAAGCGATATCCCCGAGGATGTCACTACGACTTGAGTATTATCACCCAAATACCATCTGGGCGAAGACCACCGTCAAGACTTGAAGTGCCAAGGCTCGAGAATGCGTCGTTATCCCCCTCTGAATGTACCCAAGATGTTGTGGACATGATGCCGCTTGTGCATCAGCCTATCTTTAACTACTCGCCTTTTCTACTTTCTGAAGAATCCCGGTTTTTGATGCACACTTTCGCTACGCAGACAGCCCAGATGTTATTCCCGGCAGCACCTGAATTTTTTCTTCAGAGAATGATCAGTTCTGCCATAGAGACGCCACATCTTCTCCATGCGCTTTTGGCCAGTTCATGCAGTCACCACAGCCGACTTACTCAAGACTTAGGCCCAAGGCCGAAGATGATTTGCCTGAAATACACAAATATGGCGATAGCCGGCCTCAGAGAAGCACTTTGTGACCCGAAGAAGGCGACGAAGCCTGAGACTGTCACGACTGCAATGGCCTTGTGCATGAATGATGTTTGCAATGGGAATATGAAGATCTGGCGGACGCACCTCCGTGGAGTCTTGCGAATTCTTATGGCGCTTCTGGAACACCAACGGGTGTCACTCAAGGTTATGAATGATCCTTTCATTCAATGTCTAGTGAAGTGGTTCAAGACCATGGATATACTAGCTGCCTTGTCAGGAGTTCATGGCGAGTGCATTCATAATCCTGGAAATGGGCCGTTGAATTCGCTTTCAGACCATACAACTTGGCACGTGGATGAAATAAGCGGCTACTCGTTGGAACTTATCCCCATACTTGCAGAAGTATCCAACTTGGCTAGCCAAATACGGCTTCGTGTAGCTGGAGAAACGGGAAACGACTATGCACCATCCCTAGAGATGATGATCCAAGCTGAGGAACTCGAGTCAAAGCTTTTGCAACTTCTCGACCGGCCAGTTTGCGACGAGACCTTATCCCGTGGTGGCAGCATCGCTTTGGAGCTACAGAGCACACATCTTTCATTCGTACATTCTGCACTACTCCATCTCCACAGACGTGTGCAGTTGCATCCCAAAGACCATATCAAAGTCAGAACCGATATCAAAAACATTCTCGGTGCCTTGAGTCTCATCGAGCCACATTCACCTATGAATATACTCATTCTTTGGCCGATATTCAGTGGTGGATGTGAGACTGAGGAGAGCGAGGAGCGAAATACGATACTAGCACGCATGGGAAACATGCAGAAGCTTGGTATGGGTAATTTTACAAGAGCCAGAGAGGTACTGCGCAAATACTGGGTATCAGGTAGTCAACTACCCTGGGATATCTACCTCGCACGACTTGGGCTGGAGCTTGTTTTGTTTTAATTTTTAGATCCCCTACCTAATGATCATGATACCCTTTGTTCTCGCAACAATAGTCTTTCATTAGAGGTGTTACTGACAAGGCAATGTGCCTTCTCACTTATTCTACCTTCAATGGAACGCTCTCAAACCCGTCTCGCATAAACTTTCTGAGAGCCTCGAGACCGTCGATCATAACCTCACGTTCAGGAACGTAGCCAACCCGTACGTACCCTCTAAAGTCATTTCCATTACCAAAGCACCGACTTCCTGGAACGAACATAACCCCATACTTCTCCAGCAGTTGTTCACAGAAGACCACATCGTCGACCGGATGTCCACCCTTTGCAAACTTGATAAAGGCAGTCGTGCCGGCCTGTGGTCTAGTCCACGACGCAGTCCATTTGAACTCATGCACGAACGCCTCCAAATTATCAAGGTTCTGTCTCGCCAGCTGATAATTTCGTTCGAGCAAATTTTCAACTGCCGGACTCGAAAGTGCTTGGGCAGCTACGCAGTCATCGAGTTGTCCAACGGAAATGAGGGTATAGTCACGCGCAGAGGCGAATGCTTCAATCATTGCGGGATTTCTAGAAGCAATCCAGCCTAACCGGATGCCTGCTAGACTGAATGCCTTGGACATGGAACCGGTGGAAATGGTCTTTTTGTATCCAAAATCAAGGATTGACGGCGGGTTTTCCGGTTGAGTCGGGTCAAGAGAGTGGAAGAGCGGCCGGTAGACTTCGTCGCAATGAATGATAAGGTCATGTTGGCGTGCAACTTCAACGATTTCCTGCAGAGTCTCGCGGCGGAGAACAGCACCAGTAGGATTTTGCGGGTTGCTGGTCTCTTATTTAGTCATGTGGAGATACATACGTACAATATTCCTGACGCAACTCACTTCAATATGATGAGCTTCGTGTTGGGTTTGATCATGGACTTGAGATCCATCACGTCCAACTGCCAACCGTTCTCTTCAGATGACTTCCACAAACTGACTTCAGCACCAAGAGATTCAGGAACAGAATACAACTGTTGATAAGTTGGATAGTGACAGATGACGTGGTCTTCAACACCAACGTTGGTATAAAGAGCCAAGAAGTTGGCTTGAATTGCACCGTTGGTGACAAGTACGTCTTCCGCACGCAGGGGCTCCGAGGTTGCTGATGAGTACAGCCGAGCAATGTTCGACCTGAGAGCGCTAGAGCCCCGGATTGCACCATAGACCTGTTTCTGGGAGTAGTCTATGAGATCCGTCTCGCGACCTGAAAAGACCTGAAGATCGTTCAAAGAAATGGATGCACAGCATGTCTCGGCGAGATTATGCTTGGCGTCATTTTCATGGAGATCCATCCACTAGCAACATTAGTCTGATGTAAAGAAGAAAGGCAGGGCTTGTTGAGCATCTTACTCGCTCCACGGCAAACTCATCGATTTTCACCATTGTAAAACGTTCAAAAGGGTAGAGCCCTGGTAGACTGGAAGACTGATTCGAAATGTATAGAGATGAGTCTTTCAAACAGAAGATAGCCGAAGGGATTCATCAATTTATACATGAGAATTGTGAGTGAACATCCCTTCCAGCTGGATTTCGGCGGAAATGATTGGTTGAATCGGTTCCATTGCCAATTTTGGCAGTTCAACTGTCACGACTCACCGTGCCAGATTCCTAGGTGGATTTTTGCAGCGGCATCTCCTAAATCCGAGACCGGTGGTATGAAGAAGATCAATGTAGAATTCAAGGGTTCAGCTTGCTTTCCAAATGCTACCTATCCGAGAGAATTCCTGCGTAGACGCTTGGATATCTCTGGATGGGAATACAATGCCGATGCCGGAGGATTGAAGGTTTGCATTTTGTAGTTGTGAGACTGTAGATCAAACCTAAGTCTATAGTGACTGATGAACAGTGAATTGATGAAAATAGCTTAGTTGTAGTATGGATCTATAGTCTGAAGGGTTTGATGTTCAGGCAAAAAGAACACGATCCCAGGGGCGGCGCCCTGGTGTCCCCAGCTCTGTACGAAGTCTTCTCATCTAGGTGTCCCAAAAATCTCAAGTAACTCTTCCAAGGATAGCTTCAAACTCAAAGACGGCTCTCCTCACTCTTCAACAAAGCCTCAATGACCCTAGCCAGTCTATCGACCCCCTCGACAAGATACTCGCCGTCCTCCCACATAAGACACAATCTCAAACTTCGATACAGATCCGCATCTCGAGATCCTCCCCCTGGAACCGCGAATAGACTTCCATTCCCTAAATCAAGATTCTGTGTTTCAAGAGCTTTTTGGCAGACTTGATCCGCGTCGAGTAGAACAGGTAACTTCACCCAAACGTAGTAACCGCCAATCAATGTTGCTCGTTCAGGATCGGGAGAGAATGTAACTCCAAGAGGTGTCAAGCGCTTGCGTATGATAGAAACCATCAGGGAGTATCGCCGACGTCCTTCTGAGACTAGCTTCGTTGATATGTGCTGCTGTAACGTATTTGTCTCCATGAGATCGTTGACAAACGTCGACATCAGCTGGGAAGGTGCACCTCCAGATTTTGTTTGGCCACTAGGGCATGCATGAGACGAGATGGATAACTTCAAATCAAGGGAACAATTGACTTACGCCTGTGACAGTCCATAGATAAAAGCTTCAGAACCTTCAGCCCATCCAACCCGACATCCAGGACCGAGAAGCTTGCTGAATGATCCATTGCTAACCACGTTGCCAAACGAGTCTAGTGGACCGTCGTCGAGAATACGGTCTATATCGACTAGACGTTGTAATGAGGTGCCTATTGGCTGTGAGTTCGAAGTCTTATTCCAGACAAGGAAGTCGTAGACATCGTCACATATGACCAGAGCGTCGAATCTGCGAGCCACTCTGACTAGCGCTTCACGGCGGGAACGAGTCATTGTTGTTCCTGATGGATTAGAAAAACTGGGTACACAGTAGATGATGTGCTTGTAGCTCTTCCGATATGATCTCGCTGGTTTTCCAACCTGGGAGGGATTAGGTACTGTGACTGATATAAGGGTACTCAAAGGAAACGCACATAGCTTTCATCAGAATCCGTGTCTCCGGAAAGAGTAAACTCTTCCAGAGCTCGCTGGAGAGCGAACACATCCATTCCCGACTCATCCTCTGGGATACCTCTCATCCGCCCATAGAATCCCGCATCTTCAAAAGACCGAAATACCAGGTGATAAGTGGGCTCAACAAGCCATATCATTTTCGTCTGAAGAGGATCGGTAAAGACTTGTAGGATGCTAGCCAAATTCTGGCTCGCACCACCAGTGATACAAATTCGACTGGAAGTAATGGTTTCCCGAGGACCATAGAACTGCGTCAGCCACTGCGCAATATTTTCTCTGAGCGGCGCATATCCTTCGTCTGGTCCATAACCGAAGCCAGCATCTGATACGACTTTATTGGATAAAGCTCTCACAGTGGCTTCCTTGAGAGCATCGACTGGGATCAGCTCTGGTGAAGGCCACCCTTTGAAGAGGTCGATTGGGCGTAGGAAAGCCATTTTAATGATAGAAAAGGAACACTGTTTAACAAAATCAACAAACCAACGAGATCTTATCTGTGTACGATGGGCCTTTATTAGTTCGTTCAGGAATTTGGATCGAATGATGGATCTAATAGACCCACACGCCTCGGGTTTGGCAGTTTAAGCGTTCAAGCCAATCAAATCTTGGGTGAGCCTAGCCTAGTGTGGAACTGTGTCCTGGCCCCTCCGAAAAAGGTTGCATTGTAATTCTTTTTTCCCTTCTTTGCCTTCTTCATGGGATGGCCTTTGGAAGAAAATAATGGCTTTAGTGGAGTCTGGGTCACGAGGCTTGTCGCTCAAAGACGGACGGTCCTTGCAAAGTTTCGGCTGACTGCTATTGAAATTAGTCGCTATCCGACCAGATGACCAAGATAGTTAAGCTTATAGAGGGCATGAAGAAGGAGACAGCCTGCGGGACGATCTCCGGAGGTATTACCGTACGAGTAGTATCGTTGCGAAGATGAACATATCGAATTCTCAATGCTTGGGAAGAATAGCATCCAGACTCGCTAATTAACACAAAAACTCCGTCAATCCACCAATTACTTCACAGGGCAAAAACAGCAACTCAACTCCAGAAACAATGCAGAAAGAAAGGAATTCGCATCACAATCATCAAAATCTAAATGCGACTGCAACCTCGAAAACACAGCAGCTCATATTCCATTCAACACACAAACCACATCAAACATTATCATCCTCATAAACGAACGGAATATCTCGAATGCGCCGACGATTATACGCCACGAACTCGCTATCACCGGGGGTCGTTCATTACGCGAGTTTGCAGTCAACATGCTCTGAATACTCATGCACACGCTTTCAACCGTTTGAACGGGCGACCAGCCGGAGGAACTGAGGAGATCCAGGCAGATGATGCCGTTGCTGTAGATGTGAGGGTGCATGGGGATCGGGCGAGGCGTATCGGAGGTACTGGGTAATTCGATAAATTGGACCTCGGGTGGTTCTAGTTGGAAGCACGTTAGCTAGAGTTCCCTGTGGTTGGAACAAGTACGAGTGTAAGAGTTACCGATCGGGTATTTGTTTGAAAAGGTGAATTTCAACCGGTAGGTGTGACCCTTGTAGATTGGGTTGTTGTCGTCGAGGACTTTGATGTCCATCTGCCACTCCTCTAGATTGTCGGATTTGCCGATCGAGATTCCTGGAGGTATGTGGTCTTGCATCTGGAGGAAGATAGAGTTAGATCTGGCCATCACGCTGTGATATATATATTGCATGTGAGAAAGAGGGCTGAAAATCTAAAGGATGTCTCTTGGTGAAACCTTGCAGGAAAGGTAGAGGGTATGCGGAGGGGTCGGGAGGTAGAAGTACCTTCAGGAGCTCCTGAATAGATGAGTGGGCATGTCAGTAAGGATGTTCTCCGATGTACATCCTAGCCAGGATATCTGTCTGGCATATTGGGACCCAGCTACTAACCTTGCTCAAGCGCTTATTGGCAAACATATTTGCCGTATTGTAGAACCAGCGACGAACGTTGGCAGCTGGCGCCGATCGGAGACCCCAGCAACAAGCGTGAGGTTGCAGGCACGGAAGAGTCGGTGATCCACTGGGCTCGGGAACGGAAATGGGGAGTGATGACTTCCCACCTGTCGGAATGATCTGAGACGGGGTAAAACAAAATGAAAGCTAAGGGGATCACGAAGCCAGGAAGATTGAGGTGGAAGTAGTACAAAGCTCTCCGAAAGGTGATGCAACCTGCGGGGGAGATAAGATTACCCAACACGTGATCTAGAGGCTATCGTCTATTGCCAAGACCGAGATTCTATAGAAACGAAAACACATCAAATGGAAGTCGGCAGAGAACTCGGAATTCCATTTGAATCCACAGATTATGTGCAAAAAGAAACTAGGAAGATGGGGAATCACACGACTATATCCAGAATCAAGGGAAAATACAGGAGCATGAACCGGCATCAAAACAGAAGAATACGACAAACGAAGACGAGACGAGACGAGACGAGAAATTTAGTGATGCGATGCCTTCTCCCGGGCCTCTCGTTCAACCTTCTCCCTCTCCTCGTTGTCCTTGACCTCACGCACCTTTGCCAAGACAACTTCCCGGAAGATAGCGCCACGAGCAATCTTGCTAAGACTGCGCTTCTTGGTCGTCGGGGTAGCGGCAGAATCGTCATTCTCGCCTGATTCAGCCTCGGCACTTGGAGGTGCCATGCCCATGGGGCTGGGGATATCTTCCTCGCCTTCTTCACCTTCGTCGTGCATTTTGAGCGCTTCGATGCGGTTGGCCAGCTTGACAATCTCGATACCACGGCGGAGACGAGCACGGGCAATGTAGGCACGGATCTCGGGCAGCAGATCACGGTCACTGGCAGTCTCTCCGGTCAGCCAGACATGCTTGAGAGCCTCCTCGGAGGTCACACGCTTGTTGGGATCGGGTTGCAGGAGGGTGAGAATGAAGTCCTTTGCATCTTGAGAGACGTCCTTCCAATACCGCTCGTGGAAGATAATGCGGCCAGAGCGGCATTCTTCAATCAAGTCGGTCAGGTTTTCGGAGCGGAAGGGGGAATAACCGCAGAGGAGAGTGTAAGTGATGACGCCGAGCGACCACATGTCGACGGCCTTTCCGTGGCCCTGCTTGAGCATAACTTCCGGAGCAGCATAGCCAAAAGATCCCGCCATGCTGGTGAGAACCTCGGCCGGGTTCTCCAGCATCTTGGCGATACCAAAGTCGGCAAGCACTAGCTCCGAGTCGGGCGCGCGTGTGAGATAAAGAAGGTTCTCGGGTTTCAAGTCTGCAATTGTGTTAGGCAAGCTTCATTGTAAGCGATTAGGGAGAAAGCAAACCTCGGTGGACAATGTTGCGCTTGTGCAGATAGTCAACAGCGTCAAGCACCTGGCGAATGGTTTGCGAAGCATCCTTCTCCGTGAACTTTCCGTACTCGCAAATCCGGTCAAACAACTCTCCACCCACGGCTAGTTGAGTGACAATGTAGAATTTGTCCTAGTTTGCAATTAGAACTTCATAGGCCCGCGAGATATTCCTCGTAAAGAGCTCACCTTGGACTCGAACCAATCCACAAACGAGACAATGTGAGGGTGTTTGAGCTTCTGCAGCATCTCCAGCTCGTCGTAAACCATGCCCTCATTGCCCCGGACATTTTTCTTCAAGATAATCTTGATTGCAACCTTCTTGCCGTCATTCGTTTCCGCCTCCCGCACAATACCGTATGTGCCTGCGCCGAGGGTGTTACCGAATCTGTAGAGTGCCCTAAAGAGAGATCGGGTGTCAATGGATAAATGTCAGAAAGGATTGATGGGGGCCATACTTCTTCTCATAGCTTTCTGGCTGACCAGACAGCTTGTTCAGCATGTTTGCGACTATCCACCCACGGGTCAGCACATCGGGCTCTTGTCAAAGCACATGAAAACGAGGGCAGATGCAAGGAATGCCGAGGATATAGGCCAAGTTGAGAAAGGGACAGGCATTGAAAGACCAGACCATCGTGATAAAGCGCGGACAGCCCAACAATAAAGTCCGCAATGGAATATGCGACAGATAAAAGGGCTGTGCATATGAGGACAAGCATTACGACGGAGTCACAGCTCGGGGTCGTGCCATGTGGTCCAAGCTGAGACAAGCCGAAAAATTCCAAGCACGGCCGCGACCAAGGACCACGAATACCCTCCAAAATGGCAGGGTGGTACCATTCAAAACACTGCTCACGAAATGGACTCACAGCTCATGGTGTGGGAAATAGGGCTGAAAGCGCCCTAGACGGTCGGAAGTGGTATGCGCGGGGCTCGAATGGGCAGAGGACCTCGTTAGGTAGCAAAGGTGGGCTGTCGAACCCCGCAGCGGAGAGCAGCACGGAGGGGGAAGTAAAGGGGGATGGTGGTATGCCCAAAGAGTTGATGATTCAGGGAGAAATTGGGAATCCTGAGAGAATCAAGCTGTCAGCACCCAAAAAGAAAAGACGCCAGATCTCAGCCGCGAGCGACCAGGCGGGGAGGGGGGTTTAAGTGGGCGGGCGGGTTCATGGCTTGTAGCCTATCGCGATGGGGGGAGCACCATTGGGGGGTGAGGAGAGGAGAGAACGGGGAAGGACTGTACCGATCCGATTAGGTCGCAGTTCTCGAGGACGAGAGGGAGGTTGAAGGTAGAGAGAATATGAAGCTGAAGGGTCAAGGCCGGGGTAACTTGGGGGGAGTAAGTAGCGATGGAGAACGAGGAGGAGGTGATCGGGGGGTGTTGTTCTAGACGCGATAAGGAGCGTGTTGGGGGCTGTAGGCTGAAGGGCTGACGGCCGTAGGGTTTAGTGGGCCCTTGGCATAGTCCTGTGGGACTTGACCATCAAACGGTCTGCTGCACCGCCACAGCTGAACTTATGAACATTCAGAAATTTAAACCAGGAATTAACCAGGAGAAGTATTCTGTCTGGGGGCTATGAATTGACTGGTTCGATTGGGATCAGTCAACTGCACAACATACTTTCGTCTCGGCCTCGCCCTGTGTTTCAGCTCCCAGCCACACTCAAGGCAGATTCTCAGCCCAACGTGAATTATTATTATTATTATTATACGGGTGAGATTCTATCCAATGGCATGTCCATATGTCGAGCTAAAGATCTCCAAGGCAACCGTGGGCCGAGTTTAAAAAATTACCAAGCAATGGACTAATCTAACTGGTTATAGTAGATCCTCCTCCTATAGATACTTCTACTAGATCATCTTCAATCTACCTCTTCATATTGAGCCTCAAAAGATCGTCCTTCTCGAGACATAGCTTTGATCATGAGCTTGGAAGAATACGAGGATACGACCTACAGGCCCGCATCGAGTGGGTTTTGAAGAGATACACTTCCTGAAGGCACCTCCAAAGCTGTTCTTCCCCTGCTTTTTGTTTTTGTTATTTAATTCAAAAAGCAACCTTCCTGACTTAAGCAGTTTAATTCTCCGTATGCATTGTCTTCCCTGCACTTAGTACCGACCGTAGGAATCCTCTCTGCAGAAAGATCTTCCTGATCGACCATGTCAGGCCTGTGCATAGGTCCCCAGTTGGACGGAAGTACCAAATAGACCACCACGTAACGAATAGAATAGGAAGCGACAGTACTACCTACTAAATTATAGAAACATATTTGATCATGCTTAATAGAAGGCTCCCGTCCGATTCGCAGCATATTTCCCCGACAACTCCACTCAACGGCCGGTGTCTGCACCCACAGCGTCATGTCCCAACGCCCTGCACGTCATAGGCTTCGGCTGTACGTGCCTTGCGCCTGCATATAAACGACACATCGAGACGGACATTTCAAAATTGCCATAATCATTAAGAGAACACCCTTATGAAATAAGTCTACCGAAAATGTTCTACTTTATCCTGTTTCTCGTGTCACAAGTCGTCCTTCTCGCGGCCTGGGTATCAGGTACCCTAGACCCATACCAAAAGAAACTCCAAGAGAAGTTACTAGAGGCGATGGGGGAGACTAAAGTATCCTATGGATTGAAGAGTAAGTATTTCCACAAGAAGTCAACACGATCCATGAAGTTACCATAGAAAGATACACAATACAAAGAAAGAGGGTACTAATTTTGAGGTCCATTTAGAGAGTTTAACTGCCAAGAAACTTATTGAAGATGAAAACTTCAGCAAGATTCAAGATCAACTGGGCAACCAGCTAGGAAATGTGTTTGAGAAGGGAGGTCTGGGAGATGGACTGGGAACTCTGCTTAGCAAGGGCCTGTGAACTATGAACCGCTTGTGCTGGACCATACGGGTGGGAATCGGCCTGTGCTAAAGAGCGAGCAGAACTATGAGGATGTATTCAATGATTTGCTTTCGATGACATTGTTTGATAAGACTAAGTATTACTTGATATTGTACAATTTCAGAAACTCGTCACACATTACACTGGCTTTTAGATGACACCACAACATGACCACCGTATGGACTTCCCTCATAGTGTTCACCTAAGAGCTTGACATCATCAGATTCGCATAACTTTTCAGACATGAAATGAGGCCTTAAGTCCTCAGTTATCCACACACATCTCAGTCAGCACCACGTTACAGAGCTCCTGGTAGTAACCGGCTCCCTTCCAGGTGCTACGGGGAGAACGCATGCCCACGGTAGTCCAACCATCGGCCCGGAGCCGGGCAATCCGCTGTTCCTTGGACTCTTTGGCCAAAACATTGCCAAGTTCGTCCATGATCAGCTCCGGCTCCAGGTCGACTTTGCCTCCTTCTGCCTGAGTGACGGGCGAGAAGCTCCAGAAGGATGCGGCGCGCCGAATCTTTCGAGCGCGACGAACTCTCTGAATCTCGGCAACCTTCTCCACGTGCCGCCTGACGTCGGAGATGTTGGCGTTCACTTGCGAGCGAAGAAAGTCAACCCCCGGCTGAACTTGGCAATTTGAGCCATACGCATGGGCGTAGTGGCTTTATTCTGGACGGTCTTTTCTTCGCCCTTGTGCCCATTACCCTTGTTCTCATTGCCCTCGCGCTCATCTCCCTTGGGGCCGTTCTTCGTAGGGGTCCTTGGGATGCGACTTGGGCTTGAACGGGCAGCCAACCCCTTAGCCACCTGGGCTGCAGTCAACTTGATATGGCCAAGGTTCAACCGAATTTCTGGGATAGGCTGCAATGGACGTCGAGCACGAACCGATTTTCCCAGCTTCGTGGGGGTGTCAAACATTCCAGGGTACCTTCTAACTGGCGGAGGCAACTCGCATACCGACTTTCTAACGCGGAGCGGAGACGGCATCAAGGAATTCATTTTGATGAACTCTTCGAGTTCATTTGTGTCTGTGACTTGGGGCAGTTGAACTCGGAAGAGTGCATTGTTCTGGAGTGATCCACCACGAGCGTCAACCGATGCAATGCAGGCCCGCATGAAAAAATCCTGGCCTTCAGTCTCCGAGTCGGAAACGAATGGATCCTCGACATCCGGAATATTGAGGGAGACATCAATCATTCGCGTCAGAGCGTCGACGACGAGAGGTTGTAGAGGTGAGCACTCTTGAGCTTCGTCGGAAGTTGCAGAATAATCGTAGGATGTCAGAGGCGACTGCGTCTGAGACACGGATTGAGGACTCGGAGGAGGAGTTGGGTAGACCGTAGCCAGCTTTGGCAATGGAAAGGACTCTGGAATAGAACGGAGACACTCCAAAAAAGAGTCAAGAGCGGCCTGGAGATAGTTGACCTTGTTGCTCGAGTAGAGATGGGCTGCTTGGCCCAGGAACTCGTAGGAGATAGCCGCGTGAAACGCCAGGTAGGCTATGTAGATCGGATGAACCTGCATCAAAATGATGAGTTGCCAAGCCTTGGGGAAAACCTCAAGACATCGCACACTTACATCTGTTTTTCCGGTCGTTGCGAGGAGCTTTGTAGCGCGAGCTGCACATTGTTTGTACTGTCGGTCAAGGTAGAGCCGCTTGACCTCCATCAAGACCACCTCCCACTCCTTCGGGGTCTTTGGTGGCAGCGAAGATGAAGAATAGACGAAGGATGCCATAGGGTTCTTGGTAGAAAAGCCCCCAGCATGGTGTATGTGATGCAAGACTCGAGTTGTTGATGAAACAGCGAGGTTCGTGGATGGTAAGAGAGGAAGAGAGACGGACAGATCAGGATCATCTCAAGCAATCTTTTTGAGCAGTAATGGCCATGGACGCGTATAGACACGCACGTGAGCGTATAAACGTGAAGATATTCGCGTTGTACATGTAAACACGGATGTGGGGACGTGGAGGGAGAAGGTGGTCGGCATGGCGATATTGTCTTCCGGATTTGGAAGGTACGGATACTAGAGTCTCCCTGGAAATAAGCTCATGCTAAACTCGCGCAGGTGCGAAGCAGTCAAGAGCCTTTGCATGGCGGTGATACATCATGGATTATTCAAACACTTTGAGATTGAAAACACTCAGCAGAGTTACGTGATGACGGGTTAGACTAGAGAGCTTCGTACGGGGAAAATCATTGAGAATAGGTGATGCAGCCTCCTTTTATTCATGAGCGTGAAGGGACATTGAAATGATTTGACATCTACCATTGTTCCTAGATCAAAATTACCAACAAAGGCAAACCGAGCTATTGTGCCTTTTCAAAAACATGAGCAGCATCATCTGTGCGGTGATTGTAAGGAATGGCTCTTGAAAGTGCCTCTCCAGTTGCAGACAAGGCACCTAGGAAGTCACCCAATAAACGGTCCAGCTCCTCCGTGATAATCGCATCATCAACTCCGTCCATCAAGCTCTCAAATTTTGGTGCATGAACGGCCGGAAATGAGATGACACCGTGTTCAGACTCTCGTAGTGTAGTAGCTTCTGACATCACATCACGTCGAGCAGTCTGCAAAGGCTCCTCATAGATAGGGGAGCCTGGTTCAGAGATCGAGGGTGCAGTGCCTCCGGGGCTTCCATGAAAGGGAATAGCCGTAGGTAAAGGGGACACATCATCTTCAGATATTACATCGTTGTGCTTGCTCCACAAAGGATGGTCCTCCTCTTCGTCAGGGCCAGGTCCATCAAGCAACCCGCCCGATTCCGAATCATCATCCGTTGATTCGATTAGCGTGGGGAATTCAGAGTTGAACGAGCTGACAGGCTGTGGTGAAATGCCCGGAGGAGTAGACGGACGATCAAAACGGAAGGGGTCATAATCAGAATCTGACATGGTCGAAGCATGAGAAGCCGAGGTGGACGGGCGAGAGATAACTGATTCCTCGGCTGGCTGTTGCTGGGGAGGAACGGTAGGCGCTCGAAGGGTATCATGCCGCTCAGGTTCGTCATTGACACTGGTTTCATCCGGCTGACTTGACATGACAGGGAATGTCCACTCCATCGTGGCCCGCTTCTCGGCTTGGAAAGATCTTTCCTCGATAGGATCCGGTGCTGGTACTTCCTTCGGTGCTTCTTTCGCGGCCTCTTCTTCTGGCTGCATAAATCCAGGGAACTTCCAATCCATAGTAGGTGGCCGTGGACCGGAAGGGGGGTGGAAGCTCTCATCTTGAGAGTCACCAGCTTCCACGTCGCTGCCGGAAGACTGTGAACTATTTTCATTTGAGTTGCGGTGGATTCGGAGACTTGATCGATTTGCACGAATAGTATCTGCGTTGGCCAACTGGAACGGCTGTGCAGATGGTGCACCAGCTGCGTAGTGTGATGAATCGAATGACCCGATATCGATGTCTATGAATGTTGATGTGACGGAGGACCGGTCGGTCTCCGTGCGTAAAGGTAGATCTGATACTGGCTGAGGGGGCTGGATCGGAACAAAGTCATTTTTTGTCTCATACTTGTAACTCGGCTTATCCTCATCGAAAAGACCTTCCATTGCAGCTGCACCGCGTCGCACCCGCTCATCGAAATTGGCTTTCTGCTCGGGGTTCATATCGGTGTCGGAGATATCTTCATTAGAGTCATGGTCCGGAAGCGGAGTGGTTGGGCTGATTGTTTCTTCCATCTCAGCCAGGGATGCTGCTATTTGGTCGAGGTCAATAACGGAGAACCGTCGCTCAAAGCCATCTGTGGTGCTGAAGCTCCAATCGTCATCAGATTCTTCGGTGCCAGGAAGCTCAGCGGCGGCAGCACCACCTGGGTGAAACAGTGAAATTCGCTGACCACCTCGTTGTGACCACTGGTAATAGTTCCTCACAAGCTCGCTAACCGATGAAGTGGGGTATTCTTCCTCAGTATCAGCAATGTAAGGATGAGCCAAAATTTCGGCCATCGTCGGACGAGTGGCGGGGTTGGAGTCCAATGCGAATGCAATGAGGTCTTTCAGACCCTCACTGTAGTCCTCGCTATCAAGCTTAGGAGTGTTTCGGTTGAGCTGCCGTCCAATTTGCATGCGCTCACGAAGCCCCGAGTTAGGTGGGTTACCCGTAGCGAACTCGAACAGTGTACAGCCATATGCCCACACATCAATCTAACTGGTCAGCAAGTCTCCAGAATGAGAGGAAACTAGGAAACTCACCTCACTACCATATTTGTGGGCTTCTCCACGAGTTGCAAACATCTCAGGTGGCATCCAATGCGGTGTTCCAATCCATGTCGATCTCTTATCGCGCTGTGACTGGAGAACACCCGCCACACCAAAGTCGCAAATCTCAAGCCGACCTTCCTCATGAATGAGAATATTCGCAGCTGTGAACACACATCAGTAAATTCCCTACAGCTTGGGACACTGAGAATATTATCGTACCTTTGACATCACGATGAATGATACCAGCTTCGTGAATGGCGTGCAAGCCGACCGCAAGCTCGCGCGCAATAGGAATGATGTACTTCTCATCAAGTCTATCCTTCGTCGCTCTCATCTATGTCAAATCAGCTGGGAGGTCTGTTGTTGGGGTTGTCGAACGACACAGCTTACCAATGTTCGTACACTTCCACCCGGGCAATATTCACAGACCAACCACAGTTGGGAGTGGATGGAAATGGCTTCAATGAGCTCGTTGATATTCTTTGCTCCCGAGTCCTTTACTTGTTTCATCACCTTAGTTTCATGAATGAAATCCTTGATAGACTCATCCCTGAAATCACGTAAGGACTTGTAGTCAAGTGAATCAATGTCGAGAACCTTGATAGCAACAAGCCGACCGGAGGGCATTTCCCGGCCTTTGTAAACTCGTCCATAGGCACCTTTGCCAATCAATTCTTCAAACTCATATGGTGGCACGTCCGTCTTGGCACGACGACACATCTCTTTCACAGCTGTTCCTTGCTCTCGAGCTAGCTTGATTGCTTCCGCTTTATGTCTGGTAATCGCTGCCATAGCAGACGATGGGTCCAGGAGCCGGGACCCTCTGGAATCCATCTTGTTTCACTCGGTAGTGTTCGGGAAGGGGAAAAGGGAGCGGAAGGGAGAGAGGAAGGAAGGGAGGATTGTGGGGAAGGAAAACAAAACAAATTGAAAAGAGAAACGAGAACGAGCACTCTGACAGTGCAACAGACTGCTTAGTGCCTGTTTGAAGCCTGACGCTGCTTGAAAATATCGGAAAGATGTAACCTGGAGCGCCCACTATCTCTCTTTCTCAGGCTCAGTCGGCCTTTCGGAGAGGGCGAAGTAAGATCGGGAACGGACGGTGAACTTCGAGACCGCAAAGACCCGGAGGATGAGGATGCAATGAACTGGCGATGGGAGAAAGGAGTGGGAAAAGGGCCGAGGAATGATGGTGACAGAACAGGCGCAGCAGGACTGTTCTTGCGTTGCTTCCTCTTTGGGGTAGCTGGAGGGTCAGCCTCGATCCCGGCGTCAAAGACAAAACTGTCGACCGACTGCGTATCAATGCTGTCCTTTTGACCGATCACAGTCTCGGGACTATCATCCACAGGGAACTCTTCCACAAGCTCTTTGTACGACTGACTGAGAGTGCAGCCAGGGGTATTCACTTCTAGAGGTGGACTCTCTTCAGGTGTCACAGGAAGATGATCGGATTCTCTGAGCAAGCTGTCTATCTCAGTCTCGGATTCAGTCTCTTCTTCAATGCTGTAGTAGGTAGAAGGGCAGAATGAGGATGTGGTTGACGACTTCTGAGTAGGCCCTGGCGAAAGAGCTGCCTCCTCTTCAAGATGACCCAGCAAGTCAGAAATGAGAGCACTGGAGTCACGAGCAAGGTCAGAGCGGTTTTCACTCTCTATTTCCTCGTGTGCTAGCTCCTCTTCTGTATGGACACTCTCATGAGGTCCGAAATCAGATGGCGAGATCTTCGGCAGCTGGAAGCGGGTAGCCGAATCCCTGATTGACAACCCAGTCAGAGAAAATGGTCACGGAAAAAAGATGAAGCTACTCACGTTAGCAAGGCGAATGGAGAGTTCACCCGGTCAAAGTCCTGCGTATCAAGTCTGAGAGCGGGACCACGCGTTGACCTATGTCTGTAGAGGCCGCCTTCCAGACTTGGAGAACCTGGCGAGTCGATGTATCGAACCAAGTAGCCTTTTGTGCCAGGTGAGATACGAAGAGATCCTGCTGGAGAGTGGCCTGGGGGAGTCTGATCAGTCATGGTGAAATTTGATGGAAAGAGCGTTGCCTGTACAAGCGAGGGGTGTTGCGGGTAAGAGGTGGAGAGAGAAGTCAGGAAGAAGACAAGAGATGGGAGGTGGAGGAAGGAAAGAATTTAAATGCATGTCCCAGCAACATCAAGCGAGAAGCCAAATTCAGCTTACCCAGGAGAATCGAAATGGTACCTGTCGACGGGGAGATTGATCGATCCCTGGCCGCGTCAATTGGTATAAATTGACGATCCCGACGGTCCCTCTCTCACTTCACGAGAAGTTCAACATAATATCCGGAATCATTGAGGGTTATTTATTCGAGAAACACGACCAGATAATGAATGCTCCGATTTCTCGACGTCTTATTTGCACCACGTCGTGGTCATGGATGTTGGCGGTGCGTAATCACACGTGACCTGTTGTCTCTAACGCGTTGAGGCCTGAGGTGTCCACAGGACTCTTAACTTAATTGTAGATGCCTTAAACAGCAACAACAGCATTCAGGCACACCTTACCTGGCCCCTTTCCAAAGGCAGTGGGCTGTCCCTGGGTTATGCAGGGTCACTGAGCGAAGCTACAGCTACAGGAAATTTTACGGCTCCTAACATATATGCAAAAAGTAATATTAAGGCCAGAATTTCCCTATACAAAGAGCTAACCGAGGGCAACATCCATCTGTTCTAGAAGGCGACGCTCGGTATTGATGCAGGCGTACTATCCGATAAACCAAAATTCATCAATCTCCTTATTTACAGACCGAACTGGTCACGCAGACACTTGGCAAACCGAGCGATAGCCTCATCGATCTTCTCCGATGACGCAGCGGCGTAAGTCGCGCGGAAGTACATCTTTTCCATGACAGCAGACTTGTCAGCCTTGAACCAGCTGCCCCGCGACAAGAGTACTTGGTGCTCCACAGCAGACAAAAAGATTTCCTCCTCGATGGCTTCGCGGGTCTTGCCGGCCGCAACGCCGGGGTGCTTGCGCCAATCAACCTCAATCCAGTGCTGGAGAAGAGTCAGTTCCTGGATCTGTATTTGTGTTTCAAGCGGATTGATAATTAACTTACGAACATTCCTGCCGCGGGAGGTACCCAGTGGGCGATCTCGGTAGGCAGATGCTTCTCACAAGAGTGGAGCAGCGCATCGCGACGGTCGGTGTACTGCATGCGCAGGTGGATGAGCCAGTCCAGGAATCCAGAGTGGCCCCAGTGCTCATCTAGGAGTTTGAACAGAACAATCTGGGAGATACCACTGGGGTTCTGCGAGGAGACCTCGAAGTTGCGGATAAAACGTTCAATCATCTGTTCCGAAGCAACAATCCAGCCAACCCGGGAGCCAGGAGAAATAACCTTCGAGAACGACTCCAATCGGCACACACGACCGTCAACATCGATACTCAAGAAAGAGGGAACAAGGGACTTGATGAACTCCTCGTGGTTAGCAGGAGGGGGGGAGGGGCAGCGGCGCCCTGGCCAACATAAGGCTGCATCTGCAGGAAATAGTAGGGTTCATCCTCGACAATGTAGACATCGTGCTTTTGAGCAACCTTGTAGACTGCGTTGCGGCGTTCAGCCGACTGGGTGGCACCAGTGGGGTTTTGTCCGGTGGGGATGGTGTACAAGACATAAGGCTTGCGTGCGCCCCGGGCCTTCTCGTCCCAGTTGCTAAGGATCTCATCCATAGCCTCAGGAATGAGACCTTCTTCATCAATGGGGATACCGACAGCCTTCAAACCAAGAGGGAATGCGGTTTCGGCGGCACTGACAAATGTATACTCTTCCATGAGAATGTAATCACCACGCTCAGTCAAGACACGAAGTGCTGTGTCCCAAGCATAAGTGCTACCACAAGTCATGGTACATTGCCAGTCAGAATAAGGGGGGTTGTGAATAATCTTGACGTAACGTCAGTATCTTTGAACAATTTGAAACCATCTGGCCCGTACCTCAGTGTGCTCGGTGATGAACCGGAGTAGTTGAGCAGCTCCGGTCGCCTGGCCATAGTTAAGCGCAATTTCGAGATCTGGTACCCAGTCCTGTTAGTACTGTTTTAAAAGACCAGTAGAAGCTCTGAAATGGCCACGAACCATAGAGACTTGTGCCATCCTTGATATCATGCTTTCCAGCGCGCACAACCGAGCCGGACTTTCGTGTAGCTTCCGAGGAGAACTCGGGGGGATTGGGGACCTTGATGTCGATATGTTCAATGGGGAAGTATTCAGCAGAGGGCAGACCACCGCCAAGAGAGATGATCCCTGTATATGAATGTCAGCCACACAGAATTCCACTGGGGGGTGGGTATAGATGGAGAAAGGCGGACCTGGGTTCTTGAGGTATTGAGCAGCAGCCTTCAGAGTTGAGGCCTAAAGATTGATCAGTACAATTATATAAATGAGGGACATACACTGCAGTCGGCACATACCTTGCGAGACTTGGCCTCAATAGACAGCAGGTCTATTTGCATTATGTCAATTGGTGTTCGTGCTCCCCGCAAAAAGTATTTCTGACATACGATCGAAGCGCTTTGCCTTGGGCTTAGTATAGCAAGCCTGTAAACACCAAAACATTGATCAGCACTCCTGCGCCATTGAAAACTTCGATCTCATCGTATCCAACCCCCATCGAATCATGAGTATCATACCGGGCTCTTGAACATATCACTACTGCACGACGCAGCAACACCAGTGGGTATCTTCGCCATCTTCTCGCGCCACCCAGGAACACCATTGACGGTCAACGGGTCCGGCATGGGCACAGCCGAGGTATCAGTAACGCCCACCATATCAATGTCCAGCGGCGCAGGCGGGCTCATGGTTTTGACAAGTATTTAGGGTGGGTAGGTTCGGAGGGGTATAATCTTTTTTTTGTGTTCGATGCTCGAGACGAGGTAGATTCGGCGCGAGCCACTGCAGAGTTGCGATTCTAGCTAGGTATTCGGAGGCACGCAAAACCTGGGCAGACGACACTCAGTTATGTTCAGGAGGGAAAAGAGTGACACCGGAGTTGGAGCGGTAGTGGAGGCGAATGGGAGGCAGATGGCGGAATTTACAGCAGCGATATCCACTCGGCAGCGCGGATCCTGACTCATCAATACAGCCTAACTATCTAAACTTTGGAGAAGCTTTGAGACAAACGAGCCAGTAGCCATTCTCAAGGTAGGTTTCTGTTATCTAATTCCTCCTGTGCAGGGTTGCTGCTGGCGGACAAAGACGCACTGCAGCTACGCCCCGGTCAGGTGTAGGGCGTAGGGTGTAGGGCGTTTGAGGGGTCTTGATACGAAACAATACCGGCATTCGGTTATCGGCAAGTGCATCTGGGCGGTGTGCGGACATGAATACGGTAATCCGTGAACGCTGAACCCCGCATAGATAAGGCTATCACCGGCATCGGCGCGATAAGCTTAATGCGCTTGGACTATTTCGTCGAACGAAGTATATAATCACGGGATATGCACAAAAGCATCCTTTTAGGGTAGGGGGAGGTGACTTTAACAATCCCCTTTGTCTATTCAACAAAGTGTTCATTCCATGCTATCTGAGAAGGATCTACTTTCTAAAGGCTCGAACGCTCTACATACTTGCCCGCAGTTCCATCTAGCTGTGCCTCCAAGACCGCGCCTTTTCCGTTTAGCACGCTTTGAATAGCCTCTGGCAGCTTCTGGGCTAGCTCAGCAACGGTAGAAGCTCGACCAGCCCAGAGCTCACCGCCAGCTGCAGCTTTGGCAATGCCCGAGTAATCTGGCGTTGGGGCGAAGGAGATGTTCAAATCTTCATTCGTAGCACGCGAACCATCGCCGTTGGGATGCACGAGTAGCATACTTCGCCGGGGTGCATTCCACCCCTTGTTGTTCAACACGATAGTCAAGACGGGAATATTGTAACGACGTGCAATCCAATAGACAGATCCAGGAACGGAAAAAAGATATGTCCCGTCTCCGACAACTTGGACCACAAACTTGCCCTTGCCAGGACCACCGTGTTGCACGTCGGAAGCAAGCTTGATACCTAGAGCACCGCCGCCGGACCAACCCAGGCCTCCACCACCACAGTTGATCCAGGAGTTTGGCAATGTTGCACTGACTTGATCCGAGACTTGCAGGGAGAGTGTGACAGCTTCAATTGCCCAGATAGTATCGACGGGCACTCCCTTGCGAACTTGCGCGATCATGTAGGAGACGTTGAGGGGAGCACTGGCGCCGCCTGCTGGGGCTACTGCCAGATCGGCAATTTCCTTCCGGCGTTTCGCATAGTCTTGCTCACGCTGCTGGCCCATAGCACTGTTCTCGGCTGAGGTGGTGAATTGCTGAAGCGAGTTGTTGTTGCTAACGTGCTCGTTGAGCTGTCTCAAAGCCGTGGCTGAATCTGCACGGAAAGTAGCCATGGAGGGGATATAGAACACCGGCATCTGTTGCTTCAACGGGTCCACATCGATATGAATAATCTTGGCGGATGGGGATGGCTTGAATTGCGTTGGCACCCAGGGTACATCGCAATCGATTACTAGGATGAAATCGGCCGTCTTTACGAGATCGTGCCCCGGGTACCGCATGCCGAGCCATCCAGGATGGTCGGCCGGGAAGCACATATCACAGCCACCAGTGTCCAAGACTCGGATACCCTTAAAATAATTGGCTAGGGTCACAAGCTCTGTCACTGATTGGGCGTTTCGACCGGTATAGCCCACGATCACCAGCGGGTTCTTAGCAGCCGCGAGCTCAGACGTGATCAGCTCGATGCCTGATGGAGGTAGCGCGGCCGGCGCCACGGGGCCCCAATTACTCTGGTTGAGTTGATAAGGCTCAATATCCTCTTCCATCACCTCACGAGCTCCCATCAGATAGACGGGGCCCTGCGGGTTACTGGTTGCAAATTGCAAAGCTCGGTTGACAATCTGCTTCACATTCTTACCAGACTTGATCTCCCCTGTATAACGGCAGTACTGGGAGACGATCTGCTTTTGATCAGGCACATCCTGGATCCAATGGATATATTCGGTTCGCGAACCACGAGTCTCGCCTTCAATTGTGTAGGGTGAAAGTCCTGCAAAGATGAGGACTGGGGCACGTCCACATGAAGCATTGTGCACTGCCGCGCCCAGTCCTTGAGTTCCGACGTCGACATGTACGATAACAGCTTGTGGTTTGCCGGTCAAGCGAGCGTAGCCATCGGCCATTGAGAGTGCAACCATCTTTACAGCTTGTGTTAGTCTGTCCTACGTTGTCTCGATAATATCCGAACGAGGGGATGGAAGAATCATGTGTGCAGGATAAACCGGTGGATCGTGGGATGGAACAGTGATAGACGCACCTCATTGGGGCAAGTAATGATTCTAGGGAACTGGTCTTTCTTCTCCTTCTGGCCTTTCACCATGGCCTCCAAGATGGACGGGTGGTCTGAGCCGAGGTTGACAAAGACATGGCTGACGCCGCCCTAGTTGATTGTTAGGGTTGTACATTGACAGGGTCTTTGGGTATCACAAACCTCCCAGAGGGCCTCGAAGAAGGCAAAAGATGCAGTATAGACCCTATCTTGCCGTTAGTTGGATACCATAATCAGCGGTCAACCAGTGCGGGGAACTTACATCACTGCTCGCTCGCGGGTATGTAATCACGCAACAACAGAAGGCACCGAAGATGATCGGAAGGGAAAACGCTAACAAGTGTCAAAAGAGCTAGAATATAAATGAATAAAAGTTAGAGAACTGTAAGCTGACATTGATAAAGCAGCAGGCCTGGGCATGTATGTGTCGGAATTGGCTTTCCCCGCCTCCTCTCCGGACAGAAGACCGAGATCTACACATGCGGAGCAACGGAGACGTGGGGGCATCCTGTAGCTTGGCCCACGGTCTACATCACTCCTCACCTTATCGTCTTAGCCCCTCCAGTAATTGCTGTACGGTTACCCTCGGCATTGTATTTCCAGGAGAAAAAATGCCGGCAATTGGTCTTATGCGGGCAGGCATGTCGTCTAAGCCTGAAGCTACAGCAGATGGATGCCAAGTTCTAAGCAAAGCCGAGAGTCAGCACATCCCGTCCGATTACACTCGTTCAATGCTGACGATCCGGAACAAATCCGATGCCTTGCGAGGTAGAGCACACTAGTTCAAAAAGGGGACAGGGAGAGTAGAGAAGACCAGGAGCTTAGCCTGCTCTTTGCCTTGGGGAATAATCAACACGGCAATGTACCTGCAGCAATAATGTATACATTACGGATGGTTTCTATTGTAGCGATAATGAGCCGAGAGTGGACCAAACGGGAAATAACCCGCCATAGATATTTCAAAAGTAAAACATCTGGCAATTCTAGGTATGAAATGCACATCTATGTTGAGTCTTCCGTTCTGCCAGACTGCTTACGATGGAACCTGCTTACGACCAGCCGATCGCCGATATCGCACACTACACTTTCCATTATGAGATCGAGGAAGCAGATGCAAAGGTGTGGGCAAGGGCACGTTTGGCTTTACTCGATACTGTAGGCTGTGCCATCGAGACTGCAGCCACCAGTAACGAATGTCGAAAGCTATTAGGTCTCGCAACTAAGGGCATAAATGTTCCAGATGGATTTCGAGTTCCGGGAACCGATCTACAGGTGGACCCACTAGAAGGAACGTTCAGTTTCGGAATTCTTATACGATACTTGGATCATAATGATGCTTTGGGAGGGGCGGAATGGGGTCATCCATCAGGTAAGATGCTTGCCAGATGAAAACTCTTGTAAATGTTCAGTCATATTGAATTTTATATCAAAGATAATATCGCAGCTATCTTGGCTGTTATGGACTGGCTGTCACGCATGGCCGCCGCGGGCCGTCTCACCCATACTGGACCCCCGTTGACCGTGCGGACATTGTTGATCGCAGTGATCAAAGCTTATGAGATACAAGGCTGCTATCAACTGTGCAACGCATTCAATGATTACGGCATCGACCATGTGGTATTGGTCAAACTGGCTTCGGCTGCCGTCGTTTCATGGTTGCTGGGGCTCACGGAAGGGCAGACCATGGCATGCATCTCTCACGTCTGGATGGATGGGCAGCCCACGAGAGTGTACCGAGCACGCAATAACACGATTCCACGGAAAGGATGGGCTGCAGGGGACGCTGCGCGGAGAGCTGTGCAGCTTGCTTTGTATGCTCAAGCAGGCCAGCCAGGCGCGCCGGGAGCTTTGTCCTCAAAGCCATGGGGCTTCTGGGCTCGAACATTCGGGGAAGATGGCTTCCAGTTTCCTCAGCCATTTGGTACTTGGACAATCCGAAATGTGTTATTCAAGGCTATGCCAGTAGAGGGACATGCAGTATCAGCCGTGGAAGCAGCCCTGCTCCAGATGCGTCGCTTCGGAGAAAAAGGGTTGTCAAATCCCACAGAAGATATAAAGCGAATAGACTTGCGCACCACGGCTGCCGCTGGTTTGATCATCAACAAGAAAGGACCATTGCGCAATGCCGCAGACCGTGATCATTGCATTCAATATGTGGTTGCTTTGGCATTCTTGAAAGGCAGTGCGCCTGAGCCTGCCGACTATCTTGACACAAGTTCATGGGCGATAAGTAGGGATATGGAGTGCTTGATGGATAAAATCACGGTTTCACCCGACGAGATGCTGACCGGTGATTATTTGAACCTGGATAAAAAGAGCATCGGAGCGGGTGTTACAGTCCATCTCAAGGACGAATCGGTTCTTCCGGAGATTCTGGTTGAGTACCCCATTGGACATGTGCGGAATCCCGGAACAAATGCGTTTCTGGAAACCAAATTCTCACAAAACATGGCGCGGATGTTCTCCAAGGCAGAAATCGTCCAGATAGCAGAGGCAGTCCACCACCCCGATCTGCTAGTAACGGATTTCGTGGGGTTGCTTGCACGTCCGGCAAGCCAACAAAAACTGTGAAGGAGAGAAAAAAGGAGCGAATTTGCGCCAGGAAATAGTCGAGGACAGTCTTCTTTCAGTCGACCTTGCCAACGCCTTTCAGAGTTAAGTATACGTCTGTTCCCCACCCCCAAAGACTCTGTACAGCAATGCTTCCGCCGAAATACTCTGCGTATGCACGACTGAGCGGCAATCCGTATCCAAGGCCCGCAATGCTGCTTAGATGACCCCCACTGCTAGAGATCGTATTCAGAGCATCCAAATTGCCATTTTCCGAGTTGAAATCCACGTCTGAGAATGTCGTAAAGCTGTATGACCAGATGTGTGGGAGGACTTCTGGGGGGATACCCCCGCCGCGATCGCGAATACGAATAGTGATGCTCTGCGACGAGGACTTGGAGGCTCCCATTGCCTCAGTCGAATACGCCTCATCGTTGGCATCGAGCTGGAAGCCAATGTCGGCATCACCTGCGACAGGTGGTTCTTTGCCTGGCACGTCTGGAGCAGCGGCAATTGTCACCTCGATGGGCTCCCGCTCGTTTCCAGACTCGATGGTCGCCCGGAACGCATTCTTCAACAATTCCGTGATGATATATTCCACGTGCACTGGAATGTGGGCAAACGAGGCCTCGGGCTCGCCTCCAATGACGAGACGCGGACGCACCCCATATTTCAACTCGCAGATCTCACCAACGAAATCCTCGCATAGACGGATAATTCGCGCGGGCTGAAGCGCAGTATCAATCACACCAATGTAATTTGACGGAACCGCCTCCTTGGATGAGCTGGGCTTGGAGCGACCAGGCGGCTCATCATTGACCGGCTGGGAAGCAAAATGTAGCGCCAAGTGTTGTTCAGCGATTAAACGAGTACCGATACGCGCACGCAGATGGGTATCCAAGAAGCGCGTCACATCGGCAGGGCTGACATATTTCCGGCACTCTAGAAATCCCCGGGCAAGAATGGGAATGGTATTGGTATGTGTTTGTACAAGGTCCGCAAGCACTTCGCCAAACTGGTTTTCTTCCTCGAGAGTAGTGATTCGCCTTTGTTGATACGGGAGGAGGGTAGACAGGGAATGGCGGTAGTTTTGGTAAATCTTCGACACGTAAGGGTTCGACACGACTATGAAAGGCAAATTTCGCAGTGCTTGGATTCGAGAGGCGAGTCGTGCGGGGAGCAAGGAGAGTGTGAAATTCGCCGAAGCTAGAAGCGCATCCTTAGATAACGGTGGGCGTCCATGTCTGCCAAATCAGCCCTCGTCAGCCTTCTTGTGTTTCCTCCGACTCTATCACCCCTTTTATGTAGTACTCACCTTAACAAGTCTGCCAACGTCAGGGGGCGACGAGGGCTAGCAGCGAGCTGGGCAACCTCATCTCTGGCCGCGTCTCCAGTTGTTGGGCGATTGGTCCAATCCCAGGTCTTTTGCGATGTCGACGTGTGACGTATCAACCGTGACCTCGTGAGTATGAGCTGAGCGTGCCCTCTCACTGGCATCGTCCCAAATCCCGTGGCAGCCATTGTGTGCTGGGTGGGGGACAAGGGGGGAGGTAGGAGAAGCACGGAATTTAGAGACAATGGGGGGCGGTGACGGGGGAGATCTGCAGCGCGTGGTTGGGGGACCGGATATCCTCGGCCTTCCATGGCCCTTACAGTTTTAATGGCGGCCAGTTCCGTCCACTTACCCAGGTATGAAGAACATATAATTATTGGATTCTAGTCCCTGGTCCACACATTGAATATTTTAAACAAATTTAACATGGTTACGACAGCAAAACTGTTTGGAGCCTATGGAACCCCAGTTGTCGATGACGTCGACGTGGACATCGACCATAACAATGTACACCATGGATTACGTGCTGTTAACCACTTCAAAAAATTTAGTTGATTCCATAAGAATTCGTTACTTCATTGTGATCTGCGGAAGTGGTGAGCATCCTTGCAGTCAAGGCCTCTCGCTGGGTAATTATATGTACACAAAGTCGTGGAGCAGCCGAGCGTAACTCCGTTGGTATCAAATCATGTCGCTGAAGCAAAAGACCCTAGACTGCCTACTGGGCTGGAGCCGTGGGGTCACTCGGCTGGAAATAGCCATGTAGGTTTGGAGATTTGGGTGAAGTCCATTACTGAGTCTTCACCTCTGCATCCCTTTCGACGTGGACGTGGTCGTTGGACTCGAGAGTGTCGACGTGATCATCAGGGAACTCGACGCTAGAGGGAGATGAAATGTCAATACGAGATCCCACGAGATGGAGTAAAAATACATCGAGGGCAAAGTCGCCGGAAAAAGGAATCATAAGGGAGGCATACACGAAGCCCTTGATCAGACTGTACTCATGCTTGATGGTACCACCCTTGCCAATAGCTTCCTCCTTGGCACTAACAAAGAGGGCCTTTGGTTAGCACAGATCTGTTTGGACTCGGTATGATGATGATGATGATGATGATGGGGAACCAACGCTTCGAGTTTGTCCGCAGAGGCGTCGGGCTTGAGAGTGACCTAGGCATTATTCATGTCAGTGGAGAGAAGTACACACCGAAGCAATCAGTCACTTACGTTGTATGAGAGAGGCATGATTGTTGATTGTTGATGGATGGATAGATGGATGGAGCACGTGTTAGTCAAGTGAAGTGTGGTTGGAAGGTTGGGTAACGAAAGATGGTGGAAAGGCGGCTGAGCGGAGGTGGAAAGAGGAGAGAATAACAGCAGGGCTGAGATGGTGGAGATAAGGTGGAGGGGGGAGGGGGCGATGTCTCTTTATACTGGTGGGACAGTCCTCGACTGATAAGAGCGACCGAGGACGTGGCTTTTGGCTGACTTGACTGTCTCTTACGCCATTTGTTTAGCTTTCCAAGGACCTTGGACACGCCTCGTTTCTACCATTTCTACCAGCTTTATAGTTTCTGGGCCGTCCCTGGCAGTCGATATACACTCTATTTTGCAATGTACAATAGGGAAGATGTTACACTGCCGTGGCCTGGTCTCCGCAATATCCAACTTAAGAAGTGGCGGCTGATATCTACTCAGCTTTCGATTTGGGTTTGCAAGGCAACCGCGCCTGATGAATAAGATAGTGGATTGCCGATTATGGAACGGATGACTCATTTTTGGGAGAGGCTCCCCCCTGCGCCCCTTGCGCCATGATAGTGTCAATGTTGACGCCTCCCATCTACGGGTTGGAGATTGAGTTAGACAGGATTGTAGTTATCCCAGCGTCGATGTAACCATGCAGCAATGCGGCGATGACGCTATTGTTCCCGCCAAACGCGGGGCAGATCACGTGATGATACTGCAGGTTATTTCCGGATGGCGCGATTGTTGATCCCGTCTCCATCAAGTACAGTATTACATTATTGGCTTGGTATTTTTCCATTGGCATTGATATCTGCATTTATCTGGTAAAGTCTTCGAGAAGCATGATTATTGAACCTGAGGAAATCAAGGGTATTCTCTATAGTCCAACATATCCGTCTTGATCCCGGGGAGGCATGCTCATTCCATGCATCCCCTTGTATGCAGGGCTTTCGGGTGCCTTCCATCCCTCCAGAATCGTCTTCTCATCCGCCAATTGATACACCTCAACCCCCAGCGGGCGGCAAGTGGCTCCCATTCCACCCTCCTTGTCATCCCAGCCCCAGTTGGACAGGTCGCCTGCAAGTCTGGTTAGTAGCAGTTCTCATGTAGTCGGGCAGGGGATGATTGAAACGGACCGCCAGGGCATGCAGATAGCGCACAAAGCACATCCACCTCGGCAAAGAATTCAAAATACTCCCCTGACTTGGCGGGAGAGGTCTCCATGAAGTATCGACCTTCTTCATCCAGTCCAGTCACCTGGAAGACGTTCAGCACATCATGGACATCCAGCTCCGTCAAGCCGTAGGGGACCACTGATCGAGTGAGATTGGAGTGGCAGTGGAAATCGAATGTCTCGCCGCCCATCAGGAGATTCACGTAGGGATCGCAGCGAGTACCCATCAAGTCGTGCACTCGGCCTCCAAATTGTGAAGTGCCAAAGACCACTTCAGGCTTACGCTTCCCATCCGGGCCCAGCACCTCATGCAACTGCCCGCCATTAAGCGAGTCGCCCGTGATACTGACCAGTGGCCGCAGATACGGGAGGTTGGACCAGAGGCGATCACCGACGGAGACGTGAGAGGCGTGGATTTGACGGGTACGTGCAGCCCACATTCGTTCCCGTGGGTTGTGTGCGCTCCAGATGTTCAAATCACCGACTTGAGGGCCTTTGGGCGTCGTCAGACGGCAGACGTGGCCAGCAGGCACAACCCACGCCTGACCGGAGCATGGTCGGATCGTGAATGATTCTTTGGGAATTCGCGCGGCGGGATTCGATGCGGTCTTGGAGATCCTCTGGTACAGTGCAGATGTCGCATGGATACCAGAGTCCGGGGCGGAGTCATAGGCTGGGGGAGGTCGACGAGCGGTTGCCATCTTGGAGGTTATCCTTGTAGTCTGTTCAGCAACGAGGTTGCGATGCAATCGAACTCGCTTTTGAGGACCGGATGCCAACTACAGGTCCTCCTAATACCGGGCCGGGGGCAATCATTCCATTATATAATAAGATAAGCTCGGAGAATTGCCGTTATCTGCCCAGGACTCCATTCTTGGGGCTTGCCCCGCATTATGTAGAGCCGAGAAGCGCCGCCAAAAGGTCAGGCAATCGCTTTGATCTGCCTAAATTGCGTCGAATGAACAGACTGGATCACTGGATCTTAACGCAATTGAATGATAAGTCGGCATGTCACCTCCGATGCCCCCACTATTGTGGCTTGAAAGGATCAAACCTCCTAGACAATCCTACTGCATCGGCCCGATAGGAGTGGGCCTTATATCGCATTTGGAGCTGACTACGGACCAGACGATAAGAGACTTGGGGTTCCTGCCTTGTTGCCTCAGGCGGCAAGGCAAGAACCAGCTTCCAAACACTAAACTCAAAAGGGAAATACTTTTTTTCTGAGCGGCCCCATATTCTTCCGCCCCGAAATAATAATTTTGGGTCCGTTCAAACTCGCAGTTCGACGTTGAAGTCGGCTCGTCGTTAGATTGTCAGCCCCTAGAATTATAGTGGGAGAGAAGCTGTGAGGTCTGAGGCCTCTTTATCTCCATAATGGAGGAGCAGTCGAACAGGGCGCATCGCCCCGCGAAGGAGAAGAAGAAGTTTGAAGGTACGCCCCCAAAGCACTTCCGAGATTGAGTCTGCGGAGATTGCATTTGCATCCCGGTTGAAAATCTACCACGAATACTGATGATGTGACCACTATAGGGCAAAATCCAAAGGCCTTTGCATATTCCAACCCCGGAAAACTCAATAGGCAGGCTGCCCGATCGTACGATGTACGTTTACAAGCCGCTGGAGCCGCTCAAAGCTAGGATGCAAAAAGCTGACTCGGATTGCTGCTTCTAGGTCAAGGAGAAGAGATTGCATGTTCCTCAGGTGGATCGCATGCCTGAGGAGGCCCCTCCAACAGTCGTCGCTATTGTTGGACCTTCAGGTGTAAGTTCTATCCTCCATTCGACGTCAGACATCGCCTTTTGACCAGCAACCTCTTCTGTTCATCTACAGGTCGGCAAGACAACCCTTCTCAAATCATTGATCCGTCGGTACACCAAGCAAACCTTGAGCTCGCCGCAAGGCCCGCTTACTGTGGTCACCACCAAGCGCAAGCGCCTCACTTTCTTGGAATGTCCCTCCGATTCCCTTGCCGCCATGATCGATGTAGCAAAGATCGCCGATATCGTCCTGCTTATGATTGATGGAAACTACGGATTCGAGATGGAGACTATGGAATTTCTGAACGCTCTTTCTACCAGCGGTATGCCTGGTAATGTCTTCGGCATCCTTACCCATCTCGACCTTTTCAAAAAGCAGAGTACGCTACGGATGACGAAGAAGCGTCTGAAGCACCGTTTTTGGAGTGAGCTATACCAGGGTGCCAAGCTCTTCTATCTCTCCGGTGTGATCAACGGTCGCTATCCCGACCGCGAAGTCCACAACCTTTCACGATTCTTATCAGTTATGAAGAACCCACGCCCACTTATCTGGCGTAACTCTCACCCTTATGCGCTTGCCGATCGCTTCCTGGATATCACCCCTCCTACTCAGATTGAAGAGAACCCCAAGTGTGATCGTACTGTTGCACTGTATGGCTACCTCCGAGGTACCAACTTCCCAGCTCAGGGAGCACGAGTCCACGTTCCTGGTGTCGGTGATCTTACAGTCTCCGGTATTGAAGGCCTTCCTGATCCATGTCCAACTCCCTATATGGACCAGCAGATCGCCAAAGCAACTGGAAAGTCTTCAAGGCGTAAGCTGGGTGAAAAGCAGAAGCTTCTCTTCGCTCCCATGTCCGATGTGGGTGGTGTCTTGGTCGACAAGGATGCGGTTTATATTGATATCAAGACGAACACTTTCGACCGTGATTCCGACGATGAGTCTGATGATGAGAACCGCGGACTTGGAGAGCAACTGGTGGTTGGCCTGCAGGGCGAACGACGATTGCTTGGTGAGGCCGATGAAGGCATTCGTCTCTTCCGTGGCGGTGAAAAGATTGCCCAAGGAGAAGACGGTGAAGAGTCTGGCAGGAAGCACAAACGCCATGCCCGGATCGCGGACGGAGAGCGTGTCACTGGGCTCGAATCCGACGATGAGGAGGGCCTCGAAAGCGGCGAGGAGGATGATGAAGAGCTCGGAGACGACCAGGATGAGGATGACGACTTCAGTGATGACGAGGAAGACGAGATTGATGTTTCGGCGCCAGCAGACTTTGAATCGAGATTCAAGGAGCGCCAGAACGGCAATTCTCACCGCGAGGATGGAGACGTAGCTTTCGCTGACAGCGATTCTGATCTTGGCTCCATTTCATCAGTCGAGGATCAGGAGCTGGAGAGCGGCGAGGAAGATGATGAGGACGAGGACGAGGACGAAGACGACGAGGGCAATGCTCGATGGAAGGATAATATGTTGGCCAATGCCAAGGCTCTCCATGGAAAGCGACCGGCATTCCGCGTTAATGACTTATCCCGCATGATATACGACGAGTCGATTACTCCTCTTGATGTTGTGCAGATTTGGCGCGGTGAAGATGAGGAGGAGGGCCAGGAGTCCGACATTGAAGCCGATGAGGAGGGTGGGGATTTCTTCAAGAAGACCGATAACGAGAAGCGCGATCAAGCCGATTTCCGCGCCGTCCCTGAATACGACTACGAAGAGCTGGAGCGAAAGTGGCGCGATGAGGAGTTGATCGAATCCTTGAGACGTCGCTTCGTAACCGGCAAGCTCGGCGGTGGCGGTTCGGATGATGATCTTGAAGAGGGAGACCTGGACGACCTTGATTCAGATGACGAAGGCGATGGTGCTTTCGAAGATTTGGAGACGGGCGAGGTCTTTGACGGATTCGATGACGACGACAAGGATGAAGATGAGGATGAAGATGAGGATGCAGAGAAGACGCCTGAAGGCCCTGTCGACCTTGACGCAGAGCGCGAGCGCAATGCTAAGAGGAAGGAAGAACTGAAGCTTCGCTTCGAGGAGGAAGACCGAGAAGGTTTTGCCAACGCTAAAGATGGCAAACGAGATGGTCTTGAGGGCGAATTTGGCGAGGACGATTGGTATGACTTGCAGAAAGCGAAGATGCAAAAGCAGCTCGATATCAACCGTGCCGAGTTTGATGAACTCGACCCGGCCTCACGTGCTCGCGCTGAAGGCTACAAAGCCGGAACCTATGTCCGAATCGTCCTCGAGAACGTGCCTTACGAGTTCGCCTCAAAGTTCAACCCCCGCTTCCCTGTCATTGTTGGTGGTCTAGCTCCCACTGAGGATCGCTTCGGATACGTGCAGATTCGCATCAAACGACACCGCTGGCACAAGAAGATCCTGAAGAGCAACGATCCGCTGATCTTCTCGCTGGGATGGCGTCGATTCCAATCATTGCCCATGTACAGTACCTCGGACAGTCGGACCCGTAACCGCATGCTCAAGTATACACCTGAGCACATGCACTGTTTCGGTGTTTTCTACGGCCCCCTTGTCGCCCCCAACACTGGTTTCTGCTGTGTCCAGTCATTCTCCAACAAGAACCCTGGCTTCCGCATTGCCGCGACCGGTGTCGTTCTGAGCGTGGACGAACACACTGAAATTGTTAAGAAGCTGAAGCTTACTGGTGTCCCTTACAAGATTTTCAAGAACACCGCGTTCATCAAGGATATGTTCAACTCCTCGCTCGAGATTGCCAAGTTCGAGGGTGCATCCATCAAGACCGTGTCGGGTATTCGTGGTCAGATCAAGAGAGCCCTGAGCAAACCCGAAGGCTACTTCCGTGCGACATTTGAAGACAAGATCTTGATGAGTGACATCGTCTTCCTTCGAGCGTGGTACCCGATCAAGCCTCACCGCTTCTACAACCCGGTCACCAACCTGCTCGACCAAGAGGAGGGCGGTGCTGGCGACAGTGGCTGGCAAGGTATGCGACTCACTGGTGAAGTTCGTCGGGAACAGGGTATCCCCACACCCTTGAACAAGGATTCTGCATACCGCAAGATCGAGCGTCAAGAACGTCACTTCAACCCTCTTCGCGTTCCGAAACAGCTGGCTGCCGAACTCCCCTTCAAGTCGCAGATCACCAAGATGAAGAAGCACACAGATAAGACATACATGCAAAAGCGTGCCGTTGTTCTTGGTGGCGAGGAGAAGAAGGCCCGCGATCTCATGCAGAAGCTGACCACCATGCGCAACGAGAAGCAAGCCAAGCGTGCGGCTAAGCAAGAGGAGCGCCGCAAGGTCTACCGTGCCAAGGTGGCCGATGGCTTGGAGAAGAAGGCTGCCCGTGAGAAGCGGGAGCGTGACGATTACTGGCGTCGTGAGGGCAAGAAGCGGAAGAATGACGATGAGTCTGGTGGCAGTGGTGGTAAAAAGCGCAGATGATCGAGATGAGTGTTCTGTACGTGCCTTGGACGGGCATCAATATTCTTTACTTTGCATAGATGGCGTTCGTGCACCAAAAATAAGACGCTTGTATATGATTTTGACATATTACGATCCCCCTGGGAATATTTCTTCTTTCCCTGCTAAGATTTGCATTGAATAGAACAAACACAGCCCAGCTCATTGTGATTATTAACACAGTTTTCCACTCCCAAAGCATCAGAGAGGCCCTTAGAAGCCATATACTATCTTGGTCCTAGCAACGCTTGTGGCTGTCGTTGAACTGTTCAGGTTAACTAGTGTGCAAAATTGAAACAGGCCCCCGCATGAGGAGTGAGATTTCATCAGCTCCTTATCATTTCAACTGACGACGCGTCCTCTAAGCGAGCTATATGAGTACCAAGAATTGATTGCAACAAATGTGATGGAAGGTCTTGGCTCCGCTCCCAGTTCAACTCTTGTGTTTCACCATGCACTACTAAACGCCACCTCGTTCGTTAGCCCTTCAATATGAAACGGTCACATTTGCCCGAGGTGCCGCCGGAGTTGGCTCCGCTGGTCCAAGTGGGCCCCAAAGCATCGCCTTTTGACCTTTCGGCGGCACTTGTTGTGCGCTCAAGCTATGTCATCGGCACCATTTGATCTGCTCAACGGAGATATGATGTACATTTAGCCAGGGGCTCGTAGATTCTATTGGTGGATTCTTCGCTCAAATTAAACCAATTTCTCCGAAATACCCAGGCTATAGAACATACAGAGTATGGTCTACTGTAGTTCCTGATGTGGGCTTGTCATGTCGAAGCAGTGACCAAGCTTTGGGTCAAGACGAGTCGAGTTAAGCCGAGCCGATGTGGATTGTACCGTAGTATAAGACTTCTTCAGCCCCATCAGACCCAAGTAGTTCCAGTCCTTTCGTTCTCATCGCTCTTTTTGTCACCTCTGTCATTCACTTTTTTCATTCGTTATTCATTCATTCCTTTCAAGATGCGCCGTGCGCTCTTACTTTCTCTTGCCCCAATTGTTCTGGGATGTAATAACCCAGCGAGCCATGCCTGTGCTTCGGCTTATACTGCATCCAGCTCTGCTGCCGCAGCGTTCTGTGCTACTTTCACTGCCAGCGTAGTGACCGCTACCACCGGTCTACCAAGCTTTGCTTCTGCTTGTGACTTCAAGACCATGTCCCTGTCGAGTGCCTGTAGCTGCCTCGACACAGCCTGGGCTACTGCCGGATCAGGAGTAAGTCTTCAATGATCGAATTGACAAAGTCAAAGCCTAAGAAAAGTCAGTCCTGACCGGCACAGACCACTGTCATTGCAACCAGTGTGGCTACTACACCTGCTGCCGCTTCTACCGGTACAAACGAATCGTCTGCTACCTCCACTACTCTCGTCAAAACCACCCTCCCGGCCTCCTCCACTTCCACTTTGGTCGATGTTCCAACCACTACTGCGGCACCGGCCACTACTGCCGCAGACTCTACTGGATCGGGTACTACTTGTGTTGTATCCGAATACGCATCTCTCTCTTCTGCTGTCAAGTCTTGCACCAATATCGTGCTGTCCAATCTTTATGCTCCTCCCTCGAGCACAATTGATCTGCAGAGTCTTCAGACTGGTGCCACTGTGACCTTTGCAGGCACTACGGTTAGTTAAAGTAGTATAAATATGACTTGAACATGCCACTAATCTTTCGAAGACTTTCGGTGACACCTACGACGATGATTTCGATCCCATCGTCGTCTCCGGTCACGATATTACTATCACCGGTGCTGAGGGTCACGTTATCGAAGGTAACGGTGCTGCTTACTGGGATGGTGAAGGTTCCAATGGTGGACAGGACAAGTTAGCTACCAATATCATCCACACGTCGTTTCATCGCTAACTATTACGACCAGGCCAGACCACTTCTTCGTCGTCAAGAAGACCTACAACTCCAAGATCACCAATCTGAATATCATGAACTGGCCGGTTCACTGCTTTGATATCACTGGTAGTCAGAATGTTGTCATCTCTGGTCTTGTTCTGAACAACACCGCTGGAGACGAGCCTAACTCTGCTAGCGGCAGCAAGGCCGCAGCTCACAACAGTGACGGGTTCGATATCTCTTCAAGTGACTACATTACTCTAGAGGACATCGAAGTTTACAACCAGGATGACTGCGTTGCGGTCACCAGTGGAACTCAGATTGTTGTTGACAATGTGTATTGCTCTGGTGGCCATGGTCTCAGCATTGGATCCGTTGGTGGAAAGAGCAACAACACCGTTGATGGAGTTACTTTCAAGAACTCGCAGGTGGTCAACAGCGAGAACGGTTGCCGTATCAAGAGCAATGCGGATACCACTGGCAGTGTAAGTTAACATGCGATATTCCTACTTTCTTCCTTTAGACAAGTCACTGACATGTATACAGGTGAGCAACATTGTCTACCAGAACATCACCGTCTCTGGCATCACCGACTACGGCATCGATATCCAACAAGACTACCTCAATGGTGGTGCTACTGGTGACCCAACCAATGGCGTTACCATCAGCGGTGTCACCTTCGACAATGTTAAGGGCACAGCGACTGACGATGCCTATGACTACTACATTCTTTGCGGCTCGGACAGCTGCTCTGACTTTACCTTCACCGATGTCTCCATCACTGGCGGCGGTGAGACTAGCAGCTGCAACTATCCTTCTACTGGCTGCCCCTAAGAATTCGTGATTTTCTCTTTTTCGGGAATAAGTTAGCGGGGACTTGGGGCCTTCTATTCTATCTATACTTCTGTACAATACAGATGAGACTGCATTGTCGCTGTTGATCGGCGCAATGTCAAAATTCAACATGTGAACAGTAATCCTCTGTCTAAACCTCTCCTTATTCCTTGAGATGGCTTCAAGATAAAAATGAACTTTGTCGTCAATTCCCACTAGTTATGCTTTTGTCTTCCGCAAGTGGTACCCTTCCACGTGACCGTGTCTCGAACGCGTCGCCGCAAGAAGGAAAGCCGAAGAGCGACGTTGAAACTTCCACGGATGCTCCAACCTCGCACGCAATTTGATCTTCAGTCGCTAGTGTCAGTTCTCTTTTCTCGCTTTTGAAGAAGGAACGTTCTCCTTGCGGCGATCAAGGTGTGTGCAAGGCTGTCTCTGCATTATTATTTCCCACGAGCGGAGGCTGCCAGTTCACCGGTCTGCCGCTCGTGGTCAACTTTGCGCGTACTGGTCGGTCGCTACTAGATCGGACAGATGCTCCTGAGACCCTGGGCAAGCCCTACGACTACCTCTGCACCATCCCGACGGTCTCGAGGATATTTAGATCTCAACCGTTGGTCTAGCGCGCTTCCTAATCACTCCACGTCGGACATTCCTGTGCCGTCTCGATGCGGTGACTCGGCACAAGAAGTAACGTTCAGCGTGTTTAGACTGATTACCGCGGCCGCGTCTGTTCGCCATTGAAGCTTGGTCGCATATGCTCCCATCTGCGGTGCTCGTCTCTAACGCAACTATATTCCACCATAATATACCCTTCGCTATGAACGAGAGTCGCGGGGCTTCCCATGCGGAGGCCAGTGCGACCACCGAGGGCATGAACTCATCAACACTGCGGGCGCTCCAAGAACCGGCTCGAGCGGATCACATCCAAGTCCCACGATCTCCTCAACTTTTATCCTTACGAGTAGATGGATTGAATGCCGGAATTCAAGACAAAAATAATCACGGTGTTGCCTATATCGAAACCTCTGAACGTGGGAGCAACACCTCCGCAGATGGTCCACGACCAGAACCACACTCCGCAAGCGCCTTCACAGACTCCATGCCCAGCCTACCTGCCTCTTTATCGAACGAATATGACCAGCACGCGGAGTTGGACAATTCTCACTCCTTCGTTGAGAATTCGCAGTCGTCACGAACAGAACCGAACTCGGGGAATTCACAAGACTCCTTATATACCCCGTCAGCCAATGGAGGTGGAGTAGATATACTTCATCCACTCAAATCAGAATACAGTAGCAATGGCTCGGTTTCCCCAGTACGATCTCCCAGACACCATACATTGCGATCGGGTATCGACACACACTCTGCCTCCGGACACAAGAGGACAGCAACTGGGGACATCAAGCCTATCTCGGCGCATCCCATAACACCACGACCATACGATGCAAATGGTGCTTCACGGCGTCGTTCAAAAAGCACAGGCTCCCCCGCACATGGGAGCCGCATCGCACAGGTATATCCCATATCCCAGCGTGATGGCAACCACTCTTTTAACGCATTAATAGTTATCTGTTCATATTCGGACGCGATTGTCCTATGCGGCAGCCAAAATAGAAAAGTCCCGACAGTCACAACCCAATTCTCAGCTCGCACTACGTGGACTAGACAACTTATCTTCTCTAGACTCGCAAAGTGCAAGCGGCTCTCCAGCACCACTGAAGTCAAACCCGACATCTCACCCTCTACACAGTTCAAACTCCTCGACTCCCCGACCCTTCCTATCTCACCACCGCTCTCAATCAGCGCTATCATCGCCTGGTAAACTCCTTGCTATTCCTAAGCTAGCCCCGCCTGTGGACATTATCTCTTCAAATGGAGACACGCGGCGACGACGGCCAAACCCGAATGAGCCACTTCAAAAACCCCTTGGTCGCGGTCCGTACTCCCACCACAAACGGCATCATTCAACCCAGGAATTGTCCTTGTACAGTTCAACGAATGGGTCACCGAGAGTTGTAGGCCCAGGAACACCATTGATCCTCCCAACTTCGCGTGGGCCTACATCTTCTCAAGAAGGGTTTTACGGATCCAGAACCCAGTCTCAAAACACGTCGATGGAGCAGGACGCAATTGAAACGCTTCTGTTCATGTCTAGCCCCGAGAACTCAGGCTACCGTTCGAGCCCTAGACCGTTGCAGCCTCCAGCGACGCAAAGAAGTCTAAACGAGTCGATATATTCCAATCACAATTCAGTCGGATCCCAGCCCAGTCATGGCTCGCAAAGTAACAGATCGCAGAATAGTGGGGATTCGAAGTACAGACCTCTCGGTTTGGGGCTAGAAGCCAATGCGGGCGATGAAATCGATCGCATCTTAGACCAGATGGAAAGCGACAGTGAGGATGATGCTCGGTATGCATCGCATCGTCTTCATGCCAAGACACAGTTCAGAGGGCACCAAGGACGCCCAGGGTGAGGGCGATACCGGGGTCATCATGGCGAATATTTGATTGCATTTGGGGATCGCATTTGGGGTCATATTGCACGCATTTGATCATGCTCATTAGGTGGACTGCATTCGCATCATGCATAAGTCCTAATTTATCATATATAGACCTGGTCCATTATCCTTTACATTCATGTCATAGCCGGAGGTTGGTAGAATGAAATTTTGTCTATCCGTATACAAGAATTCTATGAATTAGTCTATGTCAATATCTTCGGTAATTACCGAAATGCTATAGTCACGTCATGCGTAAGGTTTTTATCGTCGCTCAATGTGCCAGTTCCTGCAATTGAGTCAGTAATGTGATAACTACAACACTCGCATGTTGCGGGGTGTGTACTTACACTAGCCATCTTGCTCTTCGCACGAATCTTGGGCCCGTAAAAGGCAAGTACCCATGGGACAAGGGTCAGCAGAGCACCCTAGTTCCAAATGTTAGCGACCAGTACATGGATGAGGTATTAAGCATGACCTACAATTCCACCCAGCAGACTCGATGCTCCAGGGTAACCCAGGTTGGTAAACATTGCAGTCGTCACTAGCGGGAAAATGCCACCGAGAAGATTACGGCCTGTAGAATGGTTAACGAAGTTACCCCCTAGATACAATTGGTATCAGACTAGTTGACTTACAGCATGATTGAGCCGCAATTGCAGAACTGGCATAGCGATGGTATGTATCGGCCAGATAGTTGAAAGTAGCCAGGTAAATCGAAAAGATACCCATAGTCGCGCATCCGACAGCCATGGCGGGTACAATCCAGGGCACAGATGGGAAGGAAGTCCAGCCAAACCAGAAGAGGCCGATAGGGAGAAGGATAGACTCGACACAGACAAAGTACAAGCGCCCTTCAGCGGATGAGTTGAGCCATCCGAATCGCGCGGCGATCTTCTCTTGCCAGATACTGATGAGGGTGATGAGAACGACACCGACACACATGGCTAGATATTGGTCAGTCGATTGCTCACAACTTGGTATTTCGGGTGATTAGCACATACCGGTGAATACAGCACCCGTCTGCTCAATGTTGAAGTGGTGGTTTGTGCGGAAGACGAGAGGAACGGAGCTGAACTGCAGGTAGAGGGTGGCCCAGCTGAAAGACACCCAAAGTGAGAAGAAGAAGACAACTGGCTCTGTGACAAGCATATCTATAGATTTACCTCTTAGTAAAACGTTGAAATAAGAACAAATTGCGCTTGGGAAAACTCACGGAAAGGCCGATACAGCGATATCTGGATCATCTTGCCCAGCGACGCCCGCTGCTCGTCGCTCTTGACCTTCCATCGAATACGTCGAACACACTTTTCATCGGAAGAGTCCTCGCTCGACATGATCACGCCGTAGTGGCCAGCCTCCTCGAGGTTCTCGTAGTAGTCGTTCAATTTCTTGGCCTTACGGCTAAGTAGAACACTGCCACGAGTCTCCTTAAAGAACACGAAGATGATTACGACAAAGACTGCCGAGACTATCGCATGAGAGTAGTAGATCCATCGCCAGGTAGTGTGAGTGACAATTGCGCCAGCGAGTATCGGTGCCAGACCGGTACCGAAGAGCGCAGAGCCCGAGAAGAGAGCCATCGGGGTGTTTCGGTCTTGAGCGTGATAGATGTCGCTGATGACGCCGCCGACCATGGTAGAGAAGGTAGCTGAAAGATGATTAGCTTGACGCATTTTCAATGTAGACTGTTGTATGGAGAATACGTACAGCCTCCAACACCCTGGAAGAACCGGGCAACTAATAGTCCTGCGAACGAGTGCGTTCCTCCACAAGCAATGAGCATAGCTAGCAAAGACATCGTCAGTTTCGATCCGAAATGAATTTCCTTTTGACATCGAAACAACATACCCACAAACAAAATACCGCTTGCGACAAAAATCGGTCTGCGTCCATTGATTTCCGAAAAGGGCGCAAGAACCATCGGTGCCAGGGCGAAGCCAACGCAAAAGACGGTGATGCTCAGGTTATACACAACAGAGCTAATGCCCCATTCTTTACACAGCTCTTCCGAGGCAGGACTCACTTCACCCGCCGAATAACCGGCCAAGGCAGTAACCCCACAAGAAATCCAAGTCATCATCGATTTGCGCCATTTAGGCCAAAGGAAAGGCGAAGTATACTTTTCCAAGCTGGGAGCCTCTGGCGGGGCCGACTGGCCGGGCCGAGGAGGTAGAGTGATGCATGGCGTCGGCAACGGCGTTTCCAGTTCAAGATAGAGATATTCAATCTCCTGGGGTTCGACCAGAGATTCTGGACTGGTCTCGCGTGTCTTCATAGTGATGAATGGCTCAGGTTTGGAGAGTTCAGTGGTGTTGGAGGCCATGTACAGAAGTATATATGGTGGTACTCTGTACCGTGCTGCTGGTGGCTTTGACCTCTTTCTTGTCTATGCGATTGCTCCTCACTTTTTGGGCACGATTTGGCTTTTTATGAAAGGCCAAGGCTTTCTCCGACCATTTAAGCGTGGGCCTGAGATGATGAAAAAAATGGAGTTGGAGAAGGACGGCAAAGCGGCAGCTCCACTCAACTATGGCCCTATGGGTCTTGGATAGAAGAAGTGTGAAGAATAGAGATGGGGGGTAGTTTATGATAACACGGAATATCACATCCTGCATGAACATTATGAGTCAAGTATTCTGTTATTCACAAAATGGTAGGGAATTCGGTCTTTTAGCCGAATCATCATCAAAGCCAATGCCGGCACGCCTTCCGAGAACAAGAAACAAGATGGATGGGCTCCAATTCTTCGTGAATTAGTCAGATTGGCTAATTTGGGGAAGACAGCTACTCCACTTTTTGCTTTCTCCAAATTGGAGAAAGCCGAGCTCCGTCTTACAACTGAGAATGCCAAACAACACCAAAAGACCCCGGTGGGAATGCATCATAAACATAGACTAGGGTAGGAAGGAGCCTAGCTGAATAATGAAGATTTGTCCCCTGAAAATTCCAATTTCAACATGTCGTTATTCGAACTTCCGCGCTGGTCACGAGCCGGTCGGCGCCAAAGGCAAGCTGCTGCGGAGTTGGAACTGCCCTCCCCGCCTTTCTCTACCCTGCAACCAACCACCTCCCAGAGCGGGGAACGTCACTATGAGCTATGAGCCATGAGCACCAAGCCCTATCAATGTCAGCGATGCCCCCGGGCTTTTGCCCGTCTCGAGCACCTGCAGCGCCATGACCGATCGCGTAAGGATTGTTCAAGCCCCACTGGCTATCAAGTTCGCCACTAATCTCTATCAGATACCAAAGAGAAGCCCTACGTCTGCGTTCAATGCCCCAAGGCATTCACTCGCAAGTACGTTGCCATTGACACGTCGCGTGGGCTCAGTCTAAGCAAATCCTAACATTTGATCCAGAGATCTTTTGGCCCGCCATGAACGACTCTCTCATCAACCTGGGCATAGTCCTACTGGTAATCGGACACATACACCTTCACCCTCACATACAGCTATGGACGGACTAGACACCCTGGCATCTGTCGTCACTGATCATGCGCAATCGGATCGTCGTATGCTGTCGGGCAGTAGTCCACAATTCACAGAGGGCGTGTCGGTGCATCGCACGCCAATGATGGGCGCCCGACTAGCAAATCCCGAAACACCATCAGCAGCGCCCCCAACTCCTCTGCCGGGCCCGGAGTTTGGATATCCTCTCGGTGGCTTCGCAGGATCCTATGAAGGAAACGATTTTACCTCATTTCTGGATAGCGTGCCTCTGCCTAGCCACCCATTTTCACCGGCATTCCAGCCCCTGCCTCTCTTCCCACCCTTGACGTATTCCCCAGTCACAGACTATGATCAGTCTTCGGAGAGAGGCCAACCTTCCGAATCTATATCGACGCCTTCTAGCTCAGTCTTACCGCGCCATGGCGCTCAATTACCATCACTTCAGCCGGAGGGCTATCAAACTACTCCGAAGGCGCGACAGCCGACAGGATTCGTTCCAGTCACTGCTCAATGTCGAGACAAGGCCCTTGAATCATTGGCTGAATATTCTGCTGTTGTGCCAGATCCATCATTACCTTCAAGACATGCTTTGTCTCGCTGTTTGACAGGGTACCTGATGGGATTTCACGATCACTACCCAATCGTGCATAAGCCGACATTAGATGTGGATTCAATGTCATTGCCCCTGTTTCTATCCATGGCAGCACTGGGTGCAAGATATTCTCGGGAACCAGACACAAGCATGCGCCTCTATCAGATTGCCAAACCAGTCACACTGGAACGATTCCGGAGAGTGTTTCTCTCCGGCACAATGCCTTCTGTGAACGTTGCCAATGATCAAGACACGCTGGAGCTACTGCAAGCCCTCTTGATGCTAATATCGGTTTCGTCTTGGTTCATCAATAATCCACCCTACCATGAGTCATTATCTATACGAAGTCATATGGCCACACTCCTTCGAAAAGACGGAATTAACCGTCTCCCCGAGTATGACGGCACCTGGACGAGCTGGATTCGTCGGGAGTGTGTCAAGCGTACAAAGCTAATTGTCTGCTGTTTCTTCAACATTCACACGATTGTTTTCGATATTCCCCCCGTCATCCTCACTGAAGAGCTTTCCTTGGATCTGCCCTGTACGGAGAAAGAGTGGCAAGCTCCTAGGGCTGATGTCTGGCAGGTGGCACGTACCCAGAGCCCCGGGGAACCGAATCTTCAGGACGCTCTCTCTGCACTATTTACCCCCAACAGCGGCATGGAGCGGTTTTCCTCGCTCGGTGGATATGTGCTCATTCACGCATTACTGCAAGATATCTGGGTGATGACCAAGGCAGGTCGTCTCGCCCTCGCCCGCGGTCATCGTCTTGGCTCATCAATTGTATCCACACCGGAGCTTATCTCCATTGAACAAGCTTTGGAGCGGTGGTGTCAGTGCTGGGAACGTAACCAAGAATCATCCATTGACCCAATGAGCCCACACGGCCCTGTCTCTTTCACATCGGCTGCACTCGTCCGGCTGGCATACATCCGACTCAATGCAGACTGTGGGTCAGCTAGGCAACTACAAACCTGGGACCCTGTCCAGATTGCTACAAGTCTTAAAGACAATCTCCGTGTCCAACGCGGAGATCGGCTCACCCGCGCAGCACTCCACTGTGCCCACGCCCTTTCCACCCCGGTCAAACTAGGCATTGGATTCGTCGCCCACTCGCAGGTGGCGCTATGGTCGAACCAGCACGCCCTATGCTCGCTAGAATGTGCTGTATTACTGGCTAAATGGCTCGAGGCGGTGACGGTTCAAGACCCAAGCCCCGGGCTGACGGAGCAGGAGATCCGCTTGCGGGACTTTGTACTTGAGATGGTGATGGAGGTACAGCATGGTGTCTCGCGCGAATGGCTGCTGGCAACCAACACTAGACTTAGCGCGGCGGTGACCCGCCTCTGGGCGCGCCTTTTCACTGCAGACTATATTTGGGAGATGGTTTGTCTGATTGGGCGGAGTTTGAATAGTTATGCCGATTTGTTGGAGGGGCAGGCATAATTAGAATGCAGTGGAAACTAGTTACAAAGACCCGAAACAAAGGGTAGAACTCTAATAGATAAATTTCAGTCATAAAATGCACGAGTAAAATACATTGACGCCCTCAGCAACCGTCGGATTCGTGGTTGTCGTGAATGATATTTATACGGCTTGTACGACTGCCGACCTCGGCGCCCATTACCCCATGTGGTGCCGTACTCTCGTATATATAGTGACTCATTTGTCCGCTACATAAAAAACTGTTCATCAAACCCACTATACTTTGATACTTCCTCTCTGCCTTAAGCTCTCACCAGAGTCTGATCTTATCTGATCCGTTCCACAACCCTCGATCTAAACTCTGATCTTCAGCCATGGCACCTCCAACCCCACTTAACGCATCATCCCATCTTCTCGAGTTTCTCAAGACTGTCCACTCCCAGTCTCTCACCCAAGAGGCAAAAGTGGACTGGCACTCTCTACCTGACCAACGTAGCGATGCCTTTGACAACATCATGCGCGATAAGTTCATCGCCCTGGACCAGGACAAGTGCGAGCTGGTCTACCACATTCTGCGGACTATCAATGCGAAGACTGTCGTCGAGGCTGGAACAAGCTTCGGCGTGAGTACGATCTATCTGGCACTTGCAGTCGCAGAGAATGTGAAGCGGGACACGTCGGCTACGGCGAAGGGGAGGGTCATCGCGACGGAGAAGGAGCCGTCCAAGGCCAGCGAGGCCCAGAAGAATTGGGAGCGGGCTGGCACCGAGATCGAGGGGGTTATTGATTTGCGTGTGGGAGATCTGCGTGAGACTCTGACCAAGGATCTGGGTGTCGTGGATTTTCTTTTGCTGGATAGTGAGTGGAATTGGGCACGTTTCCCGTTCGGATTAGGGTCAGTCACTGACATTTCATTAGTTTGGACACCACTCGCTCTCCCAGCACTGAAGCTTGTGCAGCCTTATCTCCGTCCTGGGGCTGTTATCATGGCTGATAATACAGTCAAGGCGGCTGCCAATTACGGAGAGCTGTTTGCGTATGTTGATGCTCTCGACAGTCCCTTCCGTCGCGTGACTCTTCCCTATGAAGGTGGTCTGGATATGATTGTTTATCAGTAGGAGAGAGTCTCTATTACACAGTTCCAGCTTTCAATGGATCAAGTGAAGCAGTGGGAGAGAAACACGGGCATGAAAGCAAGCGTAGGCATAACCCTGGTATTAGAGCAGCCTTCCTGTATTCGGCCATCCATCTGAATAAATCGTGATTTCCATTCCAAGTCTAGCCCGGAGACTTGGTTGGGAATAGCTAATTTTCTGCCTACTGGTGTTCCTAGGAGCAAATGCCAGGAATTCCCTCTCTATCATCACATATCTCAACAGTAAGCAAATATGATGAATGAAAAAGAAAAGAAGGTGCAGCGCGTTGCATGCAATTAGGTCGACTTCCATATAGCAGTTCAATCTCTCGTCACTCCCCCCCCAGCGTACTTTGACACAATCAAGTCCACAAATACCTTGTTAAATAGACTTCTCGAACGGGTTATATCTCACTTTGTCACTTTAGCCGCTAGCTCAGTAGGTTGATGGTATAACTGTGGTATCACCTCGGCCTTGACCCGACCGCCTTACTTTCTCCCGCAGAACAAGTGCAGTGACAAGCGTCATCAAAACAAAGGACTCTCCCAAATCAACATGGAGATACAAGGCACCATCCTGCTTCACACGACCCCCGCCAGGCGAAAATACCGCCATAATCTCGTCTGCTTCGTTGACAAGCTTATGGCTTCCAGTTGGCCCATAACTCTCGTTGAGGCCGGTGTCCTTCCATGAGAAGGTCCGCATCTGACGATCAACTTCCAACTCAAAGACATAGCGCGATGACATGAAACCTTTCTTGCTGAGCTTGGTCGTGGTCACTGTTTTGGGAAGGCCGGGATCTCCCAGTGTGATTTGGATATCGGATGAAAAGCCGATGGACGCGCTAGATCCCACGATCGGGCCATCTGTGCTATTTCCGGCGAAGAAGATGATTTTTGGTTTGTCTGGCGTGGGACTTTTGTTTTCCACATGGTAGACGGTGGTGCCATTCAGTTTGACTTGATATTCGCTGTTCCAGTAGCCGCCGGTGATTTCATATTCAACCGGGTTTGGTGACAATTTGGTGGAAGCCATGCTGTCCTGGCGATGATGTTAAGGTTCAGAACTAAGTGGATATCCGATCTCTTTTATATCAAGGTATAGATAGGCTGACTTACCCACGTTTCTCGTATTTCGATGGAACATCGATTATGCCAAGTTTCGAACCAACTAGCTACTCAGCCACGGAACATGCCGCATGATTCCATATTTTTTCCCCCGCCGAGGCTAAGCGGGGGCAGATATAGCAGTGATTTAGCGCATATAGAACAGCTTAAATCCGTGGGCCAGTACATTTGTTTTAAAATGGTACCAGAGAACATATGAATTCGGAATGATGGCCAAAGGCCTCTTTCTTTTCCCTGTCTCCCATGAGAGCGTGTACTACCTCGAATATAACCAAGGTGGAGGCTGAGTCCTCAGATACCCCGCTACGGGTCCTTTGCCCCGCGACCGACAGTACATCCACGGAGAATTCGGTGAATCCGGACTGGCCATCTGGTGAGCTTCGCCCTCGTCTAAATTCCCTCGATTCGGAATATGTGAAGTAATGTAATCGGTAGTGGTTCAATGGGCTGTCATCGTGCTAGGGAGATTAGCCAGGGTATCATCTCTGAGATCTCGAACTCGCCGTGACCATCTGAACAACCAGGCAACTATGATTCCCAGGAAGCATACAGGAATAGTCCACTAACACGGTCGCGTGTATGATTCTGGAAGATATGACCCTTAGAATGACGTCAAAAGGTGGCTTTTTTGGCGCCCGATTCTAGCATTATTACCCATTGTGGAAGGGGAACCATACTGTACTAAAGCACCAATTCATTTTCCATTCCATCACTCTTCAATTAAGTTCAATAAGATTTTGCCTCTGCTGATTATGTATATTATTGTAGAAGTAGTGTTTACAACTAGGATAGATGGACCTGTCAAAACGATACCGCAAATGACAACCTCTCTAGGCGCCAGAAACAGCCCCCGATTCCAATATATGTAACACAAACGATGCTGGATTTGAATGTGATCCCAAGCTGAGGCTACAGTGCTCAGGAATCTCCGCCTGATTCAAACTTCTGTCGTCAAAATGGATAACCAGCCGAAGATCGAATTACTCCAAGCTGAGGTCGACGAAAATGACCAAAGCTTTTCCCGACTTCTGGTTGACGGTCGATCTATCAAATACATCACCGTAGAACCTGGCATTTACAGCTCTGAAGATATGTGTTTTGGTCCCTCCCTAGTCTCTATTTTACCAAAACTTCCCGCCGGAGACTGGAACGATGGACTAGTAGCTAAGGACGCAAAGGATGACCAGCCACACTTTGCGTATTGCACCCTGATCCAATTTCCTGGCGTTCAGAATACCTGGCATAGAACCTATGTCAACTACTTGGAGCTTTCGATCGGACGAAAGTTACGAACGGGCATATATGAGGCCAAATGTTTATTATTTGATGATGATATTATCGTCGCCAAATTCGCTCGTTTCCCCTGGGAGATTCAATGCATGGAGAATGAAACCACGGCATATCAATGGATATCCGGGCGTAACATCGGGCCCCCGTTCCTTGGGCACTTGACTGAAAATGGTCGAGTCATTGGGTTCTTGATGGAACGCATAACCGATGTACGGCACACTGGCACTCAGGACCTTGAGGCCTGCAGAGAGGTGTTGTCTCGACTGCATGATCTAGGAGTCCGACATGGGGATACAAATCGATTTCCTCGTCCATGATTCGAAAGCTACTTTGATCGATTTTGACACGGCTCAGAAATGTGACGATCGAAACTTGCTTCTGCAGGAGTTTGAGAATTTAACTGTGCGCCTCAAAGATCCGTCGGGCAGAGGAGGTGGAGGTCTTCTATAGAAAATTGCATGTTGGCACCACGGTAGTCACTGTTGGTAAAGAGAGAGTGTCTCTTTTTTCATCAATCTATATAGAATACAGAAGAGTGAGGCCGCTACAGTAGTTTCCGAAATCGGTTATAAAGTGTATAACATGAGCAAATTACAATCTAGGGAGCCGTTGTTGGCCATAGACTTGCCTCGCCGCTGAGGCTTTGCTTCATGTAGCGCGCCTCTATGCCGGACGAATTAAAGCCACATTACACTAAATACGAGAAAATTGACTAGCCTTCACCAATGTGACAACCCCTGTAGCCGCCACTTCCTTATGATAAATGGAGAGCCAACTATTTCTACCCACTTTGCCATAATATGTGCCTTCGGGTCAACATCTCGAAGAGAAAATGGGACAATGTCATTTCATAGGTGGATCAATCTTGTGTCAAGCTTCGTGGATTGAAATACACTGGGATCCCCTTGGTGTGATCTTCAATAAAAGGAGGAACAGCTCCGTAGCCATTCGCGTCATGTAAACGTGCGATATCGCCGTTGACTCGCTCGCGTTCTGCCTGACGAGGCTCATAAGCAATTTGTTTACTGCTGAAATGAACAACGACAACCGGGAGATTGTTCTGTTCAAGTAGATGTCCAAGTTCGGCATCGTAATTCTTGTTCGAGATATCGAACACAAAAAGTAGGCGAACTGCCCATTTTTGGATCGCTAAGAGCAATGTATCTGGCTGGGTGTCTCTTGGTCTATTGAAGAGTCTATGTTGCTCGAGAACTTGCATCGCAGGCGAAATGAGGTCTTCTGGAGAGTTGCAAGCCTGCTGCCATAGTGAACTCCGGTTTGACACAATGACGAGCACGCGTAAAGCAGATTCTCGCGACATAACAAACTACCCATCTTAGCTGTTTCCCTGGCAGATAGACAAGCATTAGCTCACTTACTGGTTCCAAAATGATATTTAGAGATAAAAAGGCATTTGTAATGAAGCGAGTTCCTCGAACGAAAGGGAGTTAATGGGTTATATATACAGCGGGGGCGTGCGGTTGAGGGGCGTTATACCCGAACTGTTGTCATGCACGCCGCAACCCCTAAACCTGGGATGTGTGAGAGTCGGGAAGCACACCGCGTTGCACGCGTTTCTATTTTCATTATCGAGCAACCAGCTAGTTATAACATGATTCATAGCCACCCTGACCACTCCATCTTTAGCCTTAGGACAGAGAACCAGCAGGAAAACTAACTCAAAATCCAAATCGCCAGCTCCACAGCGGAGTTGACGCCGCTCCCCTCCATTCTTCCCCATATCCCCGCATCTGATAAACAGATCTCAACCCCGATAATCTTCCATAATCCCAACGCAATACATACTTCCAAACACACCTAATCCCCTCCCAAAATGACTACAAACTCCTTCTCAACTCCTCCCAAAAACAAAGAAGGCCTCTTCTCTCCAGGCGGACCAACACCAGCCTTCAATCCACCCCCAACCCCCGCAACCCAAAACTACCGCCTCAACCACCTCGCAATCCGAATCAAAGACCCCTCCGCATCCCTACACTTCTACGTCGACCTCCTCGGTATGCGCGTCATCTTCACCATGAACGCCGGCCCCTTTACTATCTACTACCTCGGCCACCCACCGCCCGGCACCGAGGCCACAGATCTAGACGCGTGGGCTAAGAAAACGAGCGAAATCCCTGTTATGACGCGGACGAGCGGATTACTGGAACTATACCATGTACACGGTACAGAGGACGTGTCGACGGGCAATGTCCCGCCGCACTTGGGGTTTGCGCATCTTGGGTTTACGGTGCCGGATGTGCGGGCTGCGGTGGAGAGATTGAAGGGGGCTGGGGTGACGATTCTGAAGGATTTGGGGGTTTGTGAGAGGGAGAGTATTCCGTTGTCGGAGTGGGAAGCGGAGAAGGGGATTGGGAAGGGGGAGATTCATGAGAACTATGCGTGGTTCTTTGAGAAATTTGCCATGGTGGCGGACCCGGTGAGTGCGGTATTGTCTTAGAGAGAGTTCCTTGCTGATATATTGAACTAGGATGGGTACTCGATTGAGCTGATACCCCAAGACCTCTAATTTACCTAGGAAGATCTACAACTACATTTACAGTTAGAATGGCAATGATATCCACGAGTGACAATGAGAAAAGGGTAACGGGAATAGACCATGCATCCCGTCCCGAAAACAACATAGTTGTGAAAAAACCCTATTCATGAACAAATCCCGGTGGTACATAAGAATGAAGAATGCCCGAATGTTTTTGATTAAGCCTCCCAGCTGTCATCCTCAGCAACATCATAGTCCATCTCCCGCGGAGGCATGTTCCCCGGTCCCGGTGCTTGGGGGGCCGGCGTAGTGTCCATGGACATGTCCTGATCATCATCACCGAGGCCATTCTTCTCCGTCGGCGTCGCAGTTGGCGTGACAGAGATAGGCGGGTTGGGCACCCAAGTTTTTTGGATTTCACCTGCGGAGGGGGCAGTCCAACGGCCGAACATGAACTTCTCAGCTTGGTAGCGCTCCTTGAAAGCCACAATCACCGAGCCAGGTTGGTCGTGGTTGGGTTCGACAGACTCGTACTGACCAATACCCTAGAACATGAATAGTTAGCCAATTGCCTTGCCTAGTGGCGAATGAAGCGAATGGACGGGGAAGAAAACTTACAATCAGATGCTGCCGCAGGGCCTCGTCGTTATCAGATCCGATCTCGATTCCAGAAACAGCAACCCTCCTCGGTCGATTATCCAGACGAAGCACGCCTGCGCCCCGACCACGAGGGTTGAAAACGCCCCGGCCACGATATCCACCGCGGTATGAAGGATCATATCCTCCACGTCCCCGGTACGTGCCACGACCACGGTAACCACCGCGCCCGCGGTAGCCGCCACGACTGGAATCAGCGCTGGAAGGGTCAATGCCAAGGGTCTTCGCCTCCGCTTCGAGAGCAGCTAGCTGGGCACGCAGGTTCTTAGTCTCCTCGCTAACGTTCTCATCAGAGGCAGCAGCAGTCTCGCCAGGCTTTTCATTCGCCTCATCGGTGCTGAGAACCATCTCGTCGGAGCCACCGCCACCGATACGTTGCAAAAGCCGGGCTTTCTCTTCCTGGTGCTTCTTCAAAAGCTCATCACGTTGACGTTCAAGAGCCTGCTTGGCCTCTTCAGCCTCTTGGCGCTTCCGAGTTCGTTCTTCGTGTGCCCTTTGCGCTTCCGCCTGCTGCTTTTCAAACTCTTCCTGGTTGAAAGCAGGAGTTTCTAGATGAGAGTCGCCGTTCTTTTCGTCTCGTCTCGGCTTGTGCCAGTATACCTTGACGAAGCGATTGTCAAAGATCACCTTGGGGCTGGACCAGGCCTGCTTGGCCTCCGCAAAAGTTTCAAACTTCACTAGTGCCAGTTTCTTATAGGATTGAATGGTCACCTCGACAATATTGCCGAACTGCGAGAAGAATTCACGCACTGCCTCCTCGGACAACTTGTCCTCCGGGATTTGCTCAACCACAATCGTTGTGATGGATTGGTCCTCATTGGGACCCGCTGACGAGAAGTCGGACCGGCCGCCACGTCCTCGAGCACTGGGCCCACCGCGCCCACGGCCACGGCCGCGGTCACCACGGGCAGGACCACCATCTCCTCGGTGAGCACCAGCCGATGCGGCCTTCGGGTCGTACTCATTCTGAGATCCAGCCTCGCCATGCTGGTATGGGCACGTAGCACCCAAGTAGCAGATACCCTGGGTATCGTAGAATGGGCAGCGCTGGCTGATCGAGGCCATCTGGCCAGCACCAGGCTGACCAGCAACACCGGGCATTCCAGGCATAGGCATGCCAGGCATCTGCGGGAAGCCCATGCCCTGCATCATCATAGCCGCTGCCATCGGGTCATTCGGGTCGAACGGCGGGAATCCTTGCATCATAGGATTGGGAAAGCCGCCAGGCTGTCCCTGGGGATACTGTTGCGCACCATGTCCAGACCAATCGCCACGGCCACCACCGCGCCCGCGGCGCGGAGTCTTGAAGGCACGGTTCTGCGGCATCCCGCTCCCTGAATCTTCCTCGCCCTGGAATCCCTCATTATACGTCCGTTTCCGGTTGTAAAAGGCATTTCTGGGACCAGCGGGGGCATCAAACCCCGAGTGCGCCTGAGGGATAGGGACGGGAGGCTGGTGTTGAGGAGCTGCCACTGGAGCAGCTGGCTTGGGGCCAAATTTGGTAAAGAGCTCATCTACGAAGGGTTGGGTGTCTATTCTGTGTCAGCGACCAGGAAAAGTAGAGTGCAATTAGTGTCAAGCGCACTTTCTCTCAGGAAGTCCTCCAGGTTCTCGACGGAGGTCTGTTTAATTTCGTCATCTGGCGCATCAGAGCTAATGAGCGCAAGGACGTAGTCTGCCAGAACGTCGGAGTCGGCATCTGAACTGTGCGGCAAAGCGGACAACGTTAGCCTGGCCTTCAAGAAGAATAATTCTATTCGATCCGCGTGGGCTGGACTTACATGTCTTCCAGCCTCTTAACCACCCAAGACTTCACATTCTCGGCTTCCGCGTCGGTGAACTGCATCGCGGCAGATTAAAGCCAATTGCCACCAGATAGTGGTTTGACTGGACTCTTTCAGAGAGAATTGAGGTGCAGCGTCACTATACAGGAAGGGTGGGCGTCACTACACGATGTAGGACCTTTTTCGAGACGGGCTGACGGCGGTCACGGTGAGGTGGCAGGGAACGCGGAAGATCAAGATAGGACGAATCAAAGAAAGAATTAGGGTGCCAACAAAGAATCAGTCGGCTAGTTTCATACCGCGAAGTCGATGCGAGCTGTGATGTTGAAAGCGCAGAATTATGGACTGAAAGAACGCGAAGGCGCGCAAAGAGGGTCACGTGAGCGTGACAGGTGCAGAATCGGAGGGCACGGACGTTGGATACCACAGCTTTGGAGCTCTGCAGCTTGCCAGCTTAAAAGCTTAGAATCAAGCACCGAGTCATTACTGTTGTTAAGTAACAAAGTACTCGGCAATTATAGCTACAATATCTACTGAAATGGCGAGCCCCTAAAATCTACGCAGCAAAGAACCAGAGCTAGTGCCTAGCATACCATATTGATTTTCATGTCCAAAAGGTAGAACTAGACACGGCGAAAACACATACAAGGGAAATCATCAAAAAAAGCAAAGAAAAAAAAACAGACAGCTATGGAAACAAGAGCAAGCGGGTTGCGACCGAGGTGCCCGAGACATCCCTCGAAGCTCCGCACTTTCTAGAGACGACAGTGGCTGTGAAGCAAGCCCACATCGAAGCGGGGATGGAATTTTTGTTTGAACCGGGAAGTTGTATTGCATTCATCAATTTCATAAAAAAAGATTCCACGCGTGACTGCCAGACGCATGCTGGTCGGTCATGAGCATTTTTACAGCTTGTCGTAGTACTATGAAAGATGTTAGCGATTGTGTTACAGAAATCAAGAAGGGACATATGTTAAAGGGGAAACTCACGTTCTCGTAGCCGGGAACCTGCTCCTTGAGACCCTTGCGCTTGCGCATCTCCAGGACGACCTGACCGGGCTTGGTGGTGGCGTCGAGAGGAGAACCGCCGGGGAGGATGGCCCAGTGGTCGAAGACGGACTGGGGGAAGGCCTGACCACCGGTGGCAGAGCGCAGATCGGCAGGGAAACCGAAAGACTCGTTGACGGGCAGGTAAGCCTTGATGTTGAACAGAGGAGTACCGGGGCGCTGCTCCTCGGAGTAGACGTGACCACGGCGGCGGGTAAGGACACCGTAGATACCACCCATGGCCTGCTCGGGGACCTGGATCTCGACGTTGAAGATGGGCTCCAGGAGACCGGGATCGGCAAGCATGGCAGCGGCGTACAGGACACGACGAGCAGTGGGGATGAGCTGGCCACCACCACGGTGAATGGCATCAGCGTGCAGGGTAACATCGAGGATGTTGAAGCGGACGGCGCGGAGGGGCTCCTCAGCGACGGGACCCTCACGGGTGGCCCACTGGAAACCGGAGACGACGGAATCCTTGATTTCGTTCAGGTACTGAACGGCCTTGGTCTGGTCAACCAGCAAGTTGGCACCGGTGGTATCGGGACCGAAGCACCAAATCTTACGGGCATCGGTAACGTCCCAGCCGTACTCGTCAGCAAGGACACGGGCACGGGCCTTGAAGTCGTCACGGGGGCTGATCTTGCCGGACTCGATGGCGAGAGCGACCTCCTCCTCGATGGGCTCAGCGGTCATGTACAGACGGTTGTGCTTGTTGGGAGACTTGGACAGAGCGGTCATGCTGGACTTTCCGGTGACGGTCTCACGGTAGGAGACGACGGGGTCGGAAATGCGGAGGGGAACACCGGCGTGGTCCTCCTCAAGATCCTTCAGACAAATCTCGAGGTGGAGCTCACCAGCACCGGCAACGACGTGCTCACCGGACTCGTTGATCATGGTCAGAACGCAAGGGTCGGACTTGGACAGACGCTTGAGACCCTCGACCAGCTTGGGCAGATCCTGGGCGTTCTTGACCTCGACGGAGCGCTGCACAACGGGGGAGACGGAGAACTTCATGACCTTGAGGTTGTGGGCGGTCTCATCGGTGGTCAGGGTACCAGACTTGAGCAGGAACTGATCGATACCGACCAGACCGACAATGTTACCGGCGGGGACATCCTCAATGGGCTCGACGAAGCGACCCATCATGAGAATGGTACGCTGGATGGCCTTGATGTACAGGTCCTCCTTCTTGCCAGGGGTGTAGTTGGGACCCTGGATGCGGACCTTGATACCAGACTTGACGGTACCGGCGTAGACACGACCGAAGGCGTAGAAACGACCCTTGTCGGAGGTGGGAACCATCTTGGAGACGTACAGCATCAGAGGAGCAGTGGGGTCACAGTCACGGATACCAATGCAGGCCTTGTCGTCAGCGGGACCCTCGTACAGAGTCTCGGCACGGTACTTCTGGGCAGTGACGGGGGAAGGCAGGTGGATACAGATCATCTCGAGCAGAGCGTCGGCAGCGGGCAGGAACTTGCGCATGACGACCTTGAGGAGGGCCTTGCCGGTGAAGTCCTTCTCCTCGGAGGTGAGCTTGATCTCGAGCTTCTCAAGGAGAGTGGAGAGCTCCTCCTTCTTGTCGTTGTTGACAGCGGCGAAGACCTTGAAGATGGGGTCCAGGATGAACTGGTTGAAGGCACGCTCCAGGGGCTTGCCATCAGCATCACCGCTCTTGGTCCACTTCTTGGTCTTGGGGTTGAAGTAGTTGTCACCCCACAGACGCTCGAGCATCTTCTTGCGGTCAACACCGAACTTCTTGGCGTACTTGACGGCGAACTGGCGGACAGTGAAGCACCAGCCGTGGAGACCGGAACCGAAAGCGATGGTACCGCGGTCGGGGTAGACCTGGACATCACCAAGAGCCTTGTCGAAGTAGGTGGAGATGATGACGTTGACGGACTCAATGGTACGGGAGAAGGACTGGTACAGATCCTCCTTGGAGACCTGGAGCTCGAGCAGGGCACGGTCGACCTTGTTGATGCAAAGAACGGGCTTGATACGCTCGGTCAGGGCCTGACGCAGGACAGTCTCGGTCTGGACACAGACACCGGAGACACAGTCGACGACGACCAGGGCACCGTCGGTGACACGGAGAGCAGCAGTGACCTCGGACGAGAAATCAACGTGACCGGGGGAATCGATCAGGTTGATCAGGAACTCGGAACCGTCGACCTTCTGGGGGATCTCCTTCAGATCCTCAGGGTCGGGGAACTTGGCGTACAAGGAGATGGCAGTGGACTTGATGGTAATGCAACGGTCCTGCTCATCGGGACGGGTGTCCATGAAACGGGTCTCACCGGCCTTGGCGGCGGAGATAATACCGGCACGCTGGACCAGGGAGTCGGACAGGGTGGACTTTCCGTGATCGACTATACACGAAGAAACTGGTTAGCTCTGTATCCCAGAGAAAAGCTTGTCTATCATTCCACATCGACCAGGAATGGAGAATACATACCGTGAGCAATGACGGACATGTTACGGATGTTGGCCGGTCGGTCCATCAGAGACCGGATCTGGAGGCGGTGTTAGTATATCAAGTTCACACTTTGTGGTGCAAGCTCTGCTCAAGACGGGAGGAGGGGTTTACCCCTCCTCCTCGACCCTCCAGAGTCCCTTCGAGGGCAGAGATATCAGGATACGGACCTCCTCAATGGTGAAGCTGTACAGAACATCTTGTTAGCTGGATGTCTCCGATGGATCGAGGATGATTCTGATGGAGCGAGCTCGACGTACTTAACCATCTTGACGGTTTTTTTCCCTCAGATAAGCCCTAGAGGCGGGGTGGAGTCTTTTTTTGGAAGGGGAATAAAAGAAGCAAGAAAACACACAGATGATCTTTCACGGACGAGCCCGATGAAGATCAAAAGAACTGAGTGTAAACTGCTCCAGGAGGAGAGAAAGAGGGATGGGAGGGGAAAGAAGAGAAGGAGGGAAGGGGAGAAAGAGGGGAGGGAAAAAGTGGGAGAGAAAAAAAGAGACGAAAAAGTGGGGACCTTTTTCGCGCTGCCCCGCTCGCTGGCGATTTTCTGATTTTCTGTGCGTTTTTTGGGACTCCGACCAGCCCGTTAAATACATTTTCGGTCCTGTTACACGCAAATACAGGGATGACACCCTCTGGACACTCATACATACAGTATGATTACCAATCAATCTCTCGTCCTCTCCAGTTGATTCTTTCTCGTCTCCTAGCTCCTCCTCCGTACAGTGAGTAGCACGGAGTATATGGGCAGGTACAGCTACCAAGCAGACCCTATATAAAGCATCGCGGATTTGAAATCACCCTCAAACCGCTTAGCTCTCGACTCATATTCCGATCGTATCCGTGGTTCTCCGGGAAAGCTTGCAGAGCTCAGCAAGAGCTGACCAGCTTGCCACACACCCCCAATGTGCCGCGTCTGATTCGAGTACGGAGGACAGAAAACCTTCCCACCAACCCAACCAAGCAGCTAGTCTCCTCTAGGAGCAGGAGTCCTGCTACTAGTCCTGCTAGTAGAAGTACAACCAGCAGCGTTTCATGCCCAGCCCCGCCTCTCACCGCCCGCGCGGGGCAGTGATGGATTAATAATACAGTAACCGGGCCGTTTAACTACCTCTTGGACAACACAGTACAGCAGTACATACAGGAGTACTAGATTTAGATTAATTGGCCTTGGATAATAGACCCTAACTCTAGTATACTGTAGTATGGATCCTTGGACAGAAGTACATTGGACAGAAGGAACAAATAGAATTTGAAAATCAATGTACAGAGAACCCTCCAAATGGATTCGAAAACACGCATGTATAGCACAAGCTATCATACAACGAATGCTCCTCCACGCCTCAAAAACTCCAAACAATGCATATTACATACATATTATCTCTCTCTTCTCCCTCTTCAAGTCCCCAAAATCGTTCCATACGCATCCTCTACCTCCTTGGCAATCTCCAACAGAGTCACAATGATGATCTGATGTGTGACATTAGGCAGCTTATCACGCTGCAACCCTATCCATTCCAGTGGCGGTGTTGCCTCGCCCATGTCCCGCAGTTGTGGCGTTTCAATCACGGGCGGCTCCAATGCCGTGTAGGTGTACTTGCTTTGCGGCACATTGACCACGGCCGTAATCTTGTCCTGCTGCTCGGCACCCGCACCCCCTCCTTCTCCCTGGCCGCCGCCGTTCCCGGTTCCCCCTGTGATTCGGACGGCTGACGGGGGTAAAGGCTTGCCGAGTCGGGAGGCCAACGCCCGTGAATGCGACTCCCACATGTCACGGATGAAGCTGATGCGCGAGTAGTTCCAGCCCACATCCACTTTGCCTTCGAACGTGCTGTGGAATATGTAGTCGATCTGTCGCGTTCCAGGCACCTGCCAGGTTTCCATACCAGCCACCAGTCGGGGCACCTTGAGAATGGTGCCACCACGGGAGCCAGCGGCACGTTGGGCGATCGCGTCGACAGACAGCTCGTCCAGGTTGGCAGAAGCTGGGCGGTTGATCCCAGAGAGAGCCACGCGCAGTTGGCCGAGCGTGAGACCGAGTGCGCTGTGAATCTTGTTGGATTCAAGAGACACGGTAAATCGGGCCTGTGCATCGTGCGCCTCGACCTTGAAGATCTGGTTGTCAAAGAACGAGCTGGGGAAGGCTCCGAGATCGACATGCCGGATATTGACCACCACTCCGGTGTGAAGAGAGCCAGGTGCGCGCTCCACCTCCTCGTCTTTCTGGGCCAATTCCTTACTGCGAGCCTCTATCCGGCCAGGGACCGCAGAGGATTTGCGGCGAAGATACCGCTCCACCTCTCGCAAAGATGCCTCGTAGGCCGATTGTTTATCTTGCACCAAACGTTGCCAGGCCTGGAAAAGCGCCAACGTCTGGGACGCAGTCAGAGACGTGCAGAATACCTGGACCTCATCACCTTCCAGAACACTGAACAGTCTTTCGCCTCCTTTGCCTGGAGCCTCGCGCACATTGTACATGAGGAAATCGAATTTGGTCACATGGGCGACCAAGAAAGGCTGGTAGTCAAAGGATACCTTGGCTTGCAGATGATGGAAAGCGATCGAGGCCTGGATAAGAGGCGTGTTCCCAGCAGTCTCTTCGGGCCATTTGATGGAGGTGTGGACCTTGAAGGAGCGTAGCTCGACGATCCCGGCCATGCGACCCTTGCACTCAATGCCAACGGAGTCGAAGTTGATACACATGCTTTGCTCACGATCCGAGGTCTTGTTTGAGGATACCCAAGCATTATCAATTGCAAATTGGGCTTTGCCTAGCGTCGATCCCAAGTCAAGCGTAATCTCCAGTTTTTCGACGGCAATTGTGGTATTCCAAGGGAATGCTGATGTGGATGCCACCTGTTGGTATCGCTGCACGATGTAGGTTTGGGCCTCGGGCTGCTCTGGCTGTGGGGGAGGAGTTACGGAGTCAGATTCGTCATCATCTGACGGAAGCCAAATCTCGCGGAACAGAAGAGAATCCTGAACCTGCTTGGCATTCAAGGATACTTTCATGGGGCTGACTCGCAGGATTGCCGACATTCCACTCGTTCGGCCGAGGTGTTTGCTATTCATGAGGGACAGAACCATTGACTGAACTTCGAAGCTTGCCGTAGACTCGTTGGAGTAAACATGCTTAACCGAAGCCTCGAGGCTGTTGAATGCTAAGGATAGAGCAAGGAAACGACCCTGCTCTGTCGACTGTACTGTATTGACAGTCACGTAGACACTCTCAAATTGCGCCGTGGCGGCTACTCTGGCGATCGGCTGGCAGCTCAAACTGAATTCTTGTTTACAGAACAGCAAGCCGAGGTTGACCTTACACCGTCCCAGAATGGAGTTCGGATCGGGTGCGCCAAAGGGGAGTCTCTTGCATCAACTTCTGCGGTTGCAGTTTTGCTGCAGTAGATGGCCTTCGTGGACGGCCTGGCTGGCTTTGTTGTTGCTCACCCATAATCTCTTTCACCGTAGCGGTCATCTGCTTGACCAGGGGAACAAGAGTTGGGTATAGAACGTTGGTAGATGGATCAACCTTCAGTTCCGCATTGAGTGCTGGATTGTCAGTGCCGTTATCTTCAAATTGAACTTTAAGAGCGACACCTGGCGCCCGCAGAGTAGCCGTCGTAGCCGAATCTCCTTGCACATACTGGCCGTACTTAGACTCTGGAAGCCTGGTGCCCTTCAACGTGGCAGTCAACAACGTCTGAGAATCATGGCTCTGCTTCCCCTGTAGCGACACAGTGGCACCAGTGAAGTCAACATCAACGAGAACCGATCGGAGACGCCTGTTACCAAACAGACTACTGTCCTTGTTGGTGTTGTCTGGAGATGGCTTTGTGGCCCACGCAGCCCTACCCTCACGCAACGCCTCGCTGGCAGATCCCATGGAGTTTCGTATCATGTTAGCAGGAATGATGAATTCGGATGTCGCACGAATATCAAGTGACTTTCCTGCAGCTTGGAAAGCAAGCCACAATTCCTTTCCGCTTGAATAGTAGGCGACATTGAAAACCAATTCCGGCATGAGAGCTGAATTGAGTGAACGCTTTCTTCTGTCTGCGCGGAATGGTACCATTTGAAGCTGCATGTTTTCGATCCGGAGTTTGGCCGCATTCTTCTTTTTGTTGGACAGTTCTACCTGCTTGATGGAGAATATCAAATCCTCCGGCTGCCGGCGGCCAGGTTTATCAGACAAAGCTGTCGACATGTTCCATGCCACTTGAATGTCTCGGAACTCCAACGAATAAAAGGCGTTCAGGAAGGCTTGGGTGGGATCGTTATCGTTCAAATGAATCTCTGGCGCCTCGAGGGGGGTCCTGGGTCTTTCTTGATGCTGGTTGCGATGTCGCAGTCTGCGCAGGCGTTCAACTTCGTGAGATAGATCCAAAGTCTTGATGCGTTCTTGGGTGTAGATGGCAATGTCAACCACCAGCGCCGCCGTCTCAGCAAACAGCTCGACGTCCAACTTGTTGCTGGTGAGATGATATGCCCGCATGACTTCTCCATTTTCCCGAACTGTGGAAGTCCCTTGAAGTTTTACGCCGGCTGAGATGCTACCATAGGGTTTGCTCTTCGAATTTTCTTGCCTGCGTAACTCAAAATTGATTTGAGGAGCGTCAACGCTGAACTCGGGATAGTCCATGGTATATGCGCGGTCAAGGCCATTCTGAAGGCGCATCTGCATCATTCCCAGGCTAAGAATCATCTCCGCGGAATATTTGTTGCGATTCAGACCCGGTGCAACAGCGTGTATTTCGAATCCAGCTACCGTGAGCCGAGATCTGTACAAAATCACCGAGTTTGCGGCAACTAGTTCAGGCACAGGTTCGGTTTTCGATTTTGGCAACGAAAGGACGTCGCCAAGATGAGACTGAAGCACATCCACATTTTGCTTGAGGTCTGAGATGAGATGCGAAACATCTGGTCCGGTCAAAACACCGAGAAGGCTGCGGACAGCACTAGCCTCTAAGCGAATGAGTTCAATCGTCATATCAACTTCCACTTCTCTTCGCGCAGAGGAGATGTTTGCAAGGATTCGGCCATTGGCAGGAGGAATCTCCAGAATTGAAAGAGTCCGAGATCGATCGCCTTCGCCAGAGCTGAAAATATGCGAGTTCTTCTTAATGTCGAAATCCACCTCGATCTTGGATGTTTCTGTGGGCATAATCGACATTCGGGCGACTTCGCCAGTTATCAGATAGGTCAAAGAAGGCAGAAGACTGAAGCTGAGCCGGTAATCATCCAGGAACATCGCCACGTTAATCTTGTTGTGGATGGGCTTGTTCGGTTTCGTGACTTGTTCAGGCTGGGCCTTTGGAAGTTTGACATTTTCCACGAGCTGTCGGATGTACCGGATTTCGTCTTCAATCAGGCGATCAGCGGTGTGGGCCAAGCTGACTGGATCCTCCTTCATATCATATCGAAGCTTCCTGCACGAGCCCGCAACCTTCCATTCATGCTTGCATTCGAGCTCATTCTCATCGGACATGAGCGAGAAATACAAGTATGGGTCGGCAATTCTAGACAACATCAGAGTTCTGGATTGGCTAAAAAGCTCTGAAGAGCAGGCTTCAGCACTGAAAAGCAGGGCAAGGCCCTCGTTTCTTGTCTTCTTCGTGCTTTGTGAGGTGTGGACAATAGATCCACGAAGGACTTTGGAAACAAGCGCCAATTTCAAGTTAATGGCATCGAGTGTGACAGAGCCGAAATCCGTGCCAAAAATGATTTGAATTTCGGCTAACTCCTGCTCTCCACGGGTAGGAACAGGCGTTGTAGTTGATGAATCCAACGTCACGGGAGACATGACTTTGATCAAGCCCTCAACAAGGTCGACAACTTCCCATCTCAATCGGAGAGCAGCGGAAGAAGAGTACAACTGCAGCGCGGCAACCTTTTTGTTCTTTTTGTCGCCTTGAATTGCCTTGTTTGGGATAAGCGACGCGACAGTCGAGAGGTTCTCAACAATGAAATCGCTCTCTCTTGGTCCAGGGTCCAAAGAGAAACGGAGGGTTTTCACGGTACATGACAAAGACATAGCAGGCTCCGATTTCATCGGTTTTGGTTCAGATCTTGACCAAATTTTTCGCATGATGTAGCTTTTGTCGACTTGAGCAAGGTCCCAGGCTCGCCATTGATCGAAACTTGCCAGTACTGTTGACTGGGCACCAGGTGGTACAGGAAGATTGCTGCCTTGGCATCTGCTTTCTAGCTCTCGCTTGTGGTGCACCGGCAGATTCTCGTAGATATTGCGAATGCGGGAAATGATTTTCCATGAATCGTGTTGTCGCAGGTGACTTGAAGCGATACGAAGGACATTGGATATACGTGTCAGGAATATGGGATCCGCGATTTCGCCAGCTGATTTTGTCAAGAAGTAGACTAGGAACCGCAAGCGTCGTTTACTGGCAGCCGAAGTATGCTGGAAAGCCGATGCCGCAGAGTCAAACATGGTTGTAGCTCGGCGAACAAGGAAGGCCAAGCGTTCGACGGACTTTGCGGAAGTGACTGTATTGAAATTTCGCATTTGAAGATGAGATCGAATATCTGGCTCCGTTACCATCCAGAAATTCAAGTCGCTGAGGTCGCAATTGAACAGAGCTTTTTCTTCAAATGTATCAGTTCGACTGCCCTCGACCGAAATCCAGAAATGATCAGCCGCTGCATGCCCGGTAATGCCCTGTTTGAGGCCTTCCAAAAGATCCCCCTTGTGTCGCTCGACCCTCCTTTGAAACTCGGCTCGAAGATTGTGCACTGCGATTGTGTATTCATCACGAAACTCAACCTGTCTCTTGTCCGGACACCCTGATACATCAATGAGGCGCATATGGATCGTGGGAACTCGAACGGCAATAGACGTTGATCTCTTCGGCTGGCTCATCGCCTTGTCATAGCCAACAATGTCAGAAATTACGTCTTTCTGGAGAGAATCAATTATCTGGGTTGGGTGTTTTGGCTCAAGTCCGTCCATCAATGAAGCCAGGCTGTGAAGGAATTTAGGGGTACAGAAACCTCTAACGCCCAGGGGAAGATCGACCGCAAGATTGGTGTACATTGTTTGGTCATCCTCAAATGTTAGGAAGATTGCTTTCTTGCTTGTTCCGATGTCAGAATCCATCTCAGGCGCTTTTTCTTTGCTCATCGACAAAGGAAGGTCTGTTCTATCCAGGGAAAGCTTCCAGTAGGAAAAATGGGGTATGATCCAAGGATTTGCGTCACGAATAGCTGTTGGGGAAAATGCGCTGTCCTTAGCCCTGCTCAAGTGCACAGTGGACCAGCTTGCATCCCGAGGAGTTGGCTCAGGTCTTCGCTTCGGCTCAGATTTTGATGAAGATCGAGATACATCCTTAGGGGAAGCTTTGCTACTGCGGAGGCTTGATGTTCCGGAGTGCACCACGAAGCTCCGAGAACTTGCGGCAGCATGTGTTCCCGAGAACCCACGATACGAAGTATGAATCGATCTATGTCTCTCGTTTATGGGTTCAGGCATAGATGGTATGGGCATTGTGGGGGGAAAGATCGTGTCATCAGCGTGTGGAAGTGACGAAGTAGGAGCAATCTCTTCCCAATCGAACAGAAGCCATTGGGCTCGATGGGTTCGTTGGTCATGGATCTTGATGTGCTCTTGTTGCAAGCGTCGGCTCTCCGTTATATCCCGCTTACGAAGTGCCAACTTCAGACCAACTGCCATTTCAATCAGACCCAGAGGAGATATCGTCTTATCGGCCATTCGCAGAGCCAGGGGGACTGATTGACGATCCACACCAGCAATGGTAATGCTAGGGGCGATGAAGCTCAGCCTTTTCGAAAATTTCGAATTTGCCCAGTCATTGATCTTGATGGACAAGGGCTGAGAATCTAGAATAACGGCGATTTCATCAAGAAGCACGGAGATATGAATCGATGCAATGTTGGCTCTCAGGAAGGTGACATCGAAGAGAATTGGTGGAAAGAGCGGGTGTAGCGCATTCTCTTCATTGTCAAATGAAAAGTCGAAACTTTTGAAACCAGACGCCAGGCACGCGATGAAATCTGTGGAGCATTCACCTAGGATTTTACCGACATCAAAGTCCCAATTGCAAACGTACGTTGGCTCCGCAGGGGGTAGTCCGAACAGGCGATGGCCGTAAGCTGAAAGGCCATCAATAAACAGCTGAGTGCCAGATGTGACAGAGGAGCCATCAGACTGAGTGGATTGCAAATCCAGTTTAAGCGGACTGATAGAAAGTTGCATGTCCATGTAGTAGTTCGTGAACCTTAGATCAACTTCAAGGGATGCAGCAGACAGACGAGCACATCTTGAATTGTCATAGATGCTTTCAGGCAGCAGAGCACATGGACTGTCAACGGTGACACGTACCAATACATCCATGTCGTTTGATTTTCGATTAGGGTTGATCCCCGTCGGATTTGAAGGTTGCGTGTCCGCGTAGGCTAGTTCCTGGTATTCCTCGAGAGTCTTGAAGTGCATCTCGTCCCCGAAGTAATTCTCCCTGATGACCATGAAGCTCTTGATCAAGAAACCGTAGAGGTAAAGCCGTGGTGAGACACCGTCAACATTGAGAACCAATGTATCTATCAGCTCTGATGACGTGGCTGAGAAGTAGTTATAGGATCCATCGATGAAAAGACTTTCCAGCGTCGCCATAGACTTTTCGGGCAGGAAAGAGTGTAGCGTGTCCCACGGAGGCATGAGGTAGTCCACGCCGCCTTCCTCGAGAGCAACCTTGAACTCGACTGCATTTTGCTCGGGTTGGTATTTGTTCAGAGGTATCATGACGTTTGACGTCAAATGCTTGCCATTGATGACAATCAATCGATTATCACTCAAGTCGGAAGGATTGCTGATGATATTGCGATCGTTCACATTGATGAAAAGCTGCAGGTTCGAGAAGACAAGATCAATGTTGTATATAAACGGGACAAACGTATGGTAGTCAGATGGAGGCCCCGATGCCCAATCGCTGATAAGATCGGTCAACAGGAAAATGTGATCCCGCAAAAGAAATAATTCCAGATCTTGGCTGTCGACAGTGAAACGCCACGACCGGAGACTGTTCCAGACGAGAGGATTGGACAAGTCACAAGTTACCAAATGACGAGGGCATTGCCACAGGAGCCCATGATTCACGCTGGAAGACATTCTCGACTCTCGAAGATCCAAAGAGAGCTCGTTGCGAAATCCAGTATTTGAGGCGATCATGTCCATGGCATAATTAACGGTAGAATCCGGGCCAACGCGAAGAGAAAGCCATCCGAAAGGGCGAATATCAGGGCCAATATGACCCTTCTCGCCCTCCTTTGGCCGGTGTTTCCTTCTCTCGGTTTGCTTCTTGGCTTTGGAGGCACCTCGGATGGCGTCTGCCCGCCCCTTCCACATCCAATCCTTGGACGGTTCTCGCGTCGGAATGCGAACAGTGAGCTCCTCGTTGATTTCCACTCGCAATCTAAAGACCGTGTTTTGTCGCAAGACTCCCGGTGCCAACTGTTCAGTAACTTCAGAGCTTCGATAGAAATTCGGCAAGAAAACATTTTGCAAGCCGATACGTTCGCGATCCGCCCAGGGTCCATAGTTGATGGTGCCTCCGTCGAGTTTGAGATCGATTCCCCATTCAGGAGGAAGAGCATTGTTAATGTTTGTTTCTGTATGCGGGTCTACACCAGTAGAGCTTAGGGGCTGGGGGCCAACGCGCCCTGGGATATCCCAAAAATATGTCAAATGCAAACCAGGGCTGTCGAGAATCGTAGAGAATCGACCATACTCGGCCGAATTCCATTTCTCGTGGTCGTCGTCATTCTCTTCATCCAGATATCGAGAAAGGCCGACCCACCGAACGTCCGGAAACTCAGCTTGGCTCCGTGGCATACTTTCATTTTGCCTGATGCTGGCGTGGAATGATTCCACTGACGTTTGGAAATACGGGACGAACTCACGGATGCTGTGCAATATTTTGCGTTTTTGGAGCCTGTAGCTGAAGAGATGCCCCCCGTTACGCTTTGAAGAGGATTCCTCCTCCTTCACGGCGCTAAGCATCTTTGCAGTCGCGATTTGACCTTGTTTGAAGTCTGGGTTTGGTCGCATCTGGATTACCGGGTGGTCGAACTTGAAGGAAAAGAGTTGTCGGTACAGGTCCAGTGGGCCTGCCTTGCATGCGGCAATTGTGCCCTCTGCACTATCAAAGGTCGTGGTAAGGACGGATCGAGTATTTTCATTGCCCATGACGATGGCTCCCTTTCTGCAGTCCAGCTTGACTGGGAGCAGCTCAAGCAGATTAGATACGGATTCTGACAATTCCGAGTCGCGAATTTCCGTCTTTCGGGGGTCAAGGTTCTGCCCTCCGCTCATGCTGTGATCAGATACGTTGTCGGCTGTTGACTTCACTGCATCTTCCGAACTTATATTGACTGAACTATCGGCGCGCTGGTGCTTTTGTTGGGCCTCCGGCGGAGACTGAATGGACTCATCATCTTCACCCAAGCTCCCGTCCTTGTACCCAAAGCCGGCAAGGATGCTGTCATATGCTGGGGTCCGGTTGTATACGAACCACTCAAGGCCGTAGGCTGTGATTGCAACCCGGCACGGGCGCTCAATCCTCTTCTCGACGCCACCTTGTTCCCCAACACTTTCGTCCGCGTGGTCACCAGTAATGAACTCGCTTTGATCTTTTTCAGAAGTGCCTGGGACTTTCCTCTTATGCCCCGCGCGTGAAAGGTCCGTCCGCTCGACTGTGCGCTTCCAATACCTCCATGTTATGAACCCACCATGGATAAAGATTGTCTCGTTCACGCCATGATACCGGATTCCTTTGAAGAATATTCGACCACCTAGTAGCGATATTTGCAACGCCTTGATATCGACATAGACGCGGTAGTAGTGCCAGGTATAAGATCGGATCGCATAGGACAGGAGGGTCGCAAACAGCCGGTTGAAATAGAACAGGAAGAACAGAGCGCTATTCCTTGTATTAGTAGCGATCAATGGCGGTTGGTATTGGGGTTACTTGCAGAATCAAGGAGACAATGAGCTCTAGGAGAAAAAACCTAGGTAGATCAGCATTGTAGCTATAGATGGATGATCGGAGCAGCGACAAACCAATTGAAGCTTGGATCGGGAACCAAGTAGGTAGCTGTCAAGCTAGTACTGGCCATTTCTCCGGGAAATCGCCAAACGGCGTGAGCATCGTCTCAGCGAGACAGAGCGACTCGCGATCGACGAGTCCAAGGAGCACGCGCGGTCATTTGGGAGTGGTTTATTGTTGCAGGCAGTCGCGAAATGCGGGTGTGGAGGGTGTCGGGCGGTGTCACGAGAAGATCGTCATCGGGGCCACGCCTCCTCCCTGGAACTTTTCCAAGCTTGTTGACAAGCTTCCCCCTCACGTTCAGGCGGTCATGTTTTGCGCCTCTTCAGATGTTACGAAATGAGTTTATGATATAACTAAACTGACAGAACGCGGTCCTTTTCCCTCCATCCGCGCTCGTCATTGGGGACATGTCCCCCGCAGCTATGGCAGCACCCGTCGGCGGAGGTACAGGCTCGAGTCTGGCGCGAGCGATCATCATTACCTCTGGTGTCTCAGCCCTCGTCTCGTCGCTATTGTCCTTTGTGTGCGTTTTCGAGTTTACTCTGCCCGGATTTCTCCTGATTCCTCCGCCGTAACGACTGTCATGACCTTATAAACTAACATATTGCTGTGATTGATAGGTCCATGTGGTTCCAACTGTACGAGCTCCGTTTGCGACTCCAACATCCTCTGCAGCAGCTAATCGAGCTTTCTCTAGCAAAAACTACCGGAAACCACTCCTTCAGCGATACGTCGTGCGCATCCTGCTGATGTTAGTTTTGGGTGGCAGCCTAGAGTCCTCAGGGGTCGAAGAAGAGAAGGAAGCTGATCAAGTGCAGGGTCCCAATTTATGCCGCATCATCATGGACGAGCATTGTATCACTGAAAGCAGCTCAGTTCCTCGATCCTGTCCGTGACATTTATGAGGTATGACGAGTGATAACCAGCTTCTCTAGTGGACTAGTGCTAACACCGGGGGAACTGTGTCTAGGCATTCACAATTTACACATTTTTCCAGCTTCTTATCAACTTCCTCGGAGGAGAGCGAGCGTTGATCATCATGGCCCATGGCCGTCCACCGGTATCGCATGCATGGCCGCTTAATCACGTCCTCCCAAAGCTCGACATCTCCGATCCCCACACGTTTCTTGCCGTAAAGCGCGGCATCCTTCAATATGCGTGGCTGAAACCGATTCTGGCCATTGCTTCCATCGTCATGAAAGCGACGGATACATATGAGGAGGGATATCTGAGCCTGGGATCGGGCTACCTATGGACCGGCATTGTGTACAACGTCAGCGTCACCGTCAGTTTATACTCCCTGGCTATGTTCTGGGTGTGTCTGCACAATGACCTCACGCCATTCCGACCAGTTCCCAAATTTCTCTGTATCAAACTCATCATTTTCGCATCTTACTGGCAAGGATTTTTCCTGTCAATCCTGCAGTGGTTGGGGGCTCTTGGCAGTGTGGCAGGATACACCCCTGACAATCTAGCTGCGGCAATTCAGGATGCTTTGATCTGCTATGAGATGCCCATTTTTGCCGTCGCCCACTGGTACGCGTTTTCGTGGCATGACTATGCCGATCCTACCATCTCGGCTGCCCGTCTCCCTGTCAAATATGCACTCCGGGATGCGTTCGGGCCTCTCGATTTGGTAGAAGACACTAAGATGACTCTTCGTGGTGAAAACTACGAGTATCGACTGTTTGACTCCGGCGACAACATCATCGCGCATGCGGAGTCTCATTCGCGAGTCAAGCGTGTCATGGACGGTTTGAGGTACGAACGAGGTGGCAAGGCCAAGTATTGGATTCCAAAGCCCGGAGAGGCTAGCAAAGCAGTTGAGGCAAGCATTCGCACACCACTCTTAGCTGGCGGGGACAGCAGTCATCGCAGTCGAAGTGATAGGGGAAGTCGTAGTTCCACCGAGCGATTCCGGTCTTATAGTGAGATTGAAGTCACATTGGACGACGAGGACGAGCAAATCTTCAACCAGGCTCGGGCTTTGGAGTTTGGAGACTGGAATGTATGTTGGGATATGCTCACACTTTTGGGCCTCTCTTTTGCCCTCCCTCTTCCAGGCTCTTTGCTAACACTTCACAGTATCCGGTGATTACGGCTAATGAAGTCCCTCGGGACCAGCGGCTCCCTACTCACAGGAGCTACCAGAACTCAAGTACTGGAGGCGATGTGAAAAAGTCACGTGCACATCAGAAACGCCGAACCTCGGGCAGCGAAGGCAGGCGAGATCACAATGCGAGCTCTCGAAAGTCGAGCAAGAGCTCGGGGGCGCCCCATCCCTTGCAGCGCAACGCCAGTTCCACGAGCTCCCGCCATTCGCATCGCAGCCAGCTAGTTGATCTCGTGGTGGAAGACCACGAAGCTGAGGAAGAAGACCGCGAGCAGGCACAGCGAGAGCTTGGATCCGCCTGGGCGGGAGATGAAACTCGACATTTCTCGTAAGTTTGAACGACGATTGGCCCGCAGGAATCGTTCCACTGACCCTGTTTTCATTTTCTAGGAGACCATCGGGACAGCCAATCGAAGAAGAGGCTGAATCCGAGACTCCGACAAGGGAGGTCCCAGCCGCGCCAGTTCATCAGGCTGAAGAGGACGACGACCGATCGCCTTCAGAGTGGGCTTACGGTGCATTGGAGGAGGACAATGTATGGGGCAAATAGGGTTCTCTAGTGTACTCTTCATGAGTTGGATACGATAAGCATGGCCTCTTTTTCCGGATACGATTAGCGTTGTGTATGTACAGTACTAGTTTGGCTTGCGGTTGAAGAAGTATACAAGGTCAAGCAGAGTCGAGTGTCAGCTTGAAACCCCTGGAATCTCCAGCATGAAACGAACCCATGAAGTCCCTGAAAGTTTTCCTCGAATCACTCTTCCCCCTGAAAGGCAAAACACGCAAAACACGAGGGCCAAGAGCCAACGCAGAGAGGGCCAGTGTGTTCCAACTTCGTTCATGTTCTTTTTACGCGCCCAACTTCCCCCCACCCCACCCCCTCCTTCCAATCGACCAGCATGACTCGTAAGCTTAGCTCTACATACAGTATACACTATACATAGCCAAGCTCGGTGATAAGCAACAAATGTGACAACTCCACCGGGCCCCGACGAATGAGACGTGCGAACTGACTTGGGTAGGATGATCACCCCCAGCGATCGCGTGTGCTGGTCCAGCCGTCGCGAGGATGAATTGCTTTCCTGAGTATAGCTCCGCATGCTTAGCGGCCGCCCGTCTGACTCCATGGATGGTCCCTGGACGAGTCACGAAGCCTGTTCTGCACGGCTGGGCAAGAGGATCCTCATGGCTCATGCTCCTGTATGGGTGGTGGGGTCCATGCCATTCTTCCTCTTCTCGTACGACGCTTTTATGGTCTCTGTTTGCTTTTCTTCCTTAACCTAACGGGCTGGGAAGCTTCCTCCTCTTTTCTCTTCTCTTCTTTTCTTTCTAGTCTACGTCGTTTTCTTTTGTACCCTGCCTTCAGGGAAGGCGATGGATTAAACATTCGAAGCGCTGGCCGCCATGACGCTGGCTTTGGAACAAGCAAGCACCCTAGTCACCGGCTGGGTACGGTCATGCTGGGAATGTTTGTCGGGCGTGGAGCTTCACGGTCAACAAGGCCAACGAACGGAGGGAAGAGGTATATAACCAGACTCGGCAATGACACTAAAGCAACCTTCCAAACTAACAAAACGGCCCTCTTAATGTAGGAGTTGAACGAGAGATGCAGGTATGCCATAACCAACCTCATCTCGTCCCTCCAATGAAGTTGGTGGTGTACGATGACCTTCCCAGTCCGGGTGTCCATCATCAATCCCACAACTCGCTCTCGTCGTGGATTGGAGAAGGCCGGCACCTCGCCTCGCAAGCATCTAGGCGAGCAAGTATCTCCTGGAAGAGACAGACGGCGGCACCGTTAAAGATTAGCGCTCCGTCAGACTTTCGCCGAGTCCAACCGTTTCAACTCGAGCCGTCGCCGACAAAATTTCAACCTCTCCAACTCAGTATACACCGATCTGGTAATCGGTTATCAGATCTTCCTTCCTTTGATTCCTTCGAGGTGGTCGAGAATAGCCAACGTATGACGCTGGCCGTCCCACCGCGTGCTCGTTCCCCGACTGAAATTCGATCTCGACGGTGTCAGTCCAGCGAGGCTCGATTCTCCGTGTCTCGCAAGCCGGTCGGTTCTGCAAATCGCCGGTCGCTTGCGAATCTAGAAGAGCCTATTGAAACGATTCAGTCGGTTCGTATTGCAAGTGCTCTGATACCACACTTCTGTTCTGTCGTTCCAGTCGAACGTCCTCTACCAGAAGAGCCGATGCCACCTCAAACCTTTGCATCCACCATTCCTGCTGTCCCTACCATTCCTACTCATGTCAGGTCAAGGTCCGAGGAAAGCAACATCACCATGGACACCGAGCTGTCCATCCATGTCAGCAACGAGGTGTCGGGAGACGCCGCTCAAACTCCCCCATCTTCGAAACATGGCGATGCAGACGAGCCATCGTTCAAGGATTCACCATCCACAGTCAGCTCACGTACCATGCCATCTCGGATCTCCTCCTTGCATCGTCCTTCCACTGCGGAGAACCGCAGGACTATCGCTTCAGTACCACTTCCCAGTCGTGTGACTCAGTGGATGTTCCCCAGCAAGCCATCTGGACCCAACCAAGTCTCACTTGCGGGCGAGAATGGGTTTGATTGGGAGAGAACCCGCACTCTGAGCGGTACCACCGTCAACTCAACTATCACGACTGTCCAGGGGGTGCAAGAGCGCGAAGACCCAATGCTTCAGTCTCCAGCACTTTGACCAACGGTACGACTCCGCGAACCTCTCTGCAAGGTCCGTCTTCAGACGCAGAGAAGGATATTGAAGCTGGCTACGCTCATCCCACTATTTTCGAGACCCGGAGACGACACTACCCATACCCTTCCCCTCTCTCTAATAATCTACCTCAATACCCAGGTTCTGCTATTGGTGTGGCTTTCTAGTTCTGCTTGTTGACCCACAGGTCAGGCGGGTTTCACCGGTCATTCAGAACATCTATTTCTTTGCACTCTGGCTGTTTTGTTGAAATACCCCTTATTGAATGGTTGCTTGCGTGTTTCTCGTTCTCCGTCTGATTTGAGTGTTGGCAAAGGGAGGTAATCAGTCTACCTATAGGTGGCATACTGGATGATGGAGTTTGCTTGAACAGTGAAAAGAGGAATATCAAGCTTGTACTATTTCTGCTTTCGGTAAATTTGCAACACTCTCGAGAAGACATTATGTAACTTCCAGTCAAGACCTTTGTGTATACGCTACACAGGCACAGCCTGTATTGTGTAGTCTTTTTTGAGCTTTGAGCGTTCACCGTAGTTCAAAAATGTCGATTTCCGATCCATCCGATTTGCCCGCTCCATTAGGTCTCTTCGATCGATGAAGCCATTATACAGCCCGACCACGATGATTCCATTGCCCCTAGTTGGCTCGCTATTGAATGCAAATTGGAAGACTTTCGTGTATGCCTTCGTAAAGCCGTACCAGAAGCCCACGCTAAATGTTTCCTCGATTTCGAGTCCCTGAAACGGCAGCGGACTCATGTCCGGAGAGCGCTACCTGACTCGTCCTCACTCCGGTCTTTATCCTAGTTTCGGCGACCAATAACGGCCACCGACTAAAAGCAAAATTTCTAGGGCAGAAAGACCGATAGGATCCTTAAATCAGCCAAGACTAGCTACTGCACGCTTCGCAGTATCTCCAATCTCCAGATTTTTGCTAAGTTAAGTACTAGGGTAGCTGTTTTCACCTATATACACCTATCTTAAACTAAGAATTAGCTCGATTCTACTATATGGTTACCGTTCTACTATATAAAGCTATTTAGAAAAGTAAATTATAAAGATTAATTATTTAAAATTCATACTTAAAAGATAAGACCCTTCGTATAAATATAGCTGCTAGAGAGGGCCTGCTACGAGTTTTGTTGGTTTCCGCGATTAGGAATCAGCCTAGATTGCCTAATTCGGATGTGTACATGCTTAGCACTAAGGCATGAGGGATAGAGCGGTCAAGAGAGCAGTCGGGTAGGTAATCAATCATAAGTTTTTAGCGGGTGGCCGTACTCGGCCGCCGTAATCCCAGTTTTACTATGTACAATCTATATCAACCAAGCATCGGCATCTACAGGAGTAGCGCTGCCATCTAGTATTGCGACAGAGACATGAGAAGAAGCTCAACCCTCCATTGATTGTACTCGGGTCATCTTGAGAGGGATTGGAATTTGTATTGGCATACTATATCCAAAGACTAAGAATAAAGACAATGTCATAAAATGTGGGCAGAGTACGTGCAGTGAGGGTATCTTGTCAAAGAACTGTACACGAAACAAAGTCAGAACGAGAGAAACCTCTCATAAGAACGCAATATGTGCAAGGTATAATAGCTAGGTTGAAGCTCGCAACCATAGCCCAGATCTCTCAAACAACAGGCAACATTAATCCGTGGATACAATCTCCACTTCCTCCGGACCAACACCACTGGTTGATGGAGTCTTGCGATGGCCATTCTGCATACCCAGAATCTGCCATGCTCGGCCCATCATGCCATGACCGAGACCTTGTGGGAACTCAACAGAAGCCTTGTGAGCGTGCTTGGGCATACGATCGCGGAAGGCACGTTCCCTCTTGGCAGCAGCAAGTCGGTCCTGTTCGCGCTCGTGGTTAACGATCTCGTCGCGCCATTCGGACCAGTGCTCGTAGTTTTCACGTTGTTGAAGGACCTGATAGCGAAGACGAGATTTTGATGGACGCCATGTGGTACGGTTGGCGGAGCCCTCCTCGCCAGTGGATGATACCATACTGGATTTCAAATCGCACACTCGAGAGTCCTTTGTGAGCTTGAGCAGGTGTGTGAGGACGTCCCGGCTCTCCAGGGCAGTGCGCTGGATCTTCTCCTGCTCCGGTGTTGGAGCAGCCCGGGTGAGCGGTGCATCCAACCACGCGTGCATGTCGGTCGTCCGCTGCACCGAGTAAGGATCACGAAGATTCGCGCGACGGTTCTCTTCACGCAGGAAACGCACTGCCGCTTGGAGGTTTTGCACTTCGGCGCGGAGGTTCTCATTCTCTTGCATCGCCGCCAACGAAGCCTCATTGTCAATAACGATGCCGCCACCGGGAGTTGAGACACCCGCAGTTCCAGAAATGCGCTTCATCCTTTCGATACGGGCTTTGAATTCATCGCGTTCAGCCTCGGCAGTTTGAAGTTCTTTCTTCTGCAGCTCGACGGTCTTCTCAAGTTCTGAGCTTATTGCTTGGAACTCTTCAATCTTGGTTTCAAGATCCTTTACCATCGCAGCCTTTTTAGATGCTTCCCGCATGCGTGATTCTAGAAGTTCAATCTTGATGCCTCGTTCTTCGAGAGTGTTGTCTTTCACTCCGAGGGCGGTGGAAACTTCATGAACTTCATTCTTGAGGCGACGAATCTCCTCGTCAGCATCCGGCGAGATCGTCTTGTTGGACTTCAGTTCCTCTGACCGGGCGATCCAGGGGGAAGCTCCCCTCTCAAACTCGGCCGTGCGAGAGAAATCACCTGCAATTGTGTCTAGCTCTTCAATGTGGGCGCCCACGTCACGCAGTCTGTTGATCAGCGATGACATAGGGTCATCGGATTCGGAGATGCCATCAGAAGGCTGCGCAGAGGCTGCGGTCGCCTGAGACATGCCATCTAAGATCTCTTCCATGGTGTAAGGCTCGGTACGGCCCTCGTCACTAGTGGCAGCAATGACGCCTTCGCACATCTTGCGAGCAAGCTCCGACAGCTGCTTTGTCGAAGTCTCCATGGTGCAGAATGGCTCATCCGCCTCCTTGGAAAGCGCAAGAGACCCGGTGCGCAGATCTTCAAGAGAGCGATAGACCTTGCCCATGGCAACCTTAAATCCACGGGCCTGAGACACAAAGGAGTCCAATTGCTTTAGAGCGAAAGATTCCTCCTCACTGATTTCGCTACCCTCTGCCGGGGCCGGAAGTTTGGAGTGTACCAAAGACCTCAGCCGAGCAACGACAGCTGCCATATGGTCAAAATACGACTGGGACAGACTTGCTCGCATGCACAACTCCTCGGCGAACATCTCCGGCGTGGAAGGAAGAAGGGTCTCCGCCAAATGTGAAAGTAGGGCAATAGAGCGCTGCAACTCCACTGCAAATTTCTTGGAGTTCACTTCATTTTTCTTGAGATTTTCGATCCAGAAATTCAAGGTACGCTCGACAGGCTCCATCTCAAACAAAGCCACCTTGATGTTGCTGAAATCTTCCGGCGAACAAGCGTTGATGTAGTTCACGAAGCGATTGCACACAGTAGAAATCCACAAGAGATGCTCAGATACCTCATGCGCGTGCAGCATCTCCTCCTGGGTAGAGATGGATGATTGCTCTGCAATTCGCTCGCGGACGGTCTGGTTCATCATATTGGCCTTGAAGCTGACACGCTTAAAGCGCAGAAGAGCAAGAACCGAGTTTCGCTCCGCTTCATAGTATTCGGGAAGGTAGAGCTTAACAATCGCCAGATGCTGAGCCGCTTCTTCCGCATCCATACGATTCAGTTCCACATCAATGGACTTTGTCTGCGCCTTTGACACGGAAGCCTGGAGCTTCATATTCAGATCCATCATTGCTCGTGACCGGGTGGTGAGGTCGGTGGCCTCTGCCTCGGTGATCTGTTGAGATGCCCGCATATCTTCCAGATCGCCCTGCAGATTGGTAACCAATTCCCTAAAGCGAGACAGAGTGTACTCCAGATCCTCAATCACCTCGTCCTGCTGCGCAATCTTGCGAAGCTGCTCCGTGAAAAGGGTATCACGGTAGTCAATCTCGTCCTGAAGCTGCTTTTCAGTCTCGATGTGTGTGGACTCCAGCTCATCGCTGATCTCTCTCAAGTCTTCAAGGTCGTCGATGGCAGCCTTGAGCTCATTGATCTCTTCCTGGTAACGCATGTTCTTGTCGGCTAGTTCTTCGATCATCTCCTCGGCACCTAACGCGGTTTCCAGTTGTTGCTTGAGGTCGTCGACATTGGTCTCTGCGACCAGAAGCTTTTCCTTTGTGGCTTCATAATCAGCCTTCACGGCTGCATACTCTTCCAAGTCATCTTCAAGCTCCTTGATCTGGGCTTTGAGATCCAATTCTTGCTGCTGTGTCATGTCCCGGAGTCGTATCAGAGCATCACGAAGTCGCTGATTGGCCTTTTCCATCTGCAACCACCCTTGGCTAGATCGTTCTTCTGGACTTGTGACCTGGCCAAATTCTTCATTCTCCTCTCGCAGTACTTCAACTTCTAATTGAAGCTCTTCCAACTTCGATCGAATCGTCTCACATTCGTGCTTGTAGGCCTCGGCAGTCTCTTCTGCCATTTCTCGGTCCAGAGTGGCCATTTCCATAAGAGACTCATGCTCGGCTTCCATTCGCTCTAGTTGTTCAAGACGAGTTTGGGTTTCTTTCAAGTTTTTGCGCAGCTCCGTCATCTCCATCTGCTGTGGTTGGTACTTGGCTTGAAGTTTCTGAATGATCGATTCAAATTTATCGCGCTCTGCCTGTAGCTGCTCCAGCATTTTAAGCTTCTCGCGGTCGTCAGTCCGTTTCTTCTCCATGACCCGTAGCCTGGTTTGGAGTTCCTCCAGTTCTCGAGCAGTAGCGGCAGCATTCTGTGTTTGGCGGGTTGTAGGTGGCGCAGCTCCTGGTCGAGATGCCGTAGAGCGGGTAGCTGTCAAAGACTGCCTTGATGTCCTGGGCGCGGGCGCAGCTGCCGGCGCAGGAGTTGGCACAGCTTCTTCATCTCGAGGGCTTCCTTCTTCGTTGTCCAGAGACTCTGCGTCAGTCGGCCCTTCTGATGGTCCACTTGTTCCCGTTTCGCCGGCATCTGAGGCTTTTGCGGAAGCCACCTGGAGCAACGAAGGTCGCTTAGATAGACCGGCGGCCGAAACGGTACTCTGCGATCCTGGTCTCGATGTCCTTGTCGGTCCGGATACAGACGGCCGGGACGTCCTTGAGGCGACTGGTTGGGCTCCAGGTTGGCTCATTGAAGATCTCGCTGTAGAAGCTAGTCGCGGGCGATTGGATGCGACAGTGGAGGTACGTGAAGCGCCGCCGATCGACGAACGGTTGGAGGGCGCTACCGAAGAGGATAATTGTTTCGTAGGTGACTTTGTGGGGGACTACATTATATAGAAATATTGAGTGAGTCGCACAGTCGGCACATTGCAGTAGCTCTAAACAAAGGAATGAAGACATACCCTCAGCGATGGTCGGGGGGCCATCTTTGGCGCGGGGGTCGGCGTTCCAGTTACATTTGTGCTCTGCCGCCTGATCGCTGTCGGGGGCAATGCGCCAGTTTTCCGTACACCTGCAGTTGTCCCTGCCTGAGATTGTCTGCCGGATGTCGCATTGGGGCCCGGTCTGGCGGTTTGTTTACTCTCCCGCGACGGTTGTTGAATCACCGTACCAATGGCAGTTGGACGGATGAACATGCCAAATCCTGGGTCACATTGAAAGTAACGCTCTCCTTGAACCTCGCCGTCATTCTTACCCGTGGCGTCGGTCAATTCGACACCAATCCACTCTCCATTCGCGAAGTGGGTGAGACCGATGAAACGAACAGTAGCTTGCCGTCCGTCGGTCAACGTAATAACCGTGCCAGGTGAGATCTCTTGACCAGTCATCATGGGATTCAGGGTCAACTTCCCACGGCGAACACTTTCAGGATGGCCGATGGTGGTTGTTGGCGGGTGGTGGCAGGTAATTGGGAGATGAAGCACAAAGGAGGTCCGCCGCAACACGCGCAGCCGATCTTTAACAGCCTGAGGCACCAAACCTAACTTGCCGCAGCGCGAATTGAACTACAGAGACTAGAGATCAGGGTCACAGGAGGGAGACTTTCAGCCCTCAGATTAAACAAGATGATGGCATGAAACCCTCCACAAACTTTGAGATACTACCCAAGTATCTCAGACGTGGTGTATTCTATGTTCTGAGTCTTCGTAAAGTTGGAAATAAAACATCGTCAAGTATATACACGTAGCGCCCATGAAGCCGAACAGGGCTTCAAAGGTCTCTATAGAAAAATGAATATCTCGCCGCACGCATCAAGCCATGTGTACTCTAGGCAGTGTCGGCCTCTTGGCTCTTGAAGACGTCCGGGAAATGCATTGGGAGCTCGTGCAGACTCGAGACCAAGTATCTCGAGGCCGGGATACGGGGAGTAGGATTGCAAGGCTCTACCAAGTGAACTGTGGTCCAGCCTCGTGCTTCAGCATGTTTGCAATTAAGGTGAGAGTCATCTGTATGGTCAAAATGGTCAGCATGTGCAAAATCACCCCGCTCTCGACATGTATTCTCGAAAATCATGGCCAAAACAGCTAGCGACGTGCTAGATAATGCGGCAACTTACCAACAAAATAGCAAGATTCAGTGCTGGGAGCACCGGCCTCCTTCTCCGCCTTCGCATACATCTCTTGGCTGGGCTTGCAAACCAACGGTACGTTGCCATAGTCGCAGTAGGTGATTCCTTCAAATAGATCCTCCACCCCCAGCAACTTGACGACTCGTTTCCCGTGACTGACATAGGCGTTCGTAAGCAGCCAAGGCTTCACCTTGGTTCGATCTAGGCTCTCCAATAGCTTGCGCAGTTTGGGATCGGGCTTCAAGATATCGTCGAGGGGAAGAGCGTCGTCAACCTCGTAGTTGAACTCGAGCGGGTCGATCTTATGGTGGCGGGTGAGGCCCTCAATAGCAAGACCATATTCCTTGTAGTACTTTTGGTGGAGCATGTGGGCATCTTCCGTGCTGAGGTCAAGGTGCTTCATGAAGAACTTATCTGAAAATAAGGACATGCCGTCAGTCGCAAATCTGCGTGGCAGGACGAAGAACAGAGCACGTACTAATCAACTTTTGCATCTCATCGTGAATATTACATTCTGCGCCCGCCTGTCAGTATTGCGCTGGTTGAACTTTGGGGAGGCCGGTCACCTCGAACCTTTCGAGTAAAGCTGCGATTCCAATGATTCTTAGTAAGACCGATATAGGACAGCACTTAATCCGATCCACGTACACAGTTGTCAATGTCAAAGAAAAACACCGGCCGTGAGTCAGAGACTCCGTTTGCACCGTTGGTAGTCGCCATTGTAGAATTCCAACAGGCCCCTTGGAGGAAACCTGGCTTAATGGTCGACCGAGAAGAGATCCAAGGACGATTTAACTGGCGACCAGAAAAGCCAGAGAAAGCGCGACGCATGGAGGGGCTTGAATAGCAGAGGTGAAGGGACGAGCGAGGGGTCGGAGAAGGCGAATGTCATAAACGCGCGCGAATGAATCACACGTTTTTCCCGTGATTGGCGCCGCCCAAGTCCCCGCCAAGCGCGGGCTCCTCGGATGGCATGGATGGAATGTATGGGCTTACCTAATCATCGCGAGTAGCGCGCGGAAAAGCAGAAAAGCGGATCGTCACAAGCTTTGCCAACATTTTTCTTCTCTCGTTCTTGCCACACCCTCACCGATGGTTTAGAGCTTGGACGTCTTTAGATTCACCCATATCTATCTATCAGGGCGGGTATGCTGAGGATATCTGCGCTGTAGCCATATTTCCTCCCCAGGGCAGCTGTTACAAGCTTGCTCTCTTGACCCTTGACCCTTGATCCTCGAGTCCTTTGGATCATGGCTACTACTCATGGATCCACCACTCACCTTGCAACAGGGCCAATGCCTGCCACGGCACCAATAAGTGCAGATGAACTGAAAGAATATGAGCGCATTCTGAAAATCAGCGATGAGATTTTCGCAGGCTCTCACCCGCGCCTCAAGGTCCCCCAGCAGTTTGTGCGCAGGCCTGCGGTTAGGAACAGCCAACATGGCCATCCAGCCCGACAGGTATCAAAGAGCAAACTGGCTGCGGCTCCTGCAGAAAATGTACCTTTATCCAACTTGGCCCAACGCCCCCAAAGCTCACAGGCTCCCCCCGCAGCAAGCAACGCGCCCACGCCCTCGGTTCTAAACGCTGCAGCACCCCCCTTCCGAATGGCTTCCAAACCCACCTCCGAAATCGATCCTATCTTCTTGACCAAGTCGGATGATCTCGTTCGGGCAGAAATTCAATTGCAACGGCAGAGAGTGGAAAGGACATTGCGTGATCAGCTGGAGAAGAAGAAGCAGGACTCGAAACTGAAACCCGCGATTCAAGATACCAAACCGGACTTTGATGTCTCGGATGTTTTGGATCGCGCTCTCGAGATCGTGCGACCCGTTTCACCGAGTGATCCGTCCGAGGTCAATGGGCCGAACGATTCCTTCGATGAAAACTCCTTCTACTCCAGTAGAGCACCCGACTCTCCTCAGCCCGCCGGTGGTCACCGAAAGCCCTCGCCAGCGCCTCCGGCCCAGCCGGCTGGCTCTACCTCACGCGTTCCGGTAGAACATTACGCAGATGAGTTGCAACGACTGGAAGCTCTGAACCGACCGGGATCTGACCAGGAAATGCATGATGCTTACCCTGTTGTTGACCAGGGCACCCCTAATCCTCCAAAGCCAACACTCCCGTCCCAGCCAAATACCTCTGCTCATCTCCGTGAGCTGGAATTAGCAGATGCCCCCGAGGAACCTGAATACTCTCCGCCCGCACCAGTGGCGCCTCCGATTGATCCAAGAGACTACGGCCGAATGGCAATCAGTGATGATCGAGGCAGATACGCCGCCCAGACACAGGGTATGCACGGCGTGACTTCACCTGCGAACAACGTGAAGGTAGTCCGGAATCACATCACCTCCCCCGCTGCCCCTCGGCCATCGCGCGTGTCCCCTCTGGCGACTGCTAAGGTTCCCTCGGTTCAGCAGCTTCGGGGCGCACGGCCCGAGCGCGGATCTGAGCAGGTATTCTCGGACCCTGACTCTGGTCGCGCAAGCCCTAGCGGGCCAGCCCCCCAGGTCGTGTCCCATAAGCGAAGAAAACTGCACGGGAAAGAGGACACCCGCCTGGTCACTCACAAAAATCAGAATGCTAGGCCTTCCGATACATACGTCAAGGAAGAGCCGGTCTCACCACCGCCTTTCGCTGATGATCCGGGTGTGATGCCGAATCGGCAACCTCAAGAACGGCCCGTGTATATTGACATTGCGTCACCACAATACACTCCCGTGGTCGAGAGGCATGAGCAGGGCCCAGTCTACGAGGTGAATCCTTATCATGAAATTCCTGCCGAACAACGAGCCCACCGTGCAGTTTCTCAATTAGGCGACCGACGAGTGGTCCGTGACGATGCCGACCTGCGACGTGTCGCCACCATGCAGTACGCCAGGCAACCTGAGTATCACCGAGGCTATATCGAGCCTGATCCCCGTGGTGCCCGAGCTGCCTCTTATGCAGTTGTGGAAAGGTTGCCGCAAGAGCGACCTAGTTACTACGAAGAAGTCCCCTCGTCATATGGGCCTCGCTACGTTACTGTCGATGACGGTCACCGGCCCGCATATCAGGAACCGTATTACGACGAGCATCCACCAGTGCGCGTGGTGACTGCACCTGAACGTCGCTTTGTGGTCGATGAACACGGTAATCGCTTTGAGATGGTCCCAGCGCCGAGGGTGCAATCTATGGCGCCGCCTCCGAGACCAGTGTCACGAGCACCAAAGGCCGATGTCTATGGTGACCACGTTCCTGTCCGTACAGCCAGTGTCCGACCGCCATCTGTCATACACGATCCCTACGGTGACCACAGATACGTGCAGGAGATGCCTCCACCCCCACTGACATACAGAAGGGTGGTATCGGACTATGCTCATCCCGTTGCCGGGGAACGGAGAGCATACGCAACACCATTGGAAAGTCACGATCCATACGCCCCAAGTGGCAACGTGCAACATGCCGAATATGTCCCCCGTCGATCGGCATACGTAGAGGAGCATGCCCCACCTCTAGACCGAATCATTCGCACCTCAAGTGTGCGACCACAACAGGTTCGGTATGAAGAGCCCATTGAAGTGGTCCAGCGTGTCAGCAGTGTCCGTCCCGGCGGGCCCAGTCGTGAAGTAAGCGTCTTTCTGGATGATCGGCAACGGGGCGAGTACATTGAACGGCCGTACTACGTCCGGGAGCAACGATATTACGAAGGTGATGATGGAAATCGCATGGCGTTGGATGGTCCCGCAGACTCGGTTCAGCGTCCCCAGCCACGCTACTAACTGGCGTTTCTTTGATTTGTGGATTAGCATTCGATGCGTTTCATCTTAGTAGCCTTTACGTTTCCATCTGGATACGTTTTAATTTCATGATGTGCAAGTTATGTTTGCATTAAGATACCTGGGTGTCCTCGCGATTTCCACGTATAATCTATAGACTTTGAATTTTCTTGATTCGTACAAGTCTTAAGGTACAATCACTTAAAGTCAGTGCATAGATGGAAAAGGAATATCTCGTGCTCAGGACACAGTTATCAACTACTGTGCTTAATGTTCTACCAGTTAAATCAAGAACTTAATTGATATTTTGAGGCATCTTGGTCTATGCTATTGAGCCTATTGACCCATATCAGCACTCCACCACAACCTTACAATCTCAAAAAACAAAGGGGGAATAAAAGCGCCTCGGGATGGTCGTAGCTAGCGTCAGACTAGAATTTCTCGTCACGTATGATTCCGCGTTGGATTGGGTCATCATCCGCAAGAGCTACCCATTGGCGATATCTGTTCAGGTTCGAAGATTGAAACAATGCACTCACCTGGCTTCAGGGCAAATACCGAGTTGCTTTCTCGGGTATCCAATGGTCTGGTAAAATCTGCGGCCGTATGGAGGTAAGTAGCTTACAGAAGCCGGAACGTATCTCGATTCGATTTCCAGACTCGTACTGAGCGATCATGATCAGTCAACGTGGATACTAGAGGGGTACTTGTGAGCTCTGCATGGTTAGGCCGCTGAGGCACACCCTTGGCTAGACAGGGGCAGAGCCGTCGAGGGCCTCTCCTTTGTCAACTTGCATCAAAGCGACAATGATGATAGCCTAGAGCATCAGTAATAGGTACTAAATATCATGTGCGGGAGTCAAGAGAAGTAGCTTGAGCGGACAGGGAAGGGCTCTCCCTAACCCAAACATCGACTGGAGACATGGCACGCGCACGGTGGTCCTGAGAGTGATAGGGAGCGGGTAATGGCAAAGTATGGTTTCAGAACAGCAAGATCATGAACGAGAAGAATGGCCGATGATGGATGAGTGTGGGATGAGCACCAGCCGTTCAAGCCCCTTTGCGAGGAGGAGGAAGAAGAAGAAGAAGAAGAAGAAGAGAGAGAAAGGGGGGGTTCCTGGCCTGTCACGGGGTTTAGGAAACGAGTCGGCCCGGCCCACCAGGCGGCCTTTTTCTTTCGAACTTGCAAAGTACTGAGCCCCGTCTTCGATCAATCCCTTCGATTCCCCTGGTTATCATATGATAGATGTTCAATATGATGAGACTAGACACTAAACGTCTATTCTTGACAACTACAATACTGTAGTAATAGAAATATAGTTAGGTCTCCATACTACAGTATGACCCCGTTTCAACCATTCAGGGTTCGGGCAATGGGGCTGAGTTTCCACAGCACAGCCCCACTTCGCCTGTTGATCAAGGATCACCCGGGTTCTGTACGGAGTATACAGCTGACTATCCACAGCATTCATTTGTCCTGCGTCTGCAATGCTCTTCTCCCGAGTTCTCACGGTAACTGTATGATCGACAATGTCTGGACTGGAGGCTGTCGGAATCGCAGCCAGTATTATCCAAATCGCAGATCTCGGCACCAAGTTATCCGTCAAGTTATTCTCCTTCTACCGTCAGATCCAAAACGCCAACCAAGCCATTCAGCATCTCTCTAGCGACGTTGCTTTGACATGCGCAATCCTCCGAGAACTCGGTGATAGTCTCAAGCAAGATGAACAGTCCAAACTATGCTCCCCAGAAGCCCATCTCACCGCGAGGCAGATGCTGAAGCAGTGCGAGGACGTCCTATGGCAAATACAAACTATGATTGACGAGTCCCATGTTTCGGGTAAATCTCGCTGGCAGCAGGCTACAAGTAAACTCCGCAATGTTCTGAACGAGCCGGACGTGAACTTTGTAAGAGGTAATCTTGAACGGCTCAAATCGACGATGCTCCTGCTCTTGAATGTGATTATGTTTGCAGGGCAGATACGAAAGTGGGTTAATTCGAGGCTTTCCCATGAGAACTCCACTAAAATCTGCACAGTAATCATATACCGGAGATGCTTAATGAGCAACGGAATTTGTTCAACATTCTTCTTAAAGAAAAGGCAAATGCAAAAGTTGATAGCATCGCGACGGCAAATCTGACGCCCACAATCTGCCTTACAAGCCTGGCCCAACCACTCAAACCAGCTATTTCGTTCGAGATGCATTCTCAACCTTCATCAGCATGCCCTCCTCTTGCACAGCAAGAGGTACAAGACTATAACTTACTTATCAAAGCTATGCTTCGCGAGATCGACGGCTGCAGATCCAAGCTCGAAAAGAGTCGCCACTCGCGGATTCGGGACGGTGTTTTGAATGTTCACTCAAGTGAGATAGTTTATTTTCAACGTAACTATGGATTGTCTATCTTCCAGTGTTTTGATGAAACCATTTTTGAATATGATGCTGCAAGGGAAGCCCCGGCCATATCCAACTCTATGCTTTCAAGTGCTGAGGCATCAGGCGATCTTGGTATCTCAGTTGACCAGTATGTTTTACCTGATCCCTTTTCCATCATCTACTCCAAAGCGATATTAACAGATAGTGAATAAGTTATGCTGTAATGGAGCATAGTACCCCGAGTTTAGCCGAGTATTCCGTTCCTGGATCATTTTTCACGCCTCTGACCAGTCCTGCTTTGCCGCCTTCTGATTTCTGGGCTGCAAGAACAGAGGATTCCGAAGATGTGGATCTATTTGATCGTTTTATGTTTGGAGATAAAACCAAATCAGCACAACACTCCATGGCCAGCCCGGCTCTTCGGCCAACCATGCATAATGGCGATAGTAAGTGAGATCCTTGGTGGGCATGTATCTTTACAGCCAATAACTAACAATTACACTATCTACAGCTATCTCTTCAGAAGAGTTTTACATATCTACCAAGTCCAACTACCAGAACACTCTCGACGGCACCCAAGTTCCCGGCATCTCCTACCTGGCACCGACGTCCAATACTTTGACTTCCAAGCGAACCAGTCACAAAAGTGCTTCGCAGCCGCGCCGCAATCGCATCAATTGCGCACTTAGGGATTTGGAGAAATTAATTCCACCAACGTTTCTCCAAGACCAACAAGCCCAGAAGCTAGCCGCGCCAGGTACTAATACTGGGGAGAAGGAGGGAAAGGAACCCAGCCAAGTCTTCGGCAAAGCCCTTGTACTGGAGAAGGCTATTCAGTATATAAAAGAGCTAAAGGTGTGGCTCAAAGACCCAGAAGCTTCTGCAGAACCAGAGTCCCCTGCCAACCTGAGCCCGGAGCATGACCTTCCAAAGGTTCAAGGGCAAGGCCTTCGAAACCGTATCAACATCGCACTGAAAGAGATTGAGTTAATGATCCCATCCGAGTTCGTCCAGACGCGACTGATCAAAGAGTTGGCCATATCTGAGATCAGCCCTGAAGGAAATACAAAAGGGAAATTCGTCACACCAGCGCGTAGCAAGGCTAGTACAGTGGAAATTGCGGTCGAATATATCAGGGATCTACAACAGAAGCTTGTATGAGACTAAGTCTGACTCGCTACGGTCACAGGATGAAAACTAACAGAGTCTACTTTCTGCCTCCAGAAAAATACACCGGGAACACGACTCATGCCACCCCGTGCACCATCTCCGAATGGGTGTACCGATTCACGAGGCGAAGAGCATCGGCCGCACACAACACGCCCTCCGGATGAGCCAACAGCGATAAACGCTGAGATACCAGCCAGACCGTTAACCTCCTCAATCGGGGAGGACCCGACTTCTAGTACGGGATTACCTCCAGAAATGCCTGGCTCTGGTTTGGGTTCGTCGCAGAATACTGCCAAACAGACCACGAGTGCGAAACGGACGAAACGCGGTCAGGGGATTGTTGACGAAGAGAGATTATCAGGTAAAGAATATGGTGTCAACCCACAACCCCGGGGATATTCAGAAAACAGTTATGACGACTCACGAGGAACTATCATCCTTCCAGATGGTGAAAACATTACCAACCCTCAAATACAGAGACAACAGGCACGAAACCCGACAAGAAGAGCACACCAGTCTTCTGGCATCAATTACAGGTTCCGCGAGCACCACAGCCAGAAACGAAAGTTCTCTGAGACTGGCACGCTGAACCCTGTCGCAATGGCCTCCGTCCCTCTGATTGAAAAGCGTCAGGAAATGAGCAAAGGCATCACATCCAACGGTACTGTACTTGGGATTTCCAGCGAGAAATACCTGGATGTCTCCATAGACCCGCTATGGCCGAGCAGTCTGGAGCAGGCTTTGGAGCGGTGGACAAATCTCAAGCAAAATGAAATCAACGTGGATATAGCGGGTTGATGACTTTGAGCTTTACGAGAGGAAATACAACTCGTGGGTGATGGGACCAAACTTTAGTAGTTACGTTGCTGCTTTTGGCATTTTGTGTACTTCTATAGAACTTTCCACTGGTTTACTTTGTTCCCAGGGCGCAACATCCCTATCTACATCGACCTCTTAATGAAAGTATCCCTGTTTCTGAGTCGCGAAGAAACAAGTGCCTGGCAGTTGCGGAGAGTGATACTCTGTATGTGTAACTTCAAGTGCGCCCCCTGCTCTGGAAGTAACAGATAGTTGTGGGATAGGGGAGTCAGGTCGATGAATGTATCGACATCTACGCTAGAATTCATCCGCCAACACTCGACATTATATCAAATAGCGTGGGGCCAATGGTTAGTCACTCTGTGCAGTGCCATAGGAGGCCTGAGTACACCAGTGAGTCACGCCCTGCGATCAAACAATCACCCTATTCAATCAACCCAAGTCCTTCAAAAAGTGATTGTCTCTTAAGTTTCATAAAATCAAAATGGTGCAAGTGAAGCCATTTGTCCTTGAAAACTGGGGTATGCATTTCAACCTCTCAACTTCAGAACCTCATTGACCACAGTCCTCGCTGACATCCCATTTTGTTAATAATAGTTCGCCAGTTCAAAGTAAGTGGCCTAAAATCTTCAAGTTTAGTCGGTATCAAGCTCACTATAAGCTAGCCTTCTGCAATAGAATCTTTGCACAGTATACCGCATTTCTCTCTCAGGTAGCCCAAATGACTAACCTGTTGGTAGGCACAAACGTGGAGCCCCTTTCTCTGCTAGAACTAGCACAACTATCCTCGGGAAATAAATCAAACTCTAGGCCAATAAATGAGGCTGAGCCACTCAGTTACGGCTCCGTTTTAGGAAGTCCTGGACTGAGAGATAAGATCCTCTCCCAATATGACTCCGGAGAGATGTTATAACAACGGCTATCTTTGACGGTCACCCAGGGAGCGATTGCAGCAAATTTTATTGTCCTTGATACTCTTCTGGGTCCAGGGGGTCATGTCATCTGTCAGTATCCAACGTACCAACAGCTCTACGAGGTTCCTCGTCGTGCAGGCGCCGACGTGTCGCTATGGTATTCCCATGCAGAGAGAGGATGGATTCCTGACCTTGAGGATCTCTCTTCGCTGATCAGAGAGAATACCAAAAAATGATAATTATCAAGTGCATATAGCATTCTCCAGTGGCATCCGTATACTAACATTGGTGAAACAGCAATCCAAATAAACCCACTGGCGCAACAATTCCCCAAGCCACCCTTGAGAGCTTGGTATCCTTCGCTGCCGAGCGTAACATTATCATTTTCAGCGATGAGGTGTTTCGCCCACGGTTTCACGTTTAAACCACTCCACCATCCATCATAAACTTCTCCAAGCAATACAAAAACATCATTGCTGTCAGCAACTTATCCAAGGCCTACGCCTTGCCGGGCATCCGTATTGGATGGGCCATCTCTCCGAATCCCGCGCTTATGGAGCAAATCACTCTAGCCAGGGATTATACAACACTCTCAGTCTCGCAGATAGATCAGGATATCGCAACTTTTACCCTAGGGCTCGGCATTCAAGACGGACCTCTAGATCGTTCTTGGAACATATGCAAGACCAATCTTGCCTCGCTGGGGAAATTTATCGGTTCTTATCCTGACCGGCTGCACTGGATGAAGCCTACTGGTGCTTCGATGGCGTTTGTGCGTATCCTTGACGCGCAGACTGGTCTGCCTCTTGATGATGGCTCTTACTGTGAGGGACTTCTTAAGGAGACAGGTTTACTGCTTGTGCCTGGTGGAAAGACGTTTGGTACGGAGGGAGATGATGACTTTAAAGGGTATATTCGTTTGGGGTTTGCTGTTGCGCGGGAGAAATTTGAGCGGGCACTCAAGATTTGGGGCGAGTATCTTGATCGCTCTGAGGTGTAGAAGGCGTGTCTGTTCGACAGTTTGTTCAGAGGTGATAACATGATCAATTTGATATTTTGGAAGAATTATTTGGTAAATTGGTATATGTTCCTTGTTGGAACAGGTAGACGCAAGTAATTTCTTGTGCCTTTTGGTTTTGTCTGTACCATGCCCTTTTTGTGGCCTCAGGCCACAATTCACAGTAACATGGTTCATGCCTAATATTGCCAGACATTTACACTCGCAAAAACTTGAGTGTCTAGGCCGTGGACAAAGAAAGCGGGGATAGTTTAAATACCACCTCTTCGTGTATTTTTTTTAGGATGCGTATTTCAGACCAAGTTTGTTCATCCTGCCTGAAATATCTCGAGGTTGAGATGAAACTTTGGTAAGGTTGGAGGGATATATTTCGGCGATGAATCGACTCGCTCGCCTACTCTTGTCTAGATGATATCCACGGATACAATGCCTGAGGTATATGACATGAAGCTATTCCAAACCAACCTACGATAGGGAGGACAATGCAAGTATGAGCGTGCACGTAGGAGGATACCCGACAAAGTATAACCAGCCCAGCGTTCTGTTACTTCTGGGGGGCCGCCAAACAGAGAAAATCTGGGGATGCGGCAGTGTGCGGCAGCTGCAGCCAATTTTCAAAGTGACATGGTCCGTCCAGTCGGAATTCGTCTCGTGGGGGTTTCGAATCCTGATCCTCGTCCTCAGCTGAAGAGCGTTTGGCGACCCACACGCCTATACGAGAGAATGACGTCGACCACTTTTGGGGCTGGGGAAACTAGTTCCCATACTCAGCTGCCCAGCAGAGTGGTCCCCGTCGTCCAGCCCTAGAAATCCCTAGGCCATACAATGGGACCGAGGAACCCTCGGATGACCTTTGTTACAACAACGGCTACAGCTAACTATGGAATGAGAAAGTGCCCGGTGGAGAGAAAGTCAGAAGGGAAGACGGCCACTGCACATACCCGGGGCGCCATTGACCCAGACGGTGCGGGCACTTGGGCAAAGTAACCTGCGAGGTTCTGTGGCCCAAGGCTCCAGGCAGTTCGATGCTTCATTATTCGAGAGTCTTACACTACTCTTTGCTGTTTGGCGTCGAGTCAACAAAACAGCAGAATGGGACGATCAACATTGGGCCGGCCGTCTGGCTGCTAGGCATCAGTACGGAGTACTGGGAACGGACTTGGAAGAAGCTCCCGCTTCATCCACCATCCACAGTCCACCATCGATAACCCACATGCTGGGCTGACGCCTCCCAACTTGCTTCGCGGGGCCCGCAGCACTGTTCGGTGGCCGTGTCCGAACCAGCCGGGGCCAGGATGAGTGTCCGCCCTATCAGTCCCTCCTCCGTGGGAGGGGAAAAACGCCCATTTCACAGGGAGTGGATCGAAAGAATGTCAGATACATCTGCTATACGGGAAACAGGGCTTTTCTCTGCAATGGCCTATGAGACGGTGTTCCTGGATGTACAAGTACAAAGAACTGGCCATGCAGGGCGTACAGCCATCAACCGGTACTGTATGATCCATCCATACAGCCCCCAGCGCAGAGCGCGGAATGAGTCGGATACCGATGATCCCGTACGTGAGTACTGGAAATGCCCTCTGTGCATGGGCTGAAATCTGGATCGGCCAGATGCACCCAGTTGCGCCGGACCCAAAGCCAAGAATCTTTACGCTCTGATCTCCCAACGATGCCAGAACCAGGCATCTGGGGCGGGCTTGAGTCTAGTCGGATTTGGGGTCCTTGGGGCTGATGGGCGCTAAGCATATTGACTGATCATTATTTACTGTTCTCAGCTCTTGCGTTTCAACCAAGTTACAGGCTGACAAGTGACAGCCTTATCCGCTTGAACGGGAGTCTCACGTGATCCAGGCCCAGTCGGTCGCTTGAAGGATGCTCAACTGGCAGCTGCTCAAGCGCCCAAGGCTTATAGATCCAGAGTACTACCTCGACAGTTGTACTCTACAATACTTGAAGAGTCGGCCACCAGGGACTAGATCAACTTAGCAGTGGAGCCGCCGCGAAGGCCGGGATCTGACCGGCCAAGCGCCCTGGTGAGCGAATCCGCCGGACATTCTCTGCCGGATCGGCCGCATTCTTTGCGAGCGAGGCAGTGCTGAAATGTGGATTCGAGACATCCTGGAAAAGGAGACGACGCTTTTCCTTTTTCTGGCGTGATTCAGGAGAAGGGCAGAGACCATTCTAGTCAGGGAGGATTCGAGATCTAGAACCTGCGTCGAAGGGCAGCTATTAACCTTTGACAGTTTGTTGACAAGATAACTGGAATAAATAGCAGTCACTAAGCCTGCTTGGGCTACGGTCGAACGAACTAAATAGCACTAAGTTAGGACTACTACGAAGTACAGTACTCCGTACTAGGCAAAGCATTGGCGACGAGAATGACAGGAGGAGAGAGAAGTACAAAGAGAAGTACAAACACGACGCACAATTATCCAATAGAGTCAATACTCTGAAAATATATGAAAATCAAGGAGCTTGGGACTAGCTAGATGACTACTTGGCTACAGAGCCAATATCACCTTAATCAACCATCTCGCTGACTACTATACCCTTGAATTGAGATGACCATACGGAAGTACTGAAAATGACCCGCACAACTACGAGATTGACGACACTTCCTCGTCCTTCTCCAAAGGGGGGCCCAATTGAACCACGTCAACCCCCTCGATCTATTCTTCTGGCTTGTCTTCTCATATTTATTCTCTTCTTCGTGATACCCAATTTCTCTCGTTGCTGGATCTTTTTGTTCGGGGGTTCCAAGTTGTTGTTGGTCCGTTCCCTGTCCCCCTCCCCCCCCCCCCCCCCAATCGATCGATCTTCGTTTCCACCATTCCCGAAACGCCCACACAGCGGCCATTCCTATCCCTGTCGTACGGCAGCCTTGAACTCACATTTCCACTCCTCCAACATCCTCATCTCTCCCACTCCCACCCCCTCCAACCCTCCTCCCTCTTCCCCCGCCGTCTGATCGGGGTGAGAGAGACCTTCTTTTCGACCTCTGGTCATGCACAAGATCTCCAACTTTACGGGCCAGGCCCGTCATGGTTGGGAACGAATGACGCCGACCTTTGGAATGTCCAGACCACACACCGACATGACTTTTCGCCGGCCACACGGGGCACCTCCCATGACGCCCCCCACGAGTATTGATCCGACCGTCAACCTGTCCTTCAACGTCCCGTTCTCTTCCACGTTGGCTGGTCCCGACGTCGAGGACGTCCTCCACGCCAGTCCCAACGCTCTGCAACGCTGGACTTTCCCCGAAGGCACTCCCGAGGGCACACCGGTCCACCAGCTGCCCGTACACACCAGCAATGTCGATGGTTTACGGAGGTTATGCCGGCAGATTACGGAAAGCAGTGGTGGCCGTATCGAGGCTACTCTCACGTCCTCAGAGCCCAAGGCGGTGCCTTCGCTACAACGGCGGCCAAATGGCTTGGTGACCAACGTCTGTGTGACCGGTGACGGAGAGACAGTACGGAAGATGCGGGCCAAGATTTTGAACGAGACTCCGATTATGTTGGTACGTGGTTGAATTTTTTTTCATCTGCTCTGAGCATCTTGACCTTCGACCCGTGTGCTCAAACCAATGCTGGTCTTGACGATGGCACATCCCTTGCTAACTAGTTACTTCTGATTAGCGATGCGCGACCGTCGACGTGGATATGCACTTGATCATGGATGGGTCTCCCAAGGGGATCCGAGCGAGCGTGCTCGAGCACATGGACACCTTGGCCGCCTACACCGGGACCGACATTTTCTTGCTGACACCCAAGCTCCACGACGCCGACAGCGCAGTGGTTTCCTCCTATGGCTATGCATCTGACAACGGGCTCGAGCAGCGCTTCCGAGTCGCCATCTACGGCGACATGGAGAGCTCTGAGCATGCGAAGACGCGGGTTCTGATCATGATCGATCAAATTGTGGGTCACCTTTGTGTGCGGGATAATTTCGACGGGAACCGGGCTAACGCAGAGCCGCAGCTGAAACGCCATGTGGACGCCATCAAGCTGGAGCTGACCATGCACACTTTGGTCTGTGGACGGACTCGCAAAAACATCAAGCTCATCGAGGCTGCCACCGGCACCGCCATCTACTTCCCTCCTCCCTTCCCCCGAATCTTTGGCTATACCCCTCCTGGCGCGAGCCGTCGAAGTGAAGACGAAGTCTACATCACGGGAGACACACCGGAGCAGATTGCTCGTGCGAAGCAAAAGTTGCGGGAATTGGTCCTGGGGGTGAAAATCTATGTCAAGGATGTCGTCGTCAACTCGAGCAAGATCGACAATATCTTGCTCGATCGCTTGGACAAGGTCCGCAAGGTGATGGAGATGAATGGCTCCTACGTTCTTTTCCCACAGTTGGGCAGCCAGCGCGGCCTTGTCCGGATTCAGGGTACTGAGGTTTTGCATGTCGAGCGGACTGTCAGAGAGATCATGGCTCTGGTATGAATTCCCAAGAGATGGTATCGTATGAATCACAACTAACCAGACATTCCAGGCCGGTCAATTCTACAGCGCTTCTTGGTGGATCCTCATGCCTGATCCTGCGCAAGGCGGCATCCGCGCTCCTTCGACAGCCGACATTCGTTCCATGCTCTCCGATATCTGCACCAACTCTGAGGCGGAGGTCAGCTTCGACAACCTCACCTTCACTATCAACGGATCCGACGATGCGGTCAAGGCTGCTATGACTGTCGTGAACCAGATTCCTTTCGTCACACGCAGCCAATACCAGATGCGAGTCAAGATCGAGCTCGCGAACGAACACAAGGAGTTTGTTAGCGGCAAGAAGAACGGCAAGATCAACAAGATCATGGGTCAGAGTGAGTTACTCCATCTACGCCGCCCATGTAGGGAATGTGCATTAACAACGGAATAGGCAACGTGCAAATCATCTTCGACGGCTTCAACGAGTACAACTTCTATATTGACGTGTGCGGCAACCAGTACGACTCTACCAAGAACGGTTTGGATCTTGTCGAGCAGGAGATGCCCGCCTCCATCTCGTTCCATGTTCCGGACCAATACCACAAGCGGATTATCGGCATTGGTGGGCAGCACATCCAGCGTATCATGAAGAAGTACTCGGTGTTTGTCAAGTTCTCCAATGCGATGGACCGCGGTGGGATGGGCAAGGAGGACGACGACATCAAAGTTGACAATGTCATCTGTCGGACTCCAGCCCGTAATGCCCAGAGCCTGGACCTTGTGAAGCAGGAGATCATGGACATGGTCGAGAAGGTTGACGCCGAGTATGTCTCGGAGCGAGTCGTCATCAATCGCCTCTACCATCGCGAGCTGTTGGCTCGCATGACTGAAATTGACGAGTTGGAGAAGAAGTGGAACTGCAAAATTGAGTTCCCCAGCACCGAGCTTGCCAGTGATGTCGTTACCATCTCCGGTCCGGAGTACCAGGTGCCCCAGGCCGTTGATGCTCTTCTAGGCATGGTTCCCGAAAGTCACGAGCTGCACTTCCAGAGCTCTTCGGAGCTTCAGCAATACTTCAAGTCTCCGGACTTCATCGCGGACGTTCGAACCAAGCTCAAGGAGCAGTATGAGGTTGATATCAATGTTGACACCGCTGCTGATCTCCCCACCACCAAGGAGGAAGGCTCGTCCTCCCCTGAGCCCGCTCCGGAAGATCGAGTTGTCCTTGGTTACACTCGTAACAATGCTGGTGGTCTGAAAGACGCCATCGACTTCCTGATCTCCCGCCTCGTCGCTCATGGCCTCGACGCCAACACCGTCAAAGGTGCCATTCCGCGCCCCAAGTCGGACTCATTCGAGGAGTCACTTCCCTTCTTCGACTCAAAGCTGTTGCAGCACGCTCCCGTCCCTCTTGTGACGGACTCTCCTACCCGACCCAGTTTCGCTGACGAGACTAGCGAGCGCGGCTCGATTTTCGAGCGTCTGCGCAAGCCGGGTAGCATTTCGTCCTTCTCGTCCTTTATCGGACGCAAGAACCACTCGGCATCGCCCGGTTCCTTCTTCAAGCACGCCTCGAGCAACGCCTCGAAGGCCTCGCTCGTTTCGATGGAATCGCGGGATAGTGGCTACCGCAACCCCTGGAACGACTCCGGGGTGAACTTGCCCGAGGACGACCTGCCCGTCCTTGGCAGCTCGCACAGCCACAAGAGCAGCAGCAGCAACAATGGCTGGCCCACGCGCTTCGACGCCAAGTTTCCTTTCGGTACGGCGCCCGGCGACATGACTCCCAAGCATGATCCGCGCGCCTCTTTTGACAGTGGTCGCCCTAGCACTTCGAATTCTACTTCTGGATACCCGGCCCCGATTGGGCCACCGCGTTAAACCCAAAATATCCATTTACAGCAGCAGTATACCCTTTTGGTTGATTGATTTGTTTCCAGCGTGTCTCGGTTTGACCTGTCTCTCTGTCTTTCGTCTTTTGTTCAATTGATGTTTGGTTGTTTTTCTGTCTTTTTTTTTGGTCTTTTGATTTTACAAGTTGATTGATACCACGGAAACGCAAGCAATGAGGGCGTCAGAAAAGAAAACGAGAGATATCCAAGAAATCTGCGTGAGATAGAGCGGATTTTCATCGTTACTGTTTTGTCTTTGTGCTATCTTTTTTTTGTCTTTCTCATCTTTTATCTTATAAGGAGGGGAGAGAAACACACGATATTCCTTTCCTCCCCTCGATTTCTTTTTGATGGTTCTTTTTCCTTCTTCCTGTGCTTCTTGTTGGTCGCGACGTGGATGATTCCGGGTGTGCATTGGAGGGACTTAAAGGGGTTACGCGTTGGAGTCTTTCGAATTCTCACTCTTGAGATGATGATACCCTTGCCGGCATGGCTGGTCTGGTTTTCGGCGATTTCGATTGACTCGGGAGTTTCACCTTGATCGATTTGGGTTTTTGTGTCGATGTTTACTCCTTTTGATATCCCCGTCAATGAGATTTGACTTGAGACAATATCCAGCTTCCATCAGCCGTAGACCTTTCAGTCAATTAGTACAAACACCCTAACTCGGTCTTCATTCTAGGTCTACCATCAATCATGCCACGCTGTTCTCACAGTCTGGGCTTCCACGGACGGGTTTCAGCGCCGTGGAACTGACGATCTCCACGCTGACGTAGCAACGTGGGGTCACAGCTCGACCCCCGCTCCTTTCATAGTTCCTACAACGACCATTACCCAGACCATTCTTCAATTGCACAACCAACCAAGTCCAGGGAACCCATTGTGCACAATTCAATCCCAGGAGCAACTCACCAATATGGCATCATCATATCCACGCCCGGACTTCCAACGCAAAGCCCTGAACTGGGCTTCTCTCGACGGCACATGGGACTTTATCTTCGACGACGGCAACATCGGGCTATCCCAGAAATGGCAAAACAAGGGCATCCCCGCACATGCAGACGACAAACAGCCCAAACGCGAGATACAAGTCCCATACGCGTTTCAAACTCCAGCGTCTGGGATCGGGCTCCTCGAGGCCCACGAGTTGATGTGGTATGAGCGTAGTATCGACGACATTCGAACCGACGAGGAAAAAGCCAACGGAAGCAGACTGCTCATCCGCTTCGGCGCCGTCGATTATGAGTGCTCTGTTTGGGTAGATGGTCACTTTGTCGGTGGCCATCGTGGCGGCCATGTCCCTTTTGATTTGGATGTGACGGATGCATTCCCACCGGAGGCACAGTCCGCCCGTCTGACCATGCGCATAAGAGACTCGCCGTATGACCTTGCCCAGCCGCGTGGGAAGCAGTACTGGAAGCCTATTTCGGAAAATATTTTCTACACGCCAACCGGTGGTATTTGGTTGTCTGCTTGGATGGAGAGTGTGCCTGCTATGCGGTTGTGTTGTGGTAGTGGTGGGACCGTTCTTCGGTCAGACGATATCGAACATGGCGAGCTTCATGCGCGGATCTCTGTGGCTGGTCGATCGCCGCAGGCTGGGTGTAGTGTTGAGGTTGAAGCTAGTCTGGGCGGAAGCCCTGTGGGCAAGAACAAGGTCCCGTTACCGGCTGAGAGGGACTGGGCTGCTCTGGACTTGAGCATGAAAGTACCGCATGCGATTGAGCTGCAGAAGAAAGCACCGTACGATGCTGAAGGAGCTTGGCATGATTCCGTGGCTCTTTGGGCGCCCGAGCATCCGATCTTGTATGATTTGGTTCTGCGTCTATACGACGCCGATGGCAAGGTTGTTGACGAGATCGAGACCACTACCGGCATGCGCAGTCTATCCTGGCAGACTGGCGATGGCACCTTCCGATTAAACGGCAAGCCGCTCTTTCAGATGTTATTCTTGGATCAGGGTTACTGGCCCAAGACCGGAATTACGCCTCCTTCATCCGAGGCGCTCAAGGCTGATATCATCATGGCGAAAGACCTGGGCTTCAACGGGTGCCGCAAGCACCAGAAGGTCGAAGATCCCCGGTTCCACTACTGGGCTGATCGGCTGGGCTATCTTGTCTGGGGCGAGATGGCTAATGCTTACGAGTTTGGAAGCGATTACATCGAGCGGATGAATGCTGAGTGGGCGGAGGCTGTGAAGAGAGATATTAATCATCCATGTGTTATTACGTGGACGCCGAATAATGAGAGTTGGGCCTACACTTCGTTGAAGGATAATATTGAGCAGCGGAATCATATTCGCTCTCTGTACTATCTGACCAAGTATGACCCGATATACGTCTGACCAGATGAAATGGAGATAGCGCTGACGCGGCACTGAAACAGGACGCTGGACCCTAGCCGTCCCATTAATGACAACTGTGGCTGGGAGCATGTACTCACAGATCTAACCACATACCACGACTACGCCGACTCACACGAGCTAGCAGAGACATGCTCCAAGATGGAAGGCGGGATCCTAGGCCCGAAGGCTGGACGCGAGATGTTCACGAAGCCCATATATTCCGGGTTCTCAGGCCACACCTTCGTTGACTCCGGAGCGCAGCATAAAGCCGGGGCACCGGTAATTTGCACCGAATTCGGTGGCGTGAATATCGCGCCTCCCAAGGATAGTCAGGCTGGTGAGCGTGACTGGGGATATACCACTGCCACGGACGTTGAAGACTTTGTGAAGCGATTTGAGAAGCTGGTGATGGCCATCGTCAAGGGTGGTCACACGTGCGGACTTGTGTATACACAGCTGTAAGTGAATCTTCCAAAGGAAGGGGACATCGATTGGCTAACTGGCGCTTTCAGGTGTGATATTGAGCAAGAGGTCAATGGGCTGTACACGTACGATCGACGGGCGAAAGTTCCCGTTGCAAAAGTCAAGGCCATCATGGATGCTGCTCAGGATTATTACTATCAGCATGTGCAATCACATGCTCCAAAGGGTTTCCGGAAGTTGCTGCATTCTCTGCACCGATCATGATATTAACCTTGAGACTGCAATCTAGGTTGCTTCCGTGGTGCAGCTACTGTATGAGGGTGTCTCGGCTAAGAGGATGAGACACAGCAGGCAGGAGCTTTCATAGAGTAGTTTGATAAAATAAAATGGTTTCGGGATAACCACCGACGTTCAGAATTGCAGTATCAAATTTTTTTTCCATCTAAGATATCTGCGTTGATGGGTTATAAACTGCTTCAGCCCTTTCAAGGCAGAATAGGAGATAAAATTCCGATGTAATCATTGGCTCTTTGAGCCACACCTACAGTACTACCTGAGTGGTTTATAAGTTCACATGCAGTGACCAGCCTGGTACACTAAGTTCTAGCTACTTCGGCCTAGAGCATACATGTTGCAACAGAGCGATCGTCGACAACTCGGGGCGATAGACTGCTGATCGAGGCTCCAACGTTACTCTCCGCTGCATGGTGACCACCTCGGACTCGGCCTTTGGCAAAATGCGATCTACCAAACAGTGAATACTGTTCATGAGAGCAACCTCTTATGCAAAAAATCGAGGAATAAGAACTTGGTCAGCACGGATCTCCGTTTCTGTAGCGCCAGTAGCCCTGTCTGGCTACTCCACTTTGTTCTTATGGTAACGCCGTTGAAATGCGGGGTTGTGATGGTCTTGCTTTACACTAGTCTGGCAGGGATTAGAACAAGTACGCTCAGATAGTTGGGCTACTCGCACAGTCGCAGATCAAATGTTCGAGTGAGGGGTTGTGAAAGGGCCATTTGAAGGTCGTGATTGAAGCGATTCGGTAGTCCGGCAAATCGTACTACAAAGCCTCGTTTCAATGTGGCAGACGGTAGCCACGCAGATGTCATTTAGGTCTGTCGCCAAATCATACGGGCTGAATATTGATATAAGTTACGTCCCACAGCTGTGGGACCTCCTAAAAATTCCAAGTTCGAGGACACCTTTGTAATGGATTCTTGGGACACTGCGTTAGGAGTGGGCACTCTAGATGCCTTACCCACCTCCCTTCTCGCGGTGGTGGCTATTACTGCCGCCGTGAGTGTTTTCGTTCACTTCCTCAAAGCTGAAATACTGATGAAACATAGATTTTGGGATATGGAGCGTGGGTAGTAGTCTATAATCTCTACTTCAGCCCACTAGCAAAATTCCCCGGCCCCAAACTCGCAGCATGCACCGACATCCTCAGTCTATATTGGACCTCAACGGGACAAAATCACTACAAGATGAAAGAGCTCCACGACAAATATGGTGATGTCATTAGGATGGGCCCTACTTCTCTAATTTATCGGAGCGCCCAGGGATGGAAGGACATCTATGGCCATCGCAAAGCAGGAAACGGGTCATTTCTCAAAGATCCTCAGTTCTACACCCGCGGACCGAACGGACCTAATCTCCTGAATGCCAACGACGCTGACCACGCGAGGGGAAGACGACTTCTATCCCACGCATTTTCCGAAAAGGCCCTGAGAGACCAGGAGAGTCTCATCCAGTCCTATGTGGACTTATTGGTGGAGCGACTGAACGGCGAAATCAACGCTTCACGAGGAATAGTCGATATGACCCAATGGTACAACTTCACCACGTTCGATATCATCGGCGACCTAGCCTTTGGCGAGCCATTTGACTGCCTACACAAAAGCCAGTACCATACATGGGTGAAAATGGTCTTCGTGAGCGCCAAAGTAGCAGCTGTCCTCCGACCGCTACGCGTATACCCCTTCCTAGCCCCGATCGTCCGAATGATAGTACCGAAGAGACTGGTTAAAATGCGAGAAGCACACTTTGCATTGAGCGCAGAAAAGGTCCGCCGTCGACTAGAGGCTAAGACCGAACGACCTGATTTCATGACTTATGTCCTTCGTTTCAATGACGACCGGGCCATGAGTATCCGCGAAATGGAAAGTAATGCCGCACTACTGATTCTCGCCGGCAGCGAGACTACCGCCACACTGCTCTCGGGCTTTACCTACTATAGTCTCGCGAATCCCGCGGTCTGGAAGAAGCTGATCGACGAAGTTCGGGGATCGTTTACGTCGTACGATGATATTGATTTCCACGGTGTGAGCCAGCTGAGCTACTTGAATGCAGCGCTGGAGGAGGCTCTGCGGGTTTACCCCCCTGTTACGGCGTTGACACCGCGAGTAGTACCAAAGGGAGGCGCAGTGATCGATGGCTCGTTTATACCGGAGGGAACGTCCGTGTCTGGACATCATTATTCAACGTACCATGCCGAGTCGCATTTCGCTGAGCCGGACTCGTTTATTCCCGAGCGATGGCTTGAGAGTCGAGACGAGCGGTTTGAAAATGATAACAGGTCGATACTATATGCGTTTTCACTCGGGCCTCGGAATTGTCTGGGGAAGAAGTAAGAAATACATGTATAAACCCTCTATCAGGCGTGTGCTAACATGCTATGTCTTTTAGTCTTGCCTACGCCGAGATGCGGCTCATTGCGGCCAAACTTCTATGGAGCTTTGATATGACCCTGGAAGAAAGCTCAGCTGGTTGGGAAATCCAGAAGTCATTCAATTTGTGGGAGAAGAATCCACTTATGGTGAAATTATCACGAGCGCAGCATAGTTTTGAGAAGTGAGGAGAAGAAGGGCGGTTGTCCATCCTCGTTGGATTTACTGGAAAATACACGACTGCAAGAAATGAAACACCAATATTGCTTGGTCATTAAAACTAGGAGCCACCAGGCCCCGTGCTAAGTACCGTATTCGCTGAAAGTGCTCTGCTCAGAACAAGAAAAGAAAAGAAAAGCATCACAATACTAATAGATATAAGCGGAAAAACGACAACCAAAGGAGCAGTGGAAATGGCAAGCCCAATACAGTCAGTCCCACGTAACGCCAGACATGCCGAAATATTTTCTTGTTAGAACGATGAAAAGACAAGGAACGTGCGCTGATAGATGCATATTACAAAAAGGGTGGCGATTAAAGATTTTCCACGTGGTGTAATCACATGTTGGCGAGCTCGTGGTCGATTTGGCGGTCCACAAAGGTTCGCTTGTCGCCGGAGAGGGAGGTTTGAAGGCGCTGTTCAACAAGGACACGAACTGTAGAAGTTTGTTAGTTAATTTGGAGAGAAGGATACTGGCCGGGGAAAGGATGTTTTCTTACCTTGTTTCTTCGTAACAGTGTCGAGATCCACTTCGGAGAGACAGTGGCGGATCGCTTCAGTGATGGCAAGCTCATCTGGACCGCTGGCCGCGCGGAAATCAAAGGCAGTGCTAGCAGGTCGCGGGGGAAGCTGACCCAGCGGACTGCGCGAACGGGAAGCGGCGAGGAGGTTCTCACTGCTCTGCATCAAGCCAATGCTGTGACGGCTCGAGTGGAGCGGGTTGTCCTGGTACGCGCTGAGGTTGCCAACGGACATGTTTCGAGATGCGGCTGCGGGATGAGCGCCCATCTGGGGATAGTCCGTGTAGCGGGAGAAGCTGGTCATCTGCGAGTTGCGGTTGCCGGCGACATTACCCCCAGCGAAGGGGGCCGGTGACTGCGGAGGCATGTAGGGGCTAACGTGGCGACCCTGGCCGGGGAATCCAGTCAGGATAGTTGACGCTGGCCGCACGGAGGAGTACTGCGAGTGCATATCGTCCATCTCCATGGCGTGCTCATCCACGTAGCGGCCAGTGTATTGGACCTTCTCTTGGTTGCCACCAACTTCACCACGACGGCCAGGGAGATTGTTGGCAAGGGCATAGTCATCCCAGCGCTGCAGAGGAATACTGCGGGGGTCGAAGCCCTCATCTTCCACAGCGATGACTCTCTTATCACCCTTCTCGCCGATGACCACACGGGTGTTACCCCAAGTGAAGTCATCCTGCTTCCAGAAGGAGTACAGAGGAAGCACGAAACTGTAAATGGGGAAGGCAATCAGATAGATGAGCATCCATCCGATATGCTGCCACTGCCGTTTGATGATGAAGATGATGGCCTGAAGACCGTATACACCGGCCAACATGACGATCGAGATCATAGGGAATGGTCCACTGTGGCTAGCAACACGGTAAATGAGGTATCCCAGGTAGACGCAAGTTGCGGGAAGAATGATTGTTCCCAGAAGATCCACGAGCACGACGAATCGCATACTGAAGCAGCAGAAGCCGCAGAGATCCTTGAGTGCTGCCAGTTCGACAAGGTTGTGAATGGTCGAGTTAATCCAGCGACGACGTTGCGAGACCAGAACACTCCACGTCTCGGGGGCAGCGGTACTTGCGAATGCATCGGGAATGAACTTATAGCGCATGGTCGGGAAGTGCTTGGTCATGAGAGTGGTCAAGAAACGATCCTCACCCAGAGACAGCAGGTTCTTCTTGTGCAAAGTGTCAACATCGATATCAGCATACTCTTCGAGGACCTTGTCTGAAATGATGAGCGGGCGCCCCTTGTCGGCAGTTCTCAGACGATACATGCAGAAACTGGATAACTGATTAGCTCGTTCGTTTTCGAAATGTTGAAAGTGGAACTTACCATCCAGGAAGACAAGTGACACTGCCAAACAGGGACTCGAATGCCTTGGCCAGATGATGGGAGATGTAGTATTCGTAAACCTGAATCATGGTCCACCAACTGCGCTCCTCGTTCTGGAGACTAGTCTCACCACAAATACCGGCAATCTTGGCATCAGCCGCGCAAGCAGCAACTAAGCGATTCAGCGAATCTTCCTTGACACTGGTATCAGCATCGACCATGAAGCAGTATTCGTAAAGTTCGGGGTCCACGCCAATGATGTTATTAATCTGATGGAAGATTTCCAACTCCATGGGCGACATCGGACCACGGTGGTGAACACGGTTGAGGAAGTGCATAAGCAAGACTTGCGAGTCTCGCTTGCCACGGTTACCAGGCTTGGACTTGCGCTGCTCAGACTCCTTGCCCACCTTGACCACGACGATGTAAGGGACTACATTGCCTTCGTACTCGTACAGACCAGAATAGACCTTGGCGTAGTTCAGTTGCTCGCTACCCTGGCCAACGGATCGGAATGGCAGAGCCGGGGGATCCATCTTAGGGTCCACCCCCAGAATGTCGAGAACGATCTTCGGTGTTGGACGGTCATTACCACCACCAACGATCATACCATCACAGATGACAAAAATCAACTTTCGCTTGTTGTCGTACTGCAGCGCAGTCAAAGAGTCCAGGCCCTTTCGTAGGGAGTCCTCGCCCTCAGTATAGGCAGGGACCAAGCAGATGACAAACTTGTCTTGAGGTGCTGGCCGACGTTTGGACCCCAGCTGCAGTGCTGCCAAGAACTTGACAAGAATCACGGCACAGATGAGAATGGTGAACGCCAGAAGAATCCAGTTGTTAACGGTACACTTGGGACTGTCTCGGAAATCAACCTTGCCCTTGTAGAAGACGTAGTCAAGACAGCGTTGCGCGTTTTGGAAGTCTGTGGTATCCTGCCATTTGTCTGTCACATCTTGACCGGGGTAATTCTTAAACAGCGTGGTCACGGAGTCTGGCAGGAAAGTGTAGGAAGCAAGATTGTTTTCAGTCTTGGCGGTGTAGAAGTAATCCGTAAGGTCGTAAACCTTTTGATTCACGATGACCCAGTATCGGGAATAGTCGTTGGCTTGCGTCTCGATGGTACTCTTCGTCCAGACCAATTCACCCTTGTAGTAGTTGGCAATCTTGGGCAGGAAGACGTCTGCATACCAGGTGATCTCGTGGAGCTTCGTATCGGTCTGAGGATAGTTACGGGGACCACAGTTGTGCTTTGCATCGGAATATAGGACTGCGCTGGTATCATTGTTCAACAGCTGGATCGACTGGTCGGTGACAAAAGCACCGCAGTACTGAGTGAGCGGAGGGGGGAAATAAGCGTCCAGATTCAAACCAGCAAAGGGCTCCATGTTGGACGTGGTAGTTTCAATGCTGGTATCACTGTGCTGCAGCTTCCAGAACTTGGAAATGTCATAGACCCGGCCATGGATACTGACGTAGAAGTTGTTGTCCTGAGTGTGCCAGCTAACCTCCTTGTTGTTCCAGACTTTAGCCTTGTTGGGACACAGGAGGTCACCGAAGGCGATGATGTAGAAGCAAACAATTCCGTTGAAGAGTAAGATGATGAGGACCAAGACGATCTTCTCCCGCCAGGCAAATCGAACATCTGGACGCTTCATGCGACCAATATAGCGAAGAACGAATGAAGGGATCCAGAAAGTGAGAGCCCAGACGAGGCCAGCCCAAACGCGGCGACCGAATGAAATCTTCTTTTTCTCGATGTGCTTAGGGTCCCCAAACTCGGGATCGAGATCGCCGATGTAGCGACCATAGTCATCATAATAAGCAATGTCACCCTTGTTATCGTCACCCTTGTGGCCAAGACCGTAGTCACCGCCGCCAGTATTGGTGATGCCAGTAGGGGCGATAGACTTGGCACCTCCCATGACACTTGGGGCCATTACGCTCTGGTTGTGCATCATCATGTCGGCTCCCAACAGGTTGGAGCTTTCGCCGACGGGGTTGCCATCAGGGGTGTAACCGGGTTCATACATGGTCGCACCATATCCGAAGGGGTTTGAGGGCATTTCGTCCGGCTTGAGGTCGAGCATCGACTCGGCCTCCCACCAGGCACCCTCTCTCATCCAGATACGTTGTTGGCCGACAACGGCATCCCCGTTGCTCCAGCCTCTCTCGAGGATCCAGTTCTCAACACCGTCTTGGCCTTCAGTGCAGCCAAGCCGAGCATACCGACCGACGAATTCTTCCACGTCAAAGTCCACTGTAAAGTCGAGTTGCTTCAGGCGCCGGTTGGCCCACTCGGGCAGTCGCCAATCTCTCAATTGACGCGAGACTGCACCCGCAGACCAGGCCACAGTGTTCGCGGTGAGCTGATCTGGGAGGTCATCCGTGGGGTGAATGGACAAGTGATACCAGACACGGCTGCTACCCAAGGTCGTGGGGAGATCGAAACGTCCCCGTTTGCCGATGGAGATACCCTCGCTCTCAACTGGGAACAGAAGCTGTCGCAAGAAAGAGTCGGACTCGGCTTCTAAACCGACCTTCTCCAAGACACCTTGGCGTTTGTCCAGATCATGTTCGCGTTCCCGACCAGCAGCACCACTCATGATACCAAGGTCGGGCTCGACCTGAGCCACCGCAGCACTCATTTCATTGATAACAGACTGGCCGATGGCCGGGAGAGGAATGCCATCTTCTTTCATTTCGGCATTGAGGCCCAGCTCATCATCAAAGACACCCCGCATGGTAATGGCTTTACCCAAGGCCGGGCGGGGAATATCAATGACAGTCAGGCCGACAGTATCCTCATTGGAATAATGGGCCGCACCGAGACCACCATTGCTGGAGTCATTCTCCAAGGCATTCTGGATGTCAGCAGCAATGGCTTCGTTGGCTTTCCCGATAACCCAATCTACCAATGCTTCATAGATACCAGCGATCAAGATCTCACGCTCATCGGTGGAGCACTTGTGCAGCAAGACCTCGGGATCGACCCCAAGGAGACCGCCAACGTCTTCACAGACCTCTTCCAATTCTTCTTGGTCTACCATCAGACCGGCAGCATTGCCGAGCTTAAGCAGACCCGCAAGAACTGAAAGCAGGCCACGCTGTGCAGCACCCTTGATACCAATTGCCTTTAGATTCGCACGTAGATCCTCGGCTGCCGCCGTATCATCGGCAGTGGGAAGATAGGAGGGAGGCGAATAGGTGCCGGATTGATTAATCAGAACATAATGAGATAGTTCTTTCAGATCCAGGAATTCACGCTCCGCGGGCGTAGAAGCAGAAGTCAAGAGGTAGTAGAAGACGTCGAAGGCGCGGTAACCGGCCTCGCCGGGAATCTCCAAGAGGCCCTTACGCACATTGATGCCAGAGGTGGACAGAGCGAGAGACAAGCCGACGACTGTACCCGGCAGCGTCAATGTGTAAGAGGCGGCGAATGCAGAATGAAGAGAATAGGACGGATTGAACGAAGTCACAGCGGAGAGGAAGGGTCGTAGCGCTGCGAGAGCTGTATAGGCGATCTCCGGGGTGGAGACTGGCAGCGCCGTAAGGAACGGCTCCAACAACGACGGAGTCGACTGGTGGAGGGAGCTATATCCAAGTTAGCAAGAAATGAACTATGTGGTTCCCGGACGGAAAAACAAACGCTAGAACAATGCAACCATCCTCGGCTCGTCTCCGGGCATGCTCCCACGCCCGAACAGCCAGGTCACGATCTACCGTAGCCCCATTACGACCATCGGGCAAGGTAGTAGCGGCGGTCACCCAGGTGTTCACGGCCAAGCTAGTGCCCGAATCCAGCTGATAGGGTTGACCAGCTGAGTAGAACGAGTGCAAGGCATTTAGCAACGTCGTGGTTGAAACCTGGGTGGTATGTTGCGAAGCCGGTCGAGGGCCAGCTGGGAAACCAGCGGACTGTGTGGAGAAGACCGAGTAACGGTTCGACATGGCGAACCCAACGGGACAGGGAGTCCAAGAATAACGGTCGGTCTAGGCAAATATTGGAGGATATCACAGCGGCATGGGAATCACGACGTCGAAGCGTATCGGAGGTCGAGCAGGAATAGCGAGTGTGTTTGGGGGAGGTTGAAGGGTTGGCGTGTCAACAAAGCGAGATTCCGTGGGCGTATACTCCGGAGAATTGAGCGAGCGACTGGAGGTAGGAGGGGAGGGTCTCCCTAGCGAGTGGAGGGTGAAGATGCGGGAATAGGAAGTGTTGTAGGAGGATACGGAGATGGCGAGAAAAAGGGACGAGAGAGATGAGATGGTAGACAAACAACCAGAGAAGAAAAAATGAAGGAGATAAGCCTCCAGCCAAAGACGACGGGCGTGGGGAGAAAGGGAACAGGCCCAGGGACTCTGGGACTGGGACTGGGACAGTAAGGCTGTTACGGGGCTTATGAAAATTACAGGAAGAGGTACCAAGTGGACAAGACTGCCGATCCAGTTGCGAGGATCTGCCCGACACAAGATCCTCAGCTTTGGAGGGGGGGGACATAATACGGAGTACTGTACAGTAATTATTATTTCTCTCAGTGGGGAATTTGCATTTGGTCAAAGAGGAATGAGATGTTTCTCTTTGAGTGTTTACCCTGCTCCCACATATTTCAAGGGCTGGACGGTGTCTACTCCGTACGCGTGGTCGATCAAGAAGAATTTAATGTCATAGCTCGACAGTATTGGGTGATTGTGTTGTCCTTCAGGAGTCCAGTCTATATAAAACGTGATAGTCTTCAATCGAGTTACATAGCGGTGCTCTGTCTTCCGTCCGGTTGCTCCAAATTTTCAGTTTGCTCTCTCTCTCTCTCTCGCTCTGATCTCATGAGTGGCATATCACATTGTCAGGTGGGCTACCGAGTCTTGCTTTGCAAGTGCCAGCCAATCGGCCACAAGCGAAAGGCTGTGGATATGCAGACCAGTTAAGACTAGGGCCGCATCGCAGGCGACTAGTAACGACAAAGTTACGGAGTGGTGGTGGTGGTGGGTGCTATATTTGGGATGTCTCACAAAGGGGCGTCAAGTTCAACCACAGAATTGCCACTGCAGGGATGCTGACAAGATACCAAGTATAATTGACCAGACTCTGGTGTTTACTGATGACTGTTGCTGTATATATATAGTACCTCAGCCTGGGTGCCTCTATACCCTATACTCACGTACCGACAATCCTATTTGATCATCTCATAATTTGATGTTTGCCGACCGTGTGACAGACGAGAAAAAAAATCATGGTCAAGCCACGAACCCCCCCCCCCTAGTTTCAGTAGTCGGGCCCCCCAAAGACTAATGCGATCAGATCAGTCCTCGTTCTTATCCACTTAGCAGAGGCAGATTTACCTCAAGTGGGCCTGGTCGGCCCATTGTCCTTGTGGCTCTGTCAGCTCTGGGCCCTCGGCCCAGAGGAAGCGGTTTCTGACATGTTACTATTAATGTGATCTGCAGTGGATGCATTGGGACGGTAAGGAGGGTGGCCTGTACTGTACCTCTGTACTCTGTACATCCAGTACAGTGATGTGCTTGCATGCTGTAGGTACAGAATCTGGGCAATATGAGCAGCGGGAAAGAGGCCCGTTGTGATCTATCTATAGCTATCGCCATGGGCTGCCCGAGGATCGACCTTGGTACCAGCCCTCCGAGAGTAGTAGTATGTGTCTTTGTGACTGTATTGTACCCTGGAACCAGTCTCCTTAGTCACCCAGCTCCAGGGACCAGGACCCTTTTGGGACAGTAGTGGAGCCCCGTCTGTTTACCTGAGACCCTCGCAACTCGATGGAGCTGGGGGGGCGTGTTTACAGTAAACAGCACCCAATGTCGCTTGCCACTGATTTTGGAATACACCTTTCAATTTGCTATAGATGCCTCAGGGCCTCTGACAAGCGTCGTCATGAGAATCTAAATACAGCACTGGGCATGTCTCACACTCGTGTCTGGCTGTCTCTTGGACTTCCCCTCAGCTCTCAGTTAGTGGCCCCATCGTGGACCAAACTTCGTTCAAAAATACCAAGACACTTCCATATTTTCAGGACACACCAGATTTGCAAACCCCAATACCACCATTTAGGGGCGACCTCTAGCTCGGTGAGGCTCAGGCGACCGAGGGAACTAGTCGTCACAATACCAGCGTGATACAGTCCCCCCCCAATACAAAGTACAATTTCTGGTAACTGCGCCAGACCAAACAACCCGCTTATCTTTTTCTGCGATTCCCCGAGGGTCTTCTGCTGGCTTTTGTCTTCGCTTTGGGTTCCCTCTCCATCGACTGGTCTTTTTTTTTGGTTGCATTTTCACTCGTTTCTCTTGCATCAAATTCAGGCTCGGCGTTGTTTCTACACCCTCGCCATTCCCACCAGGCCTCCGCATGTCCCCCATTTCCCTGTAATCGCGAAGGGGGTCTCTTCATTCCGCCAGGCATTCTTGACTCCACGTTCATTCCGAGCCGTGTCAAGACTCTTGCACAGGCCTGCGCTTTGCCGGTCATCTTTTCTTTCTCTTTCTCCGAGAGAGGGCCCGTCCTGACAGGCCTTCATCCACTCGCTTTTCTATCCGATCGGCCTCACTGCGGAGAGGTCAATAGCCTCCATCATCATGGCGGGCAATACCACCGGGAACACTCCGACCCATGCCCAGTCCTCACTCCCCTCGCTCCCCGCACACCTTCAGTCGGATACCCATTTGACAGCCCATCTCGCCAGTCGGTATGCATTCGATACGGTGGAGTTGTTCATTTCGAGGGAAATTGTCGTGCTAACCATCCAAACAGCTTCCATGTCGGACTGCCCACTGCCCGCCTCTCGTCCCAGGCATTGATCTCCCTGAACACATACACATCAGCAACAAAAGGCCCCGATGGTGAAAAGGAAGGCAGTGCTGCTGGTGAAGCCGAGGATCTTGCCCGTCGCGCGTTCACGCGGTTGGGAACTCGTGGGGAGAACCAGGCCGTGGTGTTCCTGTGAGTAGACATTGCCCAAGTATCAACAAATTCCGTGACTGACACGCAATCTTCCACCTCTAGAGGAGAGAGTGGTTCGGGTAAAACCACCATTCGCTCACACCTGCTATCCTCCTTCCTGTCCTTTTCCTCAACCCCGCTGTCCTCCAAACTCTCCTACGCTGCCTTTGTCTTCGATACCCTGACCACCACCAAATCGGTAACCACCCCAACTGCCTCCAAGGCTGGTCTGTTCCTCGAGCTGCAGTACGATGGCTCGTCTGCGGTCAATCCCACCTTGATTGGTGGTAAGATTATTGACTATCGACTGGAGCGAAGCCGCATCTCTTCCGTGCCAACTGGTGAGCGTAGCTTCCATGTGCTATACTACCTCCTGGCCGGTACCAGTGCGGCCGAAAAGTCCCACCTCGGTTTCGACAACTCCATCCATATCACCACTAGTGGCGGCAAACTTTCATCTGATTCGGTCAGTCATAAGCGATGGCGGTATCTAGGCCACCCAACCCAGCTCAAGGTCGGAGTGAACGATCAAGAGGGCTTCCAACACTTCAAGACTGCCCTGCGGAAGCTTGAATTCTCTCGCGGTGAGATTGCCGAGATTTGCCAGATTCTGGCTGGTATCCTGCATATTGGTCAGCTGGATTTTATTTCTGGACAATCCACCACCACTACTGCCGAGGAGAGTGGTGGTTACTCCCACGAGGGTGGTGAGACGGTCACCGTTGTGAAAAATAAGGATGCCCTTGGCAACGTTGCTGCATTCCTCGGGTTGAGTGTGGAGGCCTTGGAGAACAGTTTGGGTTACAAGACCAAGACCATTCACCGGGAGCGTGTGACGGTCATGCTGGATCCTCGGGGTGCTCGAGAGAATGCCGATGCATTCGCCCGAACCATCTACTCGCTGCTTGTCACCTACGTGATCGAGACCGTCAACCAGAAGATCTGCGCCGCAGAGGACAGCGTTGCCAACACCATCTCCATTGTTGATTTCCCTGGCTTTGCTCAAGCCCCGGCCACCGGCTCGACCCTTGACCAGCTCCTCAGCAATGCTGCGACGGAGTCGCTTTACAATTACTGCCTCCAATCGTTCTTCGACCACAAGGCGGATGTTCTGGACCGCGAGGAGATTACCGTCGCAGCAACCAGCTACTTCGACAACACTGATACCGTTCGCGGTCTCTTGAAGCATGGCAATGGTCTGCTCAGCATCTTGGACGACCAGACTCGTCGTGGCCGCAACGATAGTCAATTCCTCGAGAGCGTTCGCAAGCGCTTCGAGGGCAAGAACCCAGCGATCTCAGTTGGTAGCGGCGGCACCACCAGCTCTGGATATCTGTCCCAAGCTCGGACCGCATTCACCGTGAAGCATTTCGCTGGTGAAGTCGACTACTCCGTCACCGGTCTCATCGAGGAGAACGGAGAAGTCATCTCGGGAGACTTGATGAATCTCATGAAGTCCACCCGCAGTGACTTTGTCCGCGAACTCTTCGGGCAGGAGGCCTTGCAGACCATTTCCCACCCGCGGGAAAAGTCTGCAATCATGCAAGCTCAGGTCTCGTCGAAGCCATTGCGGATGCCCAGCATGGCTCGCCGCAAGCACGACCAACAGGCCCGCCAAATGTTCTCGGATCGTGCCGAGAGCGAAGAGCCAGATGACCAAGATAGCCAGGCGGCCAGCTCCCGACGAAGCGTGGCTGGTCGCAAGAGTGGTCTGAACACTGGTCATGTTCAGGGTGCAGCCGGTCAGTTCCTCTCGGGTCTTGAGATCATCAACAAGTGCCTTAGTTCGCCCAACCTCAACCCATACTTTGTGATCTGTCTCAAGCCTAACGACCGCCGCATTGCAAACCAATTCGACAGTAAATGCGTGCGCATGCAGGTTCAAACCTTTGGTATTGCCGAGATCAGCTCCCGACTGAGAAATGCCGACTTCAGCGTCTTCCTCCCATTCGCGGAGTTCTTGGGCCTGGCTGAAATTGGTAATGTCGTCGTTGGTAGTGATCGCGAAAAGTCGGAGGTCGTCTTGGATGAGAGACGATGGCCCGGTAATGAAGCTCGCGTGGGAAGTACTGGTGTCTTCCTGAGTGAGCGATGCTGGGCCGATCTCGCCAAGATTGGCGAACGTGTCGTTCCCTCTTTCAACAAGATTGCCGGCTCTGATGAAGGAGACGTTGGTTACCACGCTGGTGCTGATACCAAGGTTCGTCTCTTGAACCCGGCTGACCAGTCGCCGGGTGCCTTCATCTATGGTGATGAGTCCAAACAGGGCGGTTATTTCGGTAGCCGCGAGCTGGACGGCAAATCCGATGCAGGTGCTTCGGCGTTCAACTCTGGTGACATGTTCCAAAATCTCGAGACGAGGGAAGAGATGCTGCAAAAGGGCAATGAGAAGAACATGGAGGAGGTTGACGACGTTGTGGTCTCGGGCTCTCGCAAACGCTGGATGGCGTTGGTCTACCTGCTGACCTTCTTCATTCCCGACTTCATGATCAAATGGATCGGCCGGATGAAGCGCAAGGATGTGCGTGTTGCTTGGCGTGAGAAGCTCGCCATCAACATGATCATCTGGTTTGCCTGCGGTGTTGCCGTCTTCATGATTGTCGCCTTCCCTGGTCTGGTTTGTCCAACCCAACATGTCTACTCGAAAGGTGAACTCAGTGGCCACAATGGTAAGGGTAGCGCTAGCTCCTATGTTGCTATCCGGGGCGTGGTCTTCAACTTGGGCGACTTCATGCCCTCTCACTACCCTGATATCGTCCCGCAAAAATCTCTGAAGAACTATGCCGGCACCGATGCGACCAATCTCTTCCCGATTCAGGTCTCAGCGCTGTGCCAGGGTGTGGATGGACATGTTGACCCAAGTGTTCCCCTGGATTACCGGTCCAACATGAACGAGTCTAGTACTACCACCTCTACCAGCGACTTCGATGTCAACGCCAAATACCATGACTTCCGTTACTGGACCGATGACCCTCGGGCAGATTGGTTCTATGAACAAATGGTCATGATGCGAGCAAACTACAAACAGGGCTACGTTGGATATACTGCCCAGTATATGAAGACGCTCGCAGACGATAACAGCAAGAATATTGCCAGTATTGACGGCAAGGTCTACGACCTGACTTACTACATTGCTGGCCCTCGTATCCCCCGTTACCCGACAGGCAAGACCGCCACTGGGGACGTCAACACGAACTACATGAGCCCGCTTCTCGTCACTCTCTTCCAGCAGAAACCTGGTACCGATGTGACCAAGTATTGGAATGACCTTGCAATTGATGCGACCACGCGTGCGCGGATGCAGCTTTGTCTAGACAATTTGTTCTTCGTTGGACACGTTGATACCCGTAACTCGGCCAGGTGTCAGTTTGCTCGGTACTTCATTCTTGCCATCTCGATCTTGATTTGTGTGGTCATTCTTTTCAAGTTCCTGGCTGCCTTGCAGTTTGGAAAGAAGAATCTCCCCGAGAACCTGGACAAATTCATCATCTGTCAAGTTCCAGCATACACCGAAGATGAAGATTCACTCCGCCGTGCCATCGATTCCATGGCCCGCATGCGTTATGATGACAAGCGCAAGCTGCTGTTGGTCATTTGTGACGGTATGATTATCGGTCAGGGTAACGATCGGCCCACTCCCCGGATTGTCCTGGACATCCTGGGTGTCCCCGAGTCTGTCGATCCCGAGCCTCTCAGCTTCGAGAGTTTGGGCGAGGGTATGAAGCAGCACAACATGGCCAAGATCTACTCTGGCCTCTACGAGGTTCAAGGCCACATTGTTCCTTACCTGGTTGTTGTCAAGGTTGGCAAGCCTTCCGAGGTGTCTCGCCCTGGTAACCGTGGCAAGCGTGATTCTCAGATGGTTGTCATGCGTTTCCTCAACCGTGTCCACTACAACCTGCCCATGAGCCCTATGGAGCTTGAGATGCACCACCAGATTCGGAACATCATTGGTGTTAATCCGACGTTCTACGAGTACATCTTGCAAGTCGATGCCGATACGGTCGTTGCCCAGGATTCTGCTACACGCTTCGTTTCCGCTTTCCTGTCCGACACGCGCCTCATCGCCGCTTGTGGTGAGACATCTCTGTCCAATGCGAAGACGTCCATGGTTACGATGATCCAAGTGTACGAATACTACATCTCGCACAACCTGACCAAGGCTTTCGAGAGTCTCTTCGGATCCGTCACTTGCTTGCCCGGTTGTTTCAGTATGTACCGTGTTCGCTCGGCGGAGAGCGGCAAGCCCTTGTTCGTCAGCAAGGAGGTTGTCGAAAGTTACTCCGAGATTCGCGTGGATACCTTGCACATGAAGAATCTGCTCCACCTCGGTGAAGATCGATACCTGACGACACTCCTGCTCAAGCATCACCCCAAGTTCAAGACCAAGTACATCTTCCGCTGCCATGCCTGGACCGTGGCTCCCGAGAGCTTTGCCGTTTTCCTGTCCCAGCGTCGTCGTTGGATCAACTCGACTGTGCACAACCTGATTGAACTGATTCCCCTGCAACAGCTGTGCGGTTTCTGCTGCTTCAGTATGCGCTTCATCGTCTTTGTCGATCTGCTCAGTACCGTCATCCAGCCTGTTACCGTTGCGTATATCATTTACTTGATCGTCTGGCTGGTGCGCGATAGCTCGGTCATTCCCTGGACAGCGTTCGTACTACTTGGTGTCATCTACGGTCTACAGGCTTTCATCTTCATCGTTCGCCGTAAGTGGGAGATGATCGGCTGGATGTTCATTTACATTCTTGCCATTCCCGTCTTCACACTTGCGCTACCTCTCTACTCCTTCTGGAACATGGACGACTTCACCTGGGGTAACACCCGCATCATCACTGGAGAAAAGGGCCGCAAGGTCGTCATCTCCGACGAGGGCAAATTCGACCCAGCCTCGATCCCCAAGAAGCGCTGGGAGGAGTATCAGATGGAGCTGTGGGAGGCGCAAGAGGGACAAACCTCGCGCGACGACCACTCCGAGGTCTCGGGCTACTCGTATGGTACTCGCGCGCACCCCTTCGCGCAATCCGAGTACGGCTTCCCCGGTTCGCGTCCCGTCTCTCAACTTGATCTGCCGCTGCTTGCATCTGGATCGCGCATGTCCATTGCACCTTCTGAGATGCTGAGCCATCACATGGACATGGATACGAGCATGGAGGATTTGAGCCACCTGCCATCGGATGATGCGATTCTCGCCGAGATCCGTGAGATTCTGCGCACGGCTGATCTGATGAGTGTGACGAAGAAGAGTATCAAGCAGGAGCTTGAGCGCCGGTTCGGTGTTAACCTGGACCTGAAGCGGCCATACATCAACTCTGGTATGTTGACACTCCTCTTGAGATGAGCTATATGAATGTCTACTAACGTTTTCTCCAGCTACCGAAGCTGTTCTTTCCGGTCTTCTGTAATCCGATCCGAACTGCGACCGCTCTTCTAGTTCACGATGTTCTCCACCAATACACCCATCACAGGAGACGCGATGGTTTCGGATAACTGTGTTATTAATGTCTGCCATCTTTTTCGCGCACACTTCATCATAGGGGCTGTACGCTCCGCTCTGCTCTGCTCTACAAGTCGTCTTTTCTGTTTCGAGCGAACTCTTTGCATGGATGAGAGCTTTTCTTATTTTTCTTTCTTTATTATAGCGTGTCTCTTTTTCCCACCGTTTCTCAGCTGAAATGGTTACCCTCTTCTTTTGAAAATTTTGGTCTACACGGTCCATACATGTGTCTCCTGGTTCTAGTGTCATCCCTCTGTTGTCTAACACTTTATTTTCCCTTCCGGGGCGCATTGCATTTTGATATTGGATTAATGCCCAGAAATTATAAGCTCTGGTGTTTAATATGATCTCGTTTTGAGGAATTTGGCTTTTGAGATAGATCGTAAATAAAAATACTCGTGGTAATTTCCTATAGGGTCCAGGTCCAGGATTATATCACCTGCACAGGTTCTCGATACCCCGCAAGAAGTGTCTACCTATCAAGAGCTGCATGTTCTGTAGTACTGTCCTCTCTCTCTCTCTATCGACAGGCTGACAGGACGCCACGCCAAGTGGGGTTGCATTTGCAGATCGGGCCTCCGCAAATGCGATTTATATTCTCGCAAGCTCCATACTCAACAACTCTATGACAAGCTCGAGAATCTGAACCTGCAAATCAAAGATCAACCTCGACTACACTATACATTCACCCACTTACCTTTTACATACTCCTGACTGGTATATACCCATCTCCAGTCCCCAAATATCCTTCTAACCCTCTGTACCCCACTACCACAACAACCTCACAACAATGGCATCCAACCCCCCAACCCCCGAATCACACCAAAAACAAGAAGCCCTCGCCGCCTTCACCGCAACCCTACACTCCGTCGGGACAAACCTAGAAGCGCCGCTCCGCGACCGCGCCGCAACGATCACAGCCAACGAGGCCGCGCTGCAGCGACAGGAGGCCGAGTTGGCGGAGCACACGGCGCGGTTGGCGAGGCAGAATGCGCAGTGGGCGGGGTGGGCGGATGAGACGAGGGAGGGGTTGAAGGAGATTGGGGATGTGCAGAATTGGGCGGAGATGATCGAGAGGGATTTGTTGGTTTTGGAGGAGATGATGGATGGGGTGGAGAAGGGGGAAGTAGAAGAGGGTGAGGGTGAGGGAGAGGGTGATGAGGATAGACATGGAGATAGACATGAAGAAGGGCACGAAGCTGGAGATGGAGAGAGGAATAGGAATGGGAATGGGAATGGGGATGTACCGGTTAATGGGAATGGAAATGGAAAAGGAAAGGCGAAGAAGGTCAATGGCAGTGAGTCCAAGGGTTGGTTGCGCTGGTGGTGAGATATCAAGTATATACTTTTGTCTTTTTATGCTGGTGAATGGTAAATGGGTATCGACAAATTATGCTTCCTCTTCTTCCTCTTCCTCCTCCTCCTCTTCTTCATCCTCATTCTCAGCCCCCTCCACATATCTCCTCCAAACATCCAATCCTCCCAAACTCTCCTCTTCCCTGGCTTCATCCGCATACTCATCCCACTCCTCCCACTGTCCCAGACTCATCAAATGCCGCATCGTCGGCCTCCCATGAGGACAATTCCACGGTTTATCAATCGTCCCCATATTCCGCACAACCCGCTGCATCTGCCGCGTCGTCAAAGTCTTCCCAATCATGATACTCGACCGACACGCCCGCATGGCAAACATCTTGCGCACTTTGCTAGGCCGAGGTACTGAATCCCCATCAACCACAGGCGCCTCGGACAAGAGGACGATCAATTCCTCCAGATCGCGCGAGCCAAAGACAACTTCCTTGCTGAGTGGAAGCGAGACTAGTTGGCACCGCCGACCGATAGGTTCGTCGCCACTCTCGTCGATGGTGACGATGAATCCGTTCTTTTCGAGGGCGGACCGGTTCTCAAGGACAATCTCCTCTTCGACGGCGGTGAGATCCAGTCGCTGAGGTCGGACGAGACGCTGGTTTTGAACGACCGTTTCGGCTTGGAGACGTTCGAAATTGAACTTTTCGTCCGAGGCGTGCTGGTCGATGATGAACAGCTCATCGTGGTCTTCTCCCGGTCGGACGGCGATGATGAAGCCCAAATTGAATTGGCCGATGATGCGCATTTGAGCGAAATCCGCTTTGCTGACAGTGAGTGAGAGGCGTTCTTCTGCGGTTTCTTCGTAGGCGAGATCGGTGTTGGTCTTTCGGGATGGCACATTATGTGTCTCGAGGCTCTCTCGTAATCTCGCCATCTGCGTTTGGAGTTTGGCTACTGAAGCATCAATCGTCGTAACAAGTTGAACCGTAGCATCGCGATGTGCGGCTCCCTTGTTCATTTTGTTCGCACGACTGGTATTGTGCTCGGACGGAAGCACGGCTTTTTCTTCGGCTTGGTGGATGAGCTTTTGTACGAGGGCTTCTTCTTGGGCCTTTTTCTCGGCTTCATCGGGAGCATTTTCGTCTGCCTCGGCGGCTGGTAGCTCTTCACTTGGTTTTTCTTCATCCCCAGCCTCCTGTTCAGAGGGCTCACGGTCTCCTTCTGGGATGTAATCGGTATCCTCAGGTTCAGATGAATAAACCTCCTCTTCCTCCTCTTGCGCTTCTTCGACCTCTTCATCTATATAGTCATCTCCATTGACCTCACCTACAGCCTCGTCACTCCTTTCCCCTTCCTCTTCCTCTTCGTCTACCTGCGTCCCAGGTGCTGCAAAGGCCTTCAGCTGCTCCCCGAATATATTAGGTCGGGACGGCGTATGGATTCGTCGCTTCCGCTTGGATGGTCCATTGGACGAATAGCCGATATCAGATGGTCTCTTTCGCGGGCGACCACTGCCAATCATGGAAGTCACCGTGTGATCACCGATAGTAATTGTGGCCATCTCAGCTGGCATTCGACGAGGGCGCATTCGATCAAACGCATTCTGAATCACGTTTGGCATTTCTTCAGACTCATCTGGTGGCTGAGATGGTGCTACGCCAGGCTCTGCGGGTGGACAGGGTGGACGTGGAAGTGGTTGAACTGCTTCGTCTTCAAGCTCATGTTCCGCTTGTTGTTCGGACCGATCATCCTCCTCATCCACAGGCTCTGTGGAAGAAGGATGCTCAGCTAATGACGGCATCGGTGTCTGCTGAGACTTTGGTGTAGATTTTATAGGAGTCGATAAAGCATCTACTTCGTCAGACCCTTGAGTGCTCATAAAGCGCTTGATACTTTTCTGCACCGTCCGCTGCGAAGCTTCTGACTCCCTCTCAGAGTCATCCACTTCCTGGTCTCTATCGGGCGTGACGGCAAACTCGAGCGTGCCTTGCGCAACCTGTCGAGCAGAGACGAAACCCGGAAGCGATCCCAGTGCTTGCGGCTTGGCCGTCGTCGAAGCCTTGGAGCCAAACACCTGCGATTGAGGAACCGTCTGATCCGCAGCCTCAAACAGTTGTACCAAAGACGTCTTCAACGACTCAATCAGAGCCCCCGCATCATGCAGTAGAATCGTCCGCTTATCCGGCGACACGTTCACATCATAAGCATTTGTATCCATCTGAAAATCCGCGAATATAAACGGCGACTGCGAGACATTAAACGATTTATAAACTTCATTGAATGCCTTTGCAATCTGCGGTAGCCCACACGGCCGCGAGTTCACAAAGAACATCTGTCGATCAGGTGTCTGGCGCCCTTCTCCGAAAACAGGTCGAGAGATATGGCCCATAACGACCAACCGATTAGATTCCGCATCACCGCCACTGCGTCTCATAGGAGCGGAGGGTTCAAACTTCAGCTCTAGATCGAGTGGAATCAGCGCAGACAGCGTCTTAGCCCCGTACACATTGGCAATATTCTCTTTGGTGGTACGATTCCCGTTCGTAGAGAATACAGCCACATTCTTCGTCTTGCCCACGGTATTCCGGACGCTGAACTTGACTCCAGCACTAACGCAGGCATAGGCATGAAGCAGATTCAACACTTTTCCGTACTCTCGCTTGATATTCTTCTCCAATTCGCGCCGACGTACCGGTAGTCGTTTGAAGATACCTTCCACCGAGGCTGTAGTCCCCTTCTGTCCGGCCACGATCTGGGTCTTGTGAAGTTTGCCGGAGATCTCAAAGTCTAGTCTGTTTGCACGGGGGACTTGATTTGCTTGGGCTGTGACGATGTGGAAGTCGGCGAGGGCGCATAGTGAGGAGAGAGCTTCGCCGCGGAAGCCGAAGGTGTGGAGGCTTGAGAGGTCTTCAAAGGAGGATAGCTTGGAGGTGTAGTGTTTTAGCGCTGAGATGTTGGTTCAAAGTATTAGCTTGGAGCTGTTGGTACAAATACAGAGCTTTGAAGCTCACCAACGTTCTCGTAGTTCTCCGGCGAGATGCCACTCCCGTTGTCCTGCACCTCAATCAAGTCCAGCCCATTGTTCTTGAATCGGATCTCTGCATAGAGAAGAGAGTTAGACACAGGTAGGATTTATCTGGAGAGTAAAGTCCATTTGATTCAAAGGGATCCACGCACCTATCGTCGTTGCGCCTGCGTCGAGGCTATTCTCGACCAGCTCTTTGGCAACGGAGCACAGGTCTACAATCACCTGGCCAGATTGGATTTGGTGGACCTTGTAAGCACTCCTGTTAGCAAGAACATAGTCCTGTCACCTAGTGTACCAGAGTACCCACCGAACGAGCCTCGATGGCCTGGATGGTCGCCATGATTTAGGCCAAGTCATTTGCGAGGTGCGGCGCGTCGCACTTTACGCGTGAGGGGACCTGCCAAGACTCCGCCGACAACTCCGCATTTTCATCTCAACGCGGAACTGTGTATTTACTCGCTGCCTCGACCGAAGGGCTGTACCCGATAGACTGGACGTCATTATTAAATAGATACTGTGGCACGATTTCATAATCTAGCTAGGCAACCTACCTTAGGAGAGCATAGTGGACAGTCACTTGACATAAAGCCAGCACTTGTTCACTGCTGCCTGATTACTTTCCCACTCTCACACCAAAAGCCATCTTCAAATCCCATCTATACCACCAGTAGATAATGAAGTCGACTAGCCCGCACTGGCTGTCTCTTTGTGTCGCTGCACTAGCTGGTCTTAGCATCGCCAACCCCGTACAGCAAAAGCCTCTCGCCGGTGAGGACGTTATGGTCAAACAAGACAAGGTCCCCGGTCACAACGATGCCATATACGACACCGTGCCAAAGGAAGACCAGATACTGAACATCGAGTTCCTCGAGATTGCCCCCACGCCCATTATCGCGTAAGATCCTCTCCTTGAAGTGCAGCTTAATGATAATAATGGTTTGACATCCTAAAGCGACCGTGTCTTCTTCGTCTACCTACGCGGTTATCTACCTCATTCTAAAAAGAAGGAGCTAGAACTTCTTGACGAAGGCCTTGTCAATGCGACCCTCTCTGTGAGCGGCTCTGCCGTCTACTCGGATGGTAGTCACGACGATGAAGAATCCGTTATAGGACCGTTGAAGACTACGTCCTTCAATGATATAGCCCACCTCACTATTCGCGATGCCCGTGGAATTCAGGTCGACTACATGCCTAGTAGCGACCGCAGTGATATATTACTAGATTTCCAGATTCCTACAATGTTTTTGAAGAGCGGTATGTGGACTTTCAAGGTCGACGCCAGGCTCGGAGATAAAAACAATTCATGTCTATTTGCCATGTCGTTGACACAATGGTTAGACGGGAGGCTTTGAGAAGTATGTATATATATTTTAGGTACGATATGAATTGCATTGCTGTCAAAGTGAATACATATACCTCCAATGATAACAAAAAGAAATCGTGATCGCTCAGAACGCCAGAAAGCTCAACCCAATCCTCATCATCTAATACGCAGCAAATCGATCAGGCAACACCACTGGCGCAACGAGAGTCCAGAGATAAATCGCGTAGCATACCCAAGAGCTGAAAATCTTCACCCAGCTGGCCCAGTAAGTCCGGCCGACCGGAGCAAAGTCCATGGTGGTGTCGACCGTAAGACCCTGCGACAACAGGGTGGCCACCCAGGTCGTGGCCAGGAAGAAGATGATGTGGAAGAGGGTGTAGCTATACTGGATCGAGCCACGCTCGTCATCCTTGCTGCTAGTTTCAAAGTCATCCTCATCGTCGCTCTCGTCCAGGGCACTGGCTGGCAGACTGCCGCTCTCGACAGCGGCTCGGAGGGCTTCAGCGCGCATCTCCCGGCGGCTGTTGGGCTGTTGAGTGACCAGCCCGTGCTCGTTATCGTCCGGGCCAAGCTCAATATAGCCATGTCCACCCTTCGAGCCCAGCGCAATTCCCTGAGTGGCCGCACGCGTGGTGGTATATGCAACAGTGGCCATGGTCACAATTGCACCCAGGATGATGGTAGCGACCCGGGGGCTACTCGAACGGATCAAGGGGTTACAGTTGTTGTCATCCGGCTCCAACGAGACGGCAGAGAGCGTGAGATAGGTGCAGTACACCGTGACCATAGCGGCTTGGGCCAACCCGGCGCGAGGGTTGGACTCTTGAACGGCCGGTTGAACCGAAACGGCCGAAATGATCATGAAGACGATCAGGTTGACAGTGATCGCAGCTTGATTCATAGAGCAGCCGCTCTTGGCAAAGAAGATGTACATCAGAATGGTCATGACGATCGAGGCCAGGTACATGCCAAGGGTCGATCCGATTAACAGACCACGCCACAGACGTGAGTCACTGTCTTCGATCTTCTGTAGACACAGCTCGGCCCATGTGTGCGCGAGGTCCACGAGAAGAGTCAGACCGAGCAACAGGAAGAGCATCGCGCAGAAGAAGGCGATATAGTTGCCGTAGACGAAGAAGAAGGGCTCAGGGATGAAGAAGGACATGACGACAAAGCCCAGCCAGATCACGATCTTCGGGCCCCAGAAACCATTCTGGAGGGCTGCACGACTATCACGGGAGTTTTTGACGCCGAGGAGGAGGAGTGCGAGGATCAAGTGGAAGAGACCGAGACCGAAATTGATGCGATGAACTGCAACCCAACCGTGACATTCCTTGCCGTCGCATTTGATTTCCATATAATCCAGAGTAAGATGTTGCAATTTCTTCATTGCCCATGGCGTAAGCATAATCCAAGAGACGATGGAATTGATCAATAGGATAATGGCGTATGCGATTCGTGTTGCCATACTGGGTTACGGTTAGCACGGATTCTCAGCGACCGAAACCAGTTTGGGAAGGCAGTCCACTTACCTATTCTGAAACTTTCCACATGCACTGCACACCGCAGAGCAAGTTGCAGCGCCGCAGCATGAACCGCCGAGGGTGATGAGCTATTCGCAAGTGGAGCAGTCAGTTTACCGCTCATCCGGTGGACTTCGAGTGCGACTTACCGTGCCGACACTGGGCAACGCCATCAGCGGTAGAGACAACAGGGCACCCATGATGAAGTGCAGAATGTGGTTCACGACCAGCTAACAGACAGGTCCTGGGCTCTGAAGGTCTGAAGAGGGGTTTGCAAGTGAGAGAATCCAGTGGTGCCTGGGAGGCGTTCTGCGCAAGTCCAAGTGGAGGTGCCGAAGATCCCCAGCCCGCCTTCGTCATGTTCCCGGTCACGTGTGGGGAAGGTCAACTTACGTCAGCGGGAGCCGGAGATCGGACAAATTTTCCAGAAGGTTGGGGCCGGTACGAAGTATGCTCGTATCGAGGAATCATCGTCGGTTCCTAGATGGATCAAGGGGGATTGAATGTTGATCGAATTTTGTTTTCTCATAGACAGAATTTATGGGGTTTGAACCAGAATGTGGAAACAGTGGAAATTATATACTTGCGGTGCATAACAAGCACCAACCTATGCTCGTCTCGCGGGTGCTCATACCTCCGTTTACTGTACTGTGACATCCAGCACCAAGAAGAAAACCCATTTAGCTCCAGGCATCTCTCTGTGCTCTGTTTCGGCTATAGAGTTGATGAATGCCCCTCGGCCGGGGGGACATATTCACATATGTATTACCTAAAGTATTTCCCAGCGGAGCGCCACCACACAGCGACCACGGAGTACTGCTGGAGACGAGCCTAAGAGAGAACAGTGATTGGGGAAGTAGAGCCCCCTTGTCTACCCCCAAAAGAATAAGGTTTCTCGTCAGCCAGTCCTCGTTCCACACACAGCGATCATCTGCAGCGACAGCCTTAACTCGAAGAGCCGCGCGTGACAAGAACCGATGCGGGCATGGGAGTCCACCGGGAAAAGGCTTGGCATGATGTCGGAGCCGTTCAGCCGGTGGAGCGCGCTGTCTCTCTTCCCGTTATCGTGGCCTCCTCGTAGGCCGGTTACGACGCTCCCGGAACTTCCCCAACGTCGAACGCTCTCGCTTCGCTTCATTTCACTTGCTCTTGCTCTTGCTCTTGCTCGTCGCTGTGTTCCACTGGCGTCCCTCTTTTGTCGAGTCCGATGTTCCTCCTCTTGTCCTCTCATTCTCCCCCTCCCAGTCCAACTTCCTGAATCCAATTGTCAGCTTCCCCGATAACACGCGTTGACGCAATCGCATCCCTCTCCGTAGTCTGTACAACGCACGATTGCGGGACGACTTTCCGAGAACACAGGACTCGCTCTAGAATACCGCAAACATGACCGGCTCTCATCATAAGGCCGCCCGGGCGATCTCGGTGGTTGCAGGCACGCTGGTAGCTCTGTCCTGCGGAACCAATGTTCGTGATTCCCAGCCAGCTCTTAGCTATCCCAATTCCCGGCGCGATGGCCGAAAACTGACCCGTCGTGGTGCTACAGTATGCATACTCAGCATGGGCGCCCCAGTTTGCGCATCGCATGAAGCTCTCGTCGACCGAGAGTAATTTGATCGTGAGTCGTGTGACCCAGAGAATTTGGAGCGGCGGAACTCCAATGTTGATCCAATGTTGACAGCTTGGCAGGGTGCAGCGGGAAATCTGGGCATGTATTCGATGGGCATCCCAATGGGATTGTTGACGGACGCTCGTGGTCCACGACTGATCACCCTGGTCGGTTCGGTCTTGTTGGCCTTGGGATACTACCCAATCTATTTAGGTATGCGAGGCTTGGAACGAACACATGGATCGAGAATGGCCTTGCTGACCTCTCTCTGCAGCGTATCAATCGGGAGAGGGATCGGTACCAATCATCTTCCTGTGCTTTTTTGCTTTCTTGACAGGAACCGGTGGCTGCTCTGCCTTTGGCGGTGCCATCAAGACAGGTATCTCCGCGCATGCTCCTCCAGACTAAGACTCGAAGCTAATTTGCGTCCCTTGCAGCTGCCTCAAATTTCCCCGATCATCGCGGCACAGCAACCGCATTTCCCTTGGCTGCCTTTGGGCTGAGTGCGCTGTTCTGGTCTAATGTTTCCACGTTCATCTTCAAGGATGACACCAGTCGCTTCCTCTTTCTATTGGCGCTTGGAACGTCTACCCTCTCTTTCTGCTCGATCCCACTCCTTCGAATCTTCCCTGTCGAGTCCTACGCGTCTCTTCCTCACCATGCTCCTAGTGACCTTGGCCAATCTCAGCGGATGCGCCGACCAAGCAATGTGCCTGAGAACTCCGATGAGCACAATTCCACTGCATTCGATCATGAGCGATTAGCACATGCGCGCACCCAGTCTACTGTGTCAGCTCACCGAGCTTATGGTGCTGATACTGATGAAACTTCCTCGCTTGTGTCTAAGCCCGACGGCAGACCATCTTTCGACACGCTGGATGATGAGTTCCTGGGCGATGTAGCCCTGGAGGCGCACCACCCGGATATTCGTGGGTTGACGATGTTGCGCCATGTTGAATTTTGGCAGCTGTTCCTGACCATGGCTCTGTTATCTGGAATCGGATTGATGACTATCAAGTAAGTCGTAAAGCTTCCATCGATCTCTTGTCTCATTCACTGACGATTATTGCAGCAATATTGGCAACAGCGTAAGATCTTTCTTCTATCCTAACCCGCTTCTTCCAAATCCTAACCCCTCCTCCAGGCCAAAGCCCTATGGCTCTACTACGACGACAGTGCTACTTCCAAATTCATCCAACAGCGACAGGTTATGCATGTCTCGATCCTCTCATTCTGTAACTTCCTCGGCCGTCTTTTCAGTGGTATGTAATTCTCAAAGCTCAAGCTTATTCGCACGTGCTAACCTTTCTTGTCTCCTACAAGGTATCGGTTCGGACATTCTCGTCAAGAAACTAAACATGTCCCGCTTCTGGTGCCTTCTAATCTCAGCCGTCGTCTTCACTCTAACCCAACTCGCCGGCTCCTCCATCTCTAACCCGAACACGCTTGTTGTTGTCTCCGCCTTTACCGGTGTCGCCTACGGATTCTTGTTTGGTGTCTTCCCTTCCTTGACCGCCCACACCTTCGGCATTGGCGGCCTTTCCCAGAACTGGGGCGTCATGACCCTGGCCCCTGTCTTCAGTGGAAATGTCTTCAATATTCTATACGGCACCGTCTACGACCGGCACTCCGTCATTGGCCACGAGGGTGACCGCGAGTGTCCCGATGGCCTGGTCTGCTACCGCTCCGCCTATTATCTGACCTTTTTCTCCGGTCTTGCTGGAATCGGCGTTTGTTTGTGGAGTATCTTCCGCGAGAGGCAGATCCACAATGTAGTGCGGAAAAAGACCAACCACCGGCTCGCATAGACAATGTTTATGTTTTCCTTTTCAACTAAAATTGTCAGTGCTAAAGCACTGACAGACAGCACCATCAGTGCCTGGCTCTCATTTCTGAGGTTTTCTTATTTCTCGGACTGGCAATCTCATTATCCATCATTGCTGGTCAACCTTCGCGGCCTAGCGTCGACGCTAGAGCTTTCTCATACATCCTGTGCATCGATGCCTTGTTTCGTGATCTGTTATATGTAGACTTGATACACCTTGCATCTTCTTTGTTTTGTCTCTCGGTCTCATTTCTTTGTTTGTTGACGATAGTGGGTACATTGTGGTACATTGTATTCAGACTTATGGCAATACACTAATGCGATTGTTTTAAACTTTCTCGTTAAAATTTCCTTAAGAATTACTCCAGTTATGCTGCTGTTGCTGATAGAAGTGCTGATATACAGTTTGACTCAGTAATGAGATTTCCCGATGTTGGACTCAGGAGCAGGAGCACGACCATCACCTTGAGATTCCGGAAAGCGAGATAACATACGCGACTTGTATTAGACATCGTGGGTTAGGACAATACAGATAACTTATTCCACCGACTAGTGCAAAGCCGGTCATTCCCGCTCCTCATTTACTAAACACTCAATCTATCAGCCCTCATCTTGCAAATGTTTCGGTCATTGCTCAAGCTTGCGAAACTCTAGAAGTCGATTGAAGATCTTCACTTCCCGAGGCTTGACAAATAGAGGCTCGATGATCGCAAAATACTCCTTGAAATCCTCTCTACTAGCTCTCTTCTGTTTTTCTCGTTAACTCCATGCAAAAATACCGTGAGAGGTCAACCGATGATGTAAATACCTTTAAGAACCAATCCATGTCGGCATCCCTAGACGAATATGTTAATTTATAAATCATGAGAGGAGACTCGTGTTTGTGACAATCCTGACTCACCAAGTCTCAGCCAGAAGTATATGGCCAGGGTCATCGGGGGGCTGAAAGACATCCAGAGCAATACACTCAGGTTCCGCTATAGTTTTATCATAGACTGGCTTGAACGCGGCAAAGAACGTTTCCAATTTCTCGGGTGCAATGAAGAGTGAGACTTGTATATGGAATCCAGTTTTGACTGTATAATCCATGTTGTCAACGCAGCGGTGGATTTCTGGATGTAAGTAGATGAAGGCTAATCACTGAGAGGTTTACGAGTCGTCGATGGACTATATAAGTACATGACTCATATTTGCTGGTTCTGACCTCGCGGGGCAGTTAACAAAGAAAAACCATCACCGAGGTGATTGTGGTAGGATTACTTCGTAATTCGGCCTTTGTGCTTTGTACAAAACCCGACCCAAATAATTCGGCTGTGCATGTTTAGGCATGGGCCGGTAGTACGGCAACAGAGTTGGGATCGTGATTGGACGGGCAGTTTGACGGCTTGCTGAGAGAACAAAGAAATAACCGCAAGCCTACGTCCCCGTCTTGCGCCCTGCTTGATGAGCGTGCGGGAAGGCAAATATTTTACTTGAATATTAGCTATGAGAAAGTACCTGGTGGTCCTCCGGAATTTATCAAGTTCATAATGCATAGTACTTGCCCGATCATGCAAAGATCAGTCTGCTATCATAGTCCGATGGCAAAATATCGAGTTGTCGTCAACGGCACCTACACTAGCAGGATGGAGGGCGACTGAATGTTCCTCGCTTGATCCCAGCTGCGCGGTCTCTTCTCGGACTTTTAGAAATGCCCACTAGCTCTATAATTTTGTCTCTCTCTATGGTGTACATTTTTCTTCCGTATACGGAGCGTTAGCTTGGTACACCTTGCTGACTACTATAAACCTCCAGAGGTCTGTCTCCCTCTAGGTTCCCACCAACTATTAATAAGTGTTGGCAATATAACTAGTAGTGGCGATTGGCTGCCTCGGTGAATCCTCCGGCGTAGAAAAAAATGTCAAAAACAAAAGAGAAAACTCCGAATAGGGGAATCGAACCCCTGGCTGCCGTGTGAGAGACGGCGATGTTAGCCACTACACCAATTCGGAAGGTGCAACCCACGATACCACTAGGCTATCCTCGCTGGTTGTTAACGAGTTGCCGATTTTTGGCATTATGGTCTTGATTCTGCCTAAAACCTAGGTAGCCCAACCTATGCTTCCGTAATCAGCGATCTTCCAGCGGTTAGGCGCTATCAAGGTTGTCTACCTACTCGTAACGATTTTCCAGTGAAATAGCTATTGCGCGCATTCCTCACGATCCCCAGTCATGATAAACTACTACAAAACTACTACTGTGACTTATTTCTACGACCATTTACCGTACCAAGTCTTGGGTATAGGGCAAAAAAACATCAAAAACAAAAAAATTACTCCGAATAGGGGAATCGAACCCCTGGCTGCCGTGTGAGAGACGGCGATGTTAGCCACTACACCAATTCGGAATGTACAACCGATGATACCACTAGGTTATCCTCGCTGGTTGTTGTTGACCGCAAAGATTTTGTCAATATGAACCAGAACGATATGGTCGATCCATTAGGGTTGTGCATGAAGGAGTCTGGCAGGTCCTCTAGTATAGATTATCTTCCTATGCCTTTTCTTTTGCTTACGGGCTCAATAATTTGTAATTATAAGGTTCGCCACTCTCTTCCTAGTCTCCATCCATGGCTATGGATATGTGAATGCTCCGGCGCGAACTCGGACTTGGTCCACCCGCGGTTCTTTACTGCCACTTATGCTGAAGCTTTTTGGTAGCTTCATATGGTCTGTTTTGTTTCCATAGTTCTCGTAGGTTTGGTGTTGTGTGTATATTGGTTTATTTTGTAGTAGTGGACTGTGAGTCTACATAGGGTTCGTGGATAGACAGACTTCATCCGTTACCATGGAAGTATATATATCCCTGCTGCCAGTTGACGTTAGTGGGGACATGGAACTTGTAGAACTCGTCAACCTAGGTCAACGTCGTACAATATGCAAATACCATGAGGTCCCAATCCCCATCTCCCCATGTACACCGAGTGCAGAAAAACAGAGTGACGCGTCAAATAGGAAGGAAGGTATGGCCGCCACCTATCGCGTCACAGACGGCATTACCCATGTCCTGTATGAAAGACACCATGCCACTCCAATCATATTCAAAGAGCGCCGATGGGCCGAGAGAGGGAAGTGAAAACCCGAGTAAAGGTTTGGGAAGTCCACACTTGGTTCGAACGCCCTCGCAAACTAGGTCACAAAGGAAAGACCTGCCCCATCATACCAGCCGAGAGGACAAAGATTCACCAAACCAGCTACTTACCCTACACAAGCAATGTGCCGTCACAGCTCGGACGACTACCAACCAGAGGACCCAGAATCCTTAAAGTCTTGTGAGCTCCTATTGGGGAGCTGTTCATCGTGTGGCTGAACGGAGACTATTAATAACCGACTACCGAAGTATACAGCAGCCCAATACCCAGAGTATTCCCCTAGGTCAACAATGGCTCACGGATATACAATAAAGTCATTTTAAATCGGCCCAGGGGACATACAACAGATTCGGAGGACCAAGCTTATAATTAACAGAATTATACCAAAACCCCGAGTCCACATCGGGTCGCCCTAGAACCGACAACACAGCGCACCCAAGTAAACCTCTCATCTGGGCTAGAATCCACCATACAAGCAAAATCTATATCGAGCATCTTAGTCAATCATCAAGAGCTAATACACCGTGCGGCCTGTGTTCCCAAACGTTAGGTCATGTAGCTACTTTTACAGCTTCCAAACCGAAAAAAATCCACATCTCTCGGCTCTAATCCGGAAACTAAGAGATTCTGGCATAGATGGGGGAACTACAGCATAGAAAGGAACTGGCGTTTCTCTCTGGAAATTAAATAAGACTAGTTTACGGCCCTCCAGTTCAGCGAGAAAACCTATATCCCTAGTTCTGGCTCATATAGCCAAAATTGGCCCAGTCTACAACAACCAGCGAGGGTAACCTAGTGGTATTCCTCGGTTGTACCTTCCGAATTGGTGTAGTGGCTAACATCGCCGTCTCTCACACGGCAGCCAGGGGTTCGATTCCCCTATTCGGAGTTATTTCTTTTGTTTTTATTTTCTACTCTTTTCTCTTTTGACATCTACTTATTAGCTAGCCCATCTACGTCAACAACGGTCACCGCCAAAGCTACAAAACGAGTTGAAAGCTAGGGTAGCAGAAGCTTATGGGCATCGGGGGGATAGAATGGGACTATCGTCTGTAAATGAACATGGAAGTACCAACAGCACTCCATCTCTCCATCTGTCTGTCTCTTAAACTAAATAGCGGGCAATTTGCCAATATATATTCCTAATCAGCGTTAGCTTTGGACTCAGATCAGGGATCTGCGTCGATGTCATTACGACTCCAGACGGATAAGCGGATAGTAGAAGGATAAGACGAAAGAGAAACTATAGAAAAAGTAAAATTGATTGGAAACATAACCCGAGCTGCTGTGCTCATCAACACCGAAGAGAACCCATATTGATATTCTATGGAAGAAACGAACCAGAAACCAGGACCCTCAGCACCAAGAAAGACATACGATCAAAAATTGCAGACCAGCTAGCCTGAAGAGAAGCAAACAATAACAGAGAACATCCCCCTAGGTATTTAGAAAGTGGCCTACTAAGAAATTCATTTTTCTCATAGTTCCACCGCGTGTAGCCTGGCCGACCTTCCACATCCCCTGGCCTCGTCAGACGTGTGAGAGGAGAAAGAAAAGAAGCGAACAATACCATTAAAACATACTGGAGATTTTCGTACAAAACCCGCAAACAGCAAATTAAAACAAGACCTTTTGCGAAACATCCGGTGAACCAGGGAAGAAAAGAAAGGAAGGAACAACGCGCGAGAATTAGCTTTTTGTGTGTTGAAAATTCCAGCCGATGAAAAGAGTCGGGAAGGGTATCAAAAGGACCAGGGAAAATCGGACATTCCAGCAATCGCGGGATGGGCTCAGAAACACAGAACAGGGGAGAGGAAGATATAGCGCTGTGTGATGGCCGGGGGATTGTAAAACGAGCTTAGTTGCTCCTGGGAGACTTGGGTGGTGCTGGAGACTCCTCAGGAGACTGCTCTACCATATCGGAGAGGCGAATTCGCTTGGCGGAGGGTTCTGAGCTATCCACATCAAGAGAGCCGCTGGAGCCGACCTGACGCTCGAGTTCGGCGACGTGACGCTTCAGATCTTCCTCACGGCGCTGGGTTTCCTCAAGCGTACGGCGCAGGCGAGCTTCAGAGTCCCGCGCAATCATTTCCGAGCGACGCGCGCTGGCGTCGCTCTGCTCAAGTTCGGCAACTCGACCGCGGAATAGCTCGTTGATCAAGTCCAGCTCACTAACCCGAGTCTTGAGGGAAGTGTTCAGGGCCAGCAGGCTTTCATATGTCTGAGGAGACTCGAGTTGACGATCGACGGCAGAGGGAGAGGGCTGTCGCAGAGGAAGGGAAGGAAGGCTCGAAGAGCCCAATCCACTATCACGACCAGCAGTGACCTGGTCGAACATGTGTTGGGGCGCGATGTTCGAGTTGTGGCCCTGCATCGACCCGAAGCCGGGAGTCTCCGTGCGCGACAAAGGGGAATTCGAGCGATCCGAGTGACCTGGGGACATCTTACGCGAAGCGCGACGGTAGGCATGGGAACCAAGAGGAGTCCCAGCCTCAGTTGCCCCAGCCAGGCCATTGGCATCGATAGGGCCGCCAGACTGGGAGAGGATGGCAACGGTTAGTACGGTGAGAAATTTCTTATCGCGGTGGACGGGGATGAAGGGGGAGCGAAAAATTTTCCTCGTCGCGAGGACTCACCTTGCGCTTGGGACCCTGGCCGGTCTTGACGCGATTGCGACTTTTGATCACATCGGTCTTCAGGCTTATCGGACGAGGTCGCCCGTGCAGCTTTAGAAACAGTCCGCAGGCGTTGCAAAGAACGGAGCCCAACTCGTCGCGACGCCACAGGGGTGTGGTGGAGGTGCCACAGTTCTGGCAGACGGGCTGTAATTGAGGTCGCTTGTCGTCAGTCAATGTGGTCGCCATGGCGTGAGAGAAGTAACAGAGGAAGAGGGGGAACAGGAGTTGGGAGGATAGTGCTGAAGATAAGATTGGGGAGAGATTTGATGGGCTCGATAAGG